TTTGTTTACTACACAAACCAAAAAATTTAATGATTTACTATTATATAAAAAGTTACCTCAATGTAGAAATGTTAAAAAGATCGATTTTTATTACACGAGTTTTTTTTTTGTTTTAAAACGTTTTTTTTTTTGTTTTTTGGTGTAATGACCTAATCTTTGACTTTATTTTTTTTCTTAATATACATACTTACTTGGTATTTTTTCAACAACACGATACTCAAAAACATGTTTTTAATTTCTTGTAGAGAAATGATTTTGCCACCCCCTTGGCTCACGACGAATAAAAAAAATCGTCACAATTGAGATAGAACGGGTGGGCGGGGCTTATATTTTGCTTTTTTTCTTAATATACATAGCCATGTTTTCACAACAAGAAACTTAGAACATGGTTAAAATTTTTGCCAGGAAATATAGATTTTGCAATTATGGGACGGAGCAAAATGTAATCCCGCCCACCCGCCCTATCTCAATTCTGATGATTTTTTTTATTAGCCATGAACCAAGGGACGGAGCTGAACTGCAAAATGCTTATTTCTTTACAAGAAATTAAGAACATGTTTTTGAGTGTCGTGTTGTTCAAAGAATACTATGTATATTAAGAAAAAAGGGCAAAATATTAACCCCGCCCACCCACCCCCTCTCAATTGTGATTATTGTTTTCTTCTTATAACCTTAAACCACGTTAAAAATTTTTTTTTTGTAAGGAACGCCCCTCTAGGTCTGCCAACGAATAAAACTTTATTATTATTTAGATCAAGGCAGGTATGGGTGGGGCTTAATCTTTGGCTTTATTTTTTTCTTAACATTCTTTGAACAACATGATACTCAAAAACAGGTTCTTAATTTCCCGTAGAGAAATAAGGATTTTGCAGTTAAGCTCCGTCCCTTTGGCTCACGACGAATAAAAAAAAATCATCACAATTGAGATAGGGTGGGTGGGCGGGGCTTATAGTTTCCCTTGTTTTCTTAATATACGTAGTCGTCTTTTCAGAACAAAAAACTTAAAACATGTTAAAAATGGTAAATTTGTATAAGGAAATACCGATTTTGCAATTACGCTCCGCCCCTCGGTCGGACAACGAATGAAAAATTCGTCACGATTGAGATGGAGAAGGATAGGTTTGATTAAAACATTTAGTTTTTTTTTTTTGTATAACACGATTACTTAAGAACATATTTCATATGGCAATTTCTCGTAGAAAAATAAGTATTTCACAATTAAGCTCCGCCCCTCGGCTTACAACGTACCTATTCATAATTGAGACAGGGCGGGTGGGCGGGGCTTATATTTTGCCTTTTTTTCTTAATATTCATAACCATTTTTTCACAATAAGATACTTAGAATATGGTTAAAATGGTACATTTTTGCAAGGAAATCTGGATTTTGTAGTTACGGGGCGGAGGAGCCTAAATCGATATTTCCTTATACAAATTTTCAATTTTAAACATGTTTTAAGTTTCATGTTGTAAAAAGAAGTGTACAGATATTAAAACGAAAAGACAAAATGTGAGCCCGCCCACCCGCCCTGTCTCAATTGTGATGATTTTTTTTATTCGCCGTGAACAAAGAGGGCGGGGCTTAAATACAAAATACTTATATCTTTATAAGAAATTAAAAACATGTTTTTGAGTATCGTGTTATTCAAGAAATACTATGTATATTAGGAAAAAATGGCAAAATATTAACCCCGCTCACCCACCACATCTCAATTGTTGTAAGAAGAAGAAAAATCATCTTTTTCTTCTTACAACCTTAAAACACGTTAAAAATGGTAATTTTTTGTAAAGAAATGTGGATTTTGCTATTAGGCTCCGCCTCTAGGTTTGCCAACACGAATAAAAACTTTCTTATTATTTAGATCAAGGCAGGTATGGGTGGGGCTTAATCTTTGCCTTTAATTTTTCCTTAATATACACACTTAGTATTCTTTGAATAAAACTAGACTCAAAAACATGTCTTACATGATAATTTCTCGTAGAAAAATAAGTATTTTACGATTAAGCTCCGCCCCTCGGCTTACAACGTACCTATAAAAAATTCTTCAGAATTGAGACAGGGCGGGTGGGCGGGGCATATATTTTGCCTTTTTTTCTTAATATTCATAACTATTTTTTCACAACAAGAGACTTAGTGTTGTTAAAATGGTACATTTTTGAAAGGAAATGTGGATTTTGTAGTTACGAGGCGGAGCCTAATAGCAAAATCGATATTTCCCTATACAAATTTTCCATTTTAAACATGTTTTAAGTTTCATATTGTAAAAAGAGTTCTACACATATTAAAATAAAAAAGCAAAATGTAAGCCCGCCCACCCGCCCTGTCTCAATTGTGATGATTTTTTTTATTCGCCGCAAACCAAGAGGGCGGAGTTTAACTGCAAAATACTCATTTCTTTACAAGAAATTAAGAACATATTTTTAAGTATCGTGTTGTTCAAAGAATACTATGTATATTAAGAAAAAAGGGCAAAATATTAACCCCGCCCACCCACCACATCTCAATTGTTGTAAGAAGAAGAAAAATCATCTTCTTCTTACAACCTTAAAACACGTTAAAAATGGTAATTTTTTGTAAAGAAATGTGGATTCTGCTATTAGGCTCCGCCTCTGGGTTTGCCAACACGAATAAAAACTTTCTTATTATTTAGATCAAGGCAGGTATGGGTGGGGCTTAATCTTTGCCTTTAATTTTTCCTTAATATACACACTTAGTATTCTTTGAATAAAACTATACTCAAAAACATGTCTTACATGATAATTTCTCGTAGAAAAATAAGTATTTTACGATTAAGCTCCGCCCCTCGGCTTACAACGTACCTATAAAAAATTCTTCAGAATTGAGACAGGGCGGGTGGGCGGGGCATATATTTTGCCTTTTTTTCTTAATATTCATATTCATTTTTTCACAACAAGAGACTTTGAATATGGTTAAAATGGTAAATTTTTGCAAGGAAATGTGGATTTTGTAGTTACGGGGCGGAGCCTAATAGCAAAATTGATATTTCCTTATACAAATTTTTAATTTTAAACATGTTTTAAGTTTCATGTTGTAAAAAGAAGTCTACAAAGGCAAAATGTAAGCCCGCCCACCCGCCCTGTCTCAATTGTGATGATTTTTTTTATTCGCCGTGGACCAAGAGGGCGGGGCTTAACTGCAAAATACTTATTTCTTTACAAGAAATTAAGAACATATTTTTGAGTATCGTGTTGTTCAAAGAATACTATGTATATTAAGAAAAAAGGGTAAAATATTAACCCCGCCCACCCACCACATCTCAATTGTTGTAAGAAGAAGAAAAATTATCTTCTTCTTCTTACAACCTTAAAATACGTTAAAAATGGTACATTTTTGTAAAGAAATGTGGATTTTGCTATTAGGCTCCGCCCCTAGGTTTGCCAATACGAATAAAAACTTTCTTATTATTTAGGTCAAGGCAGGTATGGGTGGGGCTTAATGTTTGACTTTAATTTTTGCTTAATATACACACTTAGTATTCTTCGAATAAAACTATACTCAGAAACATGTCTTACATGGTAATTTCTCGTAGAAAAATAAGTATTTTACGATTAAGCTCCGCCCCTCGGCTTACAACGTACCTATAAAAAAATCATCAGAATTGAGACAGGGCGGGTGGGCGGGGCATATATTTTGCCTTTTTTTCTTAACATTCATAACCATTTTTTCACTACAAGAGACTTATATGGTTAAAATGATACATTTTTGCAAGGAAATGTGGATTTTGTAGTTACGGGGCGGAGTCTAATAGCAAAATCGATATTTCCTTATACAAATTTTCCATTTTTAACATGTTTTAAGTTTCATGTTGTAAAAAGAAGTCTACACATATTAAAACAAAAAGGAAAAATGTAAGCCCGCCCACCCGCCCTGTCTCAAGTGTGATGATTTTTTTTATTCGCCGTGAACCAAGAGGGCGGGGCTTAACTGCAAAATACTTATTTCTTTACTTTACAAGAAATTAAAAACATGTTTTTGAGTATCGTGTTCTTCAGAGAGTACTATATATATTAAAAATATAAACCCCGCCCACCCACCCCTTCTCAATTGTGATGTTTTTTTTATAATCTTAAAACACGTTTAAAATGGTAGATTTTTGTAAGGAAATATGGATTTTGCAATTAGGCTCCGCCCCTAGGTCTGCCAACGACTAAAAACTTTATTATTATTTAAATGAACTCAGGTATGGGTGGGGCTTAATCTTTGGCTTTAATTTTTCCTTAATATACACACTTAGTATTCTTTGAATAAAACTACATGTACTCAAAAACATGTCTTATATGATAATTTTTTGTAGAGAAATAATACAGATTTGCAATTAATTTCTGGTCCTTTGGCTCTCGACGATTAAAAAAAAAAACATCACAATTGAGAAAGGGTGGGTGGGCGGGGCTTATATTTTGCCTTTGTTCTTAATATACGCAGTCGTCTTTTCAGAAGAAGAAACTTAAAACATGTTTAAAGTGGTAAATTCTTGTAGACAAACATGTATTTTGCAATTAAACCCCGCCTCTAGATCTGACAACGAATAAAAAATTCATCACGATTCAGAATTGAGATAGGGGCGGGTATGGGCGGCCGGGGCTAATCTTTGTCTTTATTTTTTTCTTAATATACAATGTATTATTTGAATAATACGATACTCAAAAACATGTTTTTAATTTCTCGTAGTGAATGAAATAAGGATTTTGCAGTTAAGCTCCGTCCTCTTGCTTCACGACGAATAAAAAAAAATCATCACAATGGAGATAGGGCGGGTGGGTGGGGCTTCATTTTACCTGTTTTTCTTAGCACGTGTAGACTTTTTCGACAACAAGAAACTTAAAACATGTCAAAAATGGTAAACGGCAAGTTTATAAATGGCAGATAAACATTACCGTCTAAACTGAAAATTATAATTCAAAACCTTATAAACGGGACACTTATTTTATGGTCCGGACCTGGTTACACAAGTTGCTAACTTCATTGACATCTTTCAATTGACAGCCAGTCGTTGACATTTCAACGAATGTCATTGTGGTCATCTGTCAAACTCAAGAATCAAAAATTATAAACAAAACCCACGTGTAGCGCGAATTTATTAACAATTTATTAACCAGAAGCGACCTGTGCCAAAATGATGGAGGAAGCAAAGCCCATCCAGCTCTCAAAGTCCATCCTGGACATGAAATTCATGAAAAAAACCAAAGAAAGGGTCCAGAAAGAGCAGGAAGACGCCGAAGGCAAAGCCATGTATTCGAACGAAATCACGGAAGAAATGAAGAAAAGCGGCAACATAATCTTCACGGAGACGAGCATTTTCAATTGTAGGAACCTGGTGGAAGGGCGGCTGTCGTTCGGGGGCATGAACCCAGAAATCGAGAAATTGATGACCGACGACTTCACCAAGAAGAAACAGGAGGTGGAGAGGAAAAAGGAAACCGACATCAGCGACGAGAAAATGGCCCAAGAATACTCAACTTTGGTGGACACGATTGGAAATAAGTTCAGTGGAAAGAGAAACAAAAATAAGAGGAAGTTTCTAAAACCCAGTGAAGATTTCTAGTGATTTATAGCTTGTTGTTGATTGTTTGTAAATAGTGGTGATTTTACTAGAATTTGACCTGGGAGTCAAGTTTGAGATTGGATGTTATGAATTGTAATGAGAACTTTTTTTATTAAACAGCGTGGCCTACATCATTATCAAACGTTTATTTTTGTGCGGGGTTTTCAGGAGCATAAAAAGTGTCTGACGCGTGCATATCATTCAAGATATTCATGTTAGAGGACGAAAGCAGGCAGAAAAACTCGATTTTACTAGCTCTAAAATAAAAAAAAAAACATCCGGATAAGCTTATCTTTGCAAATAATTGGCAGTTTATCATTATTCATAATTATTTATTTTATTATTTTTCTTTTAATATCTTGCACCTAAGACGTCAAGGCGAGACCAGTTTTACTAGAACGAAAACCCTCGACCGTTTTTCTCACTCAGGTTTCGCTCGTCAGACCTCAAAACGACGTGTAATCGCCTCAGTCAACGTTTAGCCTCATCCACTTTCAATTTTTCCTCAAATTTCCCTTTTTTTCCTCGTTTCGTACCTCCAAATTCAAATTTCGCGCCTCGTCTATTTTCGCCCAGTGTGAACTTGTCCGTTCCTCTTATCTTTCAACAGCTCGTGCATGCGAATTGGTAAGTCAAACAAAAATTATCATTCTTATTCAAAAAACAAACAAATTTGTCCAATATAAAGTCCACTCTCACTCGTTCGCATTTTAAAATTCGTGCGATCAAATTCCCGTCCGGACGTGTTGTTAAATTGACGTACGCCCGGATTTTCTGTGGTGGATTGAGGTTATATAAGCGTCTAAATTTAAATTTTCCTCAGCTTGTAGCAAGGTCTTGTCGAGTGCACATTCATATTCAGAGTACCGGTAGTAAAGGTAATAAAGGTGGCCTTTTTTTTTGAAAGGTTGTTTGAAGGTGTTTGAACTGTGAAGTTCATTGAGGGTTGCTTGTTTCCAGGGTTGGACCTGTTGGAGATGCAATTGTCACAGGCCCGATATCTCGCCCTTCGCTTCACCCTTGCACAGGTGAGTTTTTAATTTTTTGTAATTTTTGTGGTCCGAGAAATGAGCGGAAAAGTACCAAGTGGAGATTTGGGGCGCAAATATCGTAAATCACGTTGAGTGTGGACGCCCGGTTTGTCCAGGACCGGATTGCCACGCGAATAACGGTACACTTGAAGACCTTGAATTCCATTAAACTATAGTTTGCAACTCATTTAGAACTATTGTCCAATTTATGTCAATGCGTTATATAATTATTTGTGTCTTAAATTTCTCTTTGGCACCAGTTGAGTTTCGTTTCGCACTTTTTGATGATTCATTCATAATTTGGGTAAATTTAAATTTCCAATATTTGCCGCCTTGTCAACAAAGTTCTTCCCGAAACTCATTATTGGTATTACTCATTTCTGATAACTAATAAAGCAATCATTCATGTGAACAATATCAATCGAGTCAACAAATAACACGAAAACACGACCGGAAATTATTGCAATTTTATGTAATTTTTATTATCGTTGTTGGTGTTTTTGCGCACCAAGTTGAAGTTAAAATAAACGGGATTTGGGTCGGGGCCTTAATATAAATTATCTTGTTTTTAAACTACAAAGGCGTTGTGTTTTTATTAGATTTGAGGACGCGATATTGAATAAGTTTGATTTTGAGTGCCAATATTTTGCTATCTGGAAAATATTAGCGGGGTTAAAGTCGTCTAGAAATCCGGCGCCTCGATATTAGGTAATTCCTACCGTAGTAGACGGAATTAAGATAGCGCTGATAACATTGTTTAAATAAAGTGGCTACTAAAGGCTGGGAAATGGAAAATTTTACGATAAATGAATAATAACAATTTAGAAAATTTTGTTCTGTGTCAATACGCTTAATTTTTGTGGGTTTTTGGCTCTAGAGATCTCTAACCAAAATTTGCCTATTTATTCCCACTACAATCTCGATGACGTCACTTAGAAGTTTGCCAAGTAAATCTTGATCAATTGTGTAAAATGATTTTTATTTTCTATATTTATTTTTACCCACCTGAAGTCTGTCTGTCCGAATGTTATTAGATAGATAATCGCCGAAACTACTGGACCGATTGTTGTTAAATTTTATATATGTGTACTAGGAATATTGTATACATGGTAAACAAGGTTATCGTGATCATCGTAAATCGTTTATCAAAATTTATTTGTTTCCAGAAAATTGATGACGTTATTTGAAAATTTTGCCGAATAATTTTAATTATGTATTTCAGTTTTGCAATTTTTTAATTTTTCATTTTCAGAATTTTTATTATCTTTTTCGATTTCATATCACAATTTTTCGATTTTTCATTTGTTTTATTTTTTCAATTCTTTTCTTCCGATTTTATCATTTTTCCTTTATCCAAATTTTCAGTCTTTGATTTTTCAATTTTGGATGTCTCAATTTTCCGATTTTCCGATTTCCTAAATTTTCGATATTTCTATTTTACATACAGTATTTCATTTTTTCGATTTTTCGTTTCTTCATTTCTTTTATTTTTTCAGTGTCTTTCGATTTTATAATTTTTCGATTATTCAATTTTTCGTCTCTTTAATTCTTCGATTTTCCAATTTCCAATTTTTCAATTTTGCAGTTTTTGGATTCCTCAATTATCCGATTTTCCTATTTCTTTAATTTTCGATATTTTGATTTTACAATATGTATTTAGTTTCTTCGATTTTTCAATTTTTCGTCTCTTCACTTTTTTGAGTTCTTAATTTCCAGTTTTTATATTTCTCAAAGTTTTCATTTTTGATTTTCAATGTTAAAATTTTACAATTTTCTCTTTTTGATTCGAGAAGTTGAAAAATCGAAAATGTAAAAAAATCGGAAAAAATTTAAAAATCGAAAATCGGTTTTTCGATTGTTCAATTTTTCGATTCTTCAATTGTTCAAGTTCCTGATTTTAAATTTTAATTTTTTTCGTTTTTTAATTTTTATTTCCAATTTTATATTACAATTTTTCGTATTTTCCTTTCTTTTATTTTTTCAATGTTTCTTTAGATTTTATCATTTTTCGTTTATTTAATTTTTCAAATTTACAATCTGATTTTTTGATTCTTCGATTTTCCAATTTCCAAATTTTTCAATTTTGCAATTTTTGGATTTCTCAATTATGCGATTTTCCGATTTCTTTAATTTTCGATATTTCATTTTTACAATATTTCGATTTTTCAATTTTTCGAGTTCTTGATTTCCAGCTTTTATATTTCTCAAAGTTTTCATTTTATGCTTTTCGTTTTTTCATTTTTGAATTTTCGATGTTATAATTTTGCAATTTTTACTTCCCGAGCGTAAGCAAAGGAAGTATTGTAATCGAGTCCGTCGGCCGACTCTCTACTTTTACGTTTTCTCGATCTTTCATGACCCCTAGAAGACGAAGAAATAGGTCTCCCATTTCCGTCTGTCTGTCCGTCTGTCCGTCTGTCCGTCTGTCCGTCTGTCCGTCCGTCTGTCCGTCTGTCCGTCTGTCCGTCTGTTGTCACGGATTTTTATTAGACAGATAATCTCCGAAAGTACTCGACCGATTGTTGTGAAATTTTGTACTTATATTAAGAATATCATGTAGATGGTAAAACGCTAACCAAAATTTGTCGAATCATCCCCACCACTAAAGCGATGACGTCACTTCAAAATTGTACATAGTAAATGGGTTTTCAATTGTATAAAATAACATAGTCCTACACGTGTAGTTTACAACTCTGAATCGACTTTTCACCCGAAACGTCCAGATTTTTGGAAAAAAAATCAAAATTATAAAACAACATTTTGAAATTTAATTTTTAATCTGCTAACCAGAATGCTTTGAAATGTTGCAGATGTTTTAAGGCTATAAAGAGCATCATAAATCTTTAGTCAAAAAATATTTGCTTATCCCCTCCAAAAACTTGATGACGTCAGCTCAAAAGTTTGTGGAATAAATCATATCTAAAATGTACAAAATATGATGAGTCTGTACTTGTGAACTATCACTCCATTAATATTTTTTGGATTTGCATATACAGGGTGACTCAAAAAAATTAATGAATGCGTAAATTTATTTTATTGATTTAATCAGGAACTACAAAACCGAATGCTTTGAAATCTTGCAGATGTTTTAAGGTTATAAAGAGCATAATAAATTTTTAGTCAAAATATATTTGGTTATCTTCTACAAAAAACTGATGACGTCAGCTCAAAAGTTTTCCGAATAAATCGTATCTAAAATGTACAAAATATGATGAGTCTGTACTTGTGATTTATCATTCCATTCATATTTTTGGATTTGCATATGCAGGGTGACTCAAAAAAATTAATGAAGGCGTGAATTTATTTTATCGATTTAATCAGGAATTACAAAACCGAATGCTTTGAAATCTTGGGAATATTTTAAAGTTATTATAAGCATGGTAAACTTTTGTTCAAAATGTATTTGTTCATCCCTCCTAAAAAAATTGATGACGTCACCCTTAAATTTTGCTGAATAAATCCTATCTAAAATGCAAAAAATATGATGAGTTTGTACTTGTGATTATCATTCCATTCATATTTTTTAGATTTTCTTAAGAGGTGGTTCAAAAAAATTAATGAATTCAATTTATTTTATTGATTAAATTAAAGGCAACACTTATTATTAGTATTACACCCCAACCAACCCAATTTGGTAGACACAAAATTTGTTAAAGGAAAAACTCGGTTGAAACATAAGGGTAGCACGCTTATTTACATCGACTTTAACATTACAGACCTGCATTTGTTTTATGCGTTCACTTGATTCCGCGAATGTGAAATAGACATGTTTATAATCAACCAATTGTGAATTTCACCGTCAAGAATTAAAATAAAACCCAATGTTTTATATAATAAGCGGAAGTCGAAGCAATAAAACCGACGGTCGTTTTGTTTACAGTTTCTGTGTTTGGCTCTCACGTATGCTGTTACGCCTGTCATCTTAAATTAACAATGTTTATACATACACGATTTTCAGTTGCCTCTGATACGTAGGTATACGTGAGTAAATTGTTTCGTTATTTTATTGATTATTACAAATCAATATTCAAACGACCCAATTCATTTTCCCGAAAATTTGAGAATATAATAATTTTATTCTTAGTATTACACTACATCTATCCCAACTGATATACGTGTCCTTGCAAAAATGTTGATGACGTCATCGCAATTTTTTTTTAAATTCCCACTACAAAAATGTAATGAGAAAAAAAACACAATAGGCATGCAGTCGTCAAGTTTCCGACAGCGAGGGAAGTACTGTCTAAACTCTTTAGACCAATTTTTCGTTTCTTCTGTTTTTCAAGTTCTTGATTTCCAGTTTTTATATTTTTCAAAGTTTTCATTTTATACTTTCGTTTTTGATTCGAGAAGTTGAAAAATCGGAAAAAAATGAAAAATCAAAAAACTGATTAAACGGGAAATTACAAAATCGCAAAAATTGGAAATTTGAAAAATCCAAAAAATTAAAAATTTCACATTGAAAGAAAGGAAAATTATACAATGAGAATATTGAAAAGTCGAAAAATTAGAAAAATAAAGAAAATAAAAAACCGAAACGAAAAATTGTAAATCGAAAAACTGAAGAAATGAAAAATTGAAAAGTGAAAATTCGTGAAATTGCAAATCGAAAAATTGCAAAATCTAAAAATTAAAATATCCAAAAGTTGGAAAATCGAAAACTGAAAAATTTAAAAATGGAAACTCATAAGTTATATATCTTAAAATTGAAGAAACAAAAAAAAATTGGAAAATCCAAGAATTGAAAAATCAGATTGAAAATTAGAAAAATTAAATAAACGAAAAAAGATAAAATCGAATATAATTTTCCGTTTATTCAATTTTGTAAATTATCAGTCCTTGATTTTTCAGTTGGCCTTTTTTCCAAGTTTGCAATTTTTGGATTTCTCATTTTTTCGTTTCTTCAATTTTCAAATTCTTGATTTCCATTTTTTATATTTTTCAAAGTTTTCATTTCAGACTTTTCGTTTTTTGCAATTTTTCTTTTTTTTTCCATTTGAGAAGTCGAAAAATCTAAAACTAAAAAATCGAAAAATCCAAAAATTTAAAAATTTCACATTGAAAAAAAGGAAAATTATAAAATCAGAATATTGAAAAACTGCTAAATTGAAAAAATAAATAAAATAAAAAACCGAAACGAAAAATTGCAAATCAAAAAACTGAAAAATTTAAAAATGAAAATTCTGAAGCTACATATCTTAAAGTTGAAGAAACAAAAAAACGAAATTAGAAAATCGAAGAATTGAAAAATCAAATACATATTGAAAATTTTAAAAATTAAATAAGCGAAAAATTATAAAATCGAATATAATTTTCTGTTTATTATTATCTTTGATTTTTCAGTTCTGATTTTCCAATTTTGCAATTTTTGGATTTCTCAATTTTTCGATTTCTTTAATTTTCTATATTTTTTCAAGTTGTTGATTTCCAGTTTGTATATTTTTCAAAGTTTTCGTTTTTATACTTTTCTCTTTTTTGCAATTTTTCCTTTTTTGATTCGAGAAATTGAAAAATCGGAAAAAATTGAAAAATCTAAAAACTGATAAAACGGGAAATTGCAAAAACGAAAAGGTAGAAAACTGAAAAATTGCAATTCGTAGAACTGAAGAAACGAAAAATTGAAACATTGGAAAATTAAATATCGAGAAAATCGAAAAATTATAGAATCGTCAAAATTGTGAAGTTGAAAAACTGTAACATTGCAAGATTGAAAAATTCAAAAATTTAAAAATTTCACTTTGTAGGAAAGGAAGATTATAAAACCAGAAGAATGAAAAACCGAAAAATTGAAAAATTAAATAATGAAAAATTGCAAAATCTGAAAATTGAAATGTCAAGTTCAAAAATCGAAAACTGAAAAATTTAAAAACGAAAAGTCCGAAGTTACATAACTTACGATTGAAGAAAATGAAAAATTGGAAAATCGAAGAATTGAAAATCAGAGATTGAAAATTTGAAAAATTGAATAAACGAAAAATATAAAATTCGAATATAATTTTCCGTTTATTCAATTTTTGTAAATTTTCAGTCTGATTTTTCAATTCTTCGGCTTTCCAGTTTGTAGATTTTTAATTTCACAATTTTTGGACTTTTCAATTTTCCGATTTCTTTAATTTTCGATATTTCGATTTTACAATATTTCATTTTTTCGTTTAATTTTTGAAGTTCTTGATTTCCAGAGTTATATTTTTCAGTTTTCATTTTGTACTTTTTTGTTTTTCATTTTGCAATTTTTCCTTTTTTTTTTATTCGAGAAGTTGAAAAATCGAGGAACTAAAAATCGGAAAAAAATAAAAATCCAAAAATGATGTAATCATTAAAATTGTGAAGTCGAAAAACTGTAACATTGCGAGTTTGAAAAGTTGAAAAATCCAAAAATTTAAAATTTTCACGTTCAAAGAACGGAAAGTTAAAAAATCAGAACCGAAAACCGAAAAATTGAAGAAATAAAAAAAACTAAAACGGAAAATTGCAAATCGAAAAACTGGATGAACTAAAAACTCGTGAAATTAAAAATCGAAGTATCCCAAAGTTGGAAAATTGTAAAAATTTAAAAATGAATAATTGGAAAATCGAAGATTGAAAATTTGAAAAATATAAACGAAAAATTATAAAATCGAATAGTATAATTTTTCAGTTATTGAATTTTCCAGCTTTTAAATTTTTGAATGTTGCAATTTTTTCGATATTTCGATTTTACATTTTTCATTTTTTATATTTTTATATTTTTCAAAGTTTTCATTTTATACTTCTATTTTTTTTGCAATTTTGCCTTTTTTTGATTCGAGCAGTTGAATATTCGAAAAGCTGAAGAAACGAAAAATTGAAAATTGAACTCTGAAAAACTAAATATCGAGAAATTTAAAATTCGAAAAACTATAGAATCGTCAAAATTGTAAAGTCGAAGAACTGTAACATTGCAACATTGAAAAATTGAAAAACCCAAAAATTTAAAAATTTTACATTGATAGTAAGGAAAATTATAAAATCAGAGTATTGAAAAACCGAAACGAAAAATTGCAAAATCTAAAAATTGAAATTCCGAAAGTTGGAAAATCGAAAAACTGAAAAATTTAAAAAACAAAAAAAGAAAATGGAAAATTGCAATCCAAAAATTGCAATTGAAAAATCAAAAAATCATAAAATTGAAACATTGAAAAATCGTAAAATTGTAAAAGTAAAGAAAATAAGAAATCGAAACGAAAAATCGCAAATTGAAAATTTGATGAAACGAAAAATTGAAGAATTGAAAAACTCAGTGTTATTTACGGTACTGGTTTTAACTTTATAGAAGTTATCAAAAAACAAAAATCGTAAAAAAATTTATAATAAATTTCGACCAATTTTTTATGCAAAAATTTGTCACTAATAGTAAATTTAAAGCCGCCATTTTGATAAACAACGCAAAATTAGCATTAATTTGACACATGGCGCCACCTTCAACAGTAGAAAGTGAATTGAAAATTGGCATAAACAGATTCACCTTCAGCTATTTTTCAACTTCGCGAATAAATACTTCAAGTTCCACGAGTCATTCTTGGGTGAAGAGAAACGTCGAACATGAGATAATCTTGCCACATTTTGTCGCCAAAACCACATTACACCGAGGAAATAAAAAAAAATGCACCAGGAAATGGCCAAATATAGTTGACCTTCAGTGTGTATAATCAATTTTAATAGCGTATAATAACATTGAAAACAATACATAACAAATTAGAGAAATTTTTAAAATAATAGTTGCTTATCGACAAGTCCAAGGAGATCATTTTGAGCATTACCAGAAATAACTAACTCATGCCACGTTTCTCCAAGTTCAAAACGTAATTCTTTCGATAACTCGCCTCAATGACACGAACTTGACCTATCCTGTTCTATTTTAATCGACTCTATTAAGATCGGACCTCTGCCAGCTCTGCGTGAAGTCCGTATCGCTATTTACCTTTGCGGCGCACATATTTATCGGGTGAACTTTGCCGCTGTTATTCAAACGACAACAACGAAGTAAACAGCTTTTAATAAACACGCGGTCTATTTTTACACCTTTGGAACGCAGAAACCGGGAAATGTCGTTCCGTTCACGAATTACATCAACGCTATCGCTGGCAGACAATTATTATTGTTAGTAACAAGATGTTGTTTAGTCTTAACGGTATTGTGTAAACTGAGGTTAACGGACATTGATGAACTTGTTGTTTCAGAATGCTCCAGTTGCAAGAAGGCAGTCTGACAGATTAGTCTTTCCAACGGCCTTCCTCTTGGCCTCTCTCGGAGTTGGAGTTTCTTCGTTTAGTCTGAAGCAGTTGCTGGCTGCACCTAGGAGACGCTAGGATGTGTCGATGTTCTTGTTCTTGAATACCTGCCGCCGTTATTTTATATGATCGGGATAGAGTAGCATTTATTTAAAATCCATCATGTGTAAATGTAAGATACCCATTTATCACTACAAGAGATACTACTTTAAATTTATATTTACGTGCCAGTTGTGGCACGGTAGGTATTAGTGGTTTTTTTATTTAATTTTTTTATTTTTGTCATCCTGATGCGGTCGGTTACGTGTGTATATATTGGTTTAAGAGAAACTGATGTAGCAATGCTTCCTTAGAACATCCTGTGCAATGTTTGCATGCTAAGTCTAGAATTGTAGTAGTTATTGGACTGAGTTTGTAAAATTTTTAGTAAATGTCTTTTTTTTTATTGTTTCTTTTTTTTATCTAACCTTACTGGTACAATCACCCTTAACAAGGTTTTTTTTGGAAAGATTTTGGAAAGTTTATAATACTTTGAGAAGAATCTCGAGATGAGGACAAAAATTATATATTGTAATTCTTCCATATAAAAAGGCAAGTGGTCAAAATGTAAGTGACAGGACATGTGAAAAAAATTTGAAAAGCCCGCGAAAGTTTCAAAAATTTGGCCTTGGCTTTTTTTGTGGCGGAATGTCTTCATTTATTCCTCCACTGACTAAAAAAAAAGAGAAAAAAAAAACTTGACCAAGTTGCGCAGGTTGAAGACCTCTTGGTTCTCAGCTATAAAAAAACTTGCCTAACATTTGTTGTGTAAAAATGATAAAAAAATTCAGGGACGTGGATCTCGACACGCCGATTCCAAAAATATAGCATGTTGATGGTCACGAAGCAACATTTTCGAAAAAATCGCTGCGAAATGCGAATTTTTGAAAATTTCAACCATTTTAAAAAAAATCGAAAAATGGGGGAGCAGCATTTTTCTCGCTTATTTGAAGAGATACATCAAAAACATGCACGGAATCGTAATCCTGAGAAAATTCTGTGTCCGATGATACCCCACACGGTCGATTCGGGCCATTTCGAAAAAATTCGAAAAAAAATGGGGGGGCAGCATTTTTCTCGCTTATTTGAAGAGATATATCATTTGTGTCCTGCAGCTCGAAATCCACAAGAAAATGTATTTGGTCGAGATTCGAAAATGTCAAATTTTTTGCAAAATTTGAAGAAGGGAGGACCATTAAGAAATTTCGATTTTAAAAAAGTTGTCTAAAAATTATGAAAAAATTCAACGACGTCGATCTCGACACGCTGATTCCTAAAATATGGCATGTTGATGGTCACCAAGCAACATTTTCGAAAAAATGGCTGCGAAATAAGAATTTTTGACAATTTTAAAAATTTCGAAATTTTAACGGTCGATTCTGGAAAAACGGTGGGTATCAGAAAACCGAAGCCGGATTTGAGTTCTAGAGCTCGAAATCTACAAGAAAATGTATTTAGTTGAGTTTCGAAAATGTTTGAATTTTTTCGAAATTTTAAGAAAGGGGGACCATTAAAAAATTTCAATTTCAAAAAAGTTGTCTAAAAATTATGAAAAAATTCAAGGACGTAGATCTCGACATGCTGATTAATATAGCATGTTGTTGGTCACGAAACATTTTCGAAAAAAATCGCTGCGAAATGCGAATTTTTTAAATTTTCAAAAATTTTCAAATTTCAACGGTCGATTCTGGAAAAACGGTTGCAGGTATCAAAAAACCGAAGCCGGATTTGAGTTCTTCAGCTCGATATCTACAAGAATCTGGATTTAGTTGCGTTTCGAAAACGTCAACATTTTTGCGAAATTTGAAGATTAAAAATTTTCGATTTTAAAAAGGTTGTGTAAAAATTATGAAAAAATTCAGGAACGTAGATCTCGATACCCTGATTCCAAAAATATAGCATGTTGATGGTCACGAAGCAACATTTTCGAAAAAATCGCTGCAAAATGCGAATTTTTGAAAATTTCAAAAATTTCGAAATTTCAACGGTCGATTCTGGAAAAACGGTTGTAGGTATCAAAAAACCGAAGCCGGAATTTTTCTCGCTTATTTGAAGAGATAAATCAAAAACATGCACATAATCGTAATCCTGAGAAAATTCTGCGTCCGATGATGCCCCACCCGGTCGATTCAGACCATTTTGAAAAAAATCGAAAAAAAAGGGGGGGCAGTATTTTTCTCGCTTATTTGAACAAATACATCCAAAACATGCATGGAATCGTAATCCTGAGAAAATTGTGCGTCCGATGATACCCCACACGGTCGATTCGGACCATTTTGAAAAAATTCGAAAAAAAAAGGGGCAGCATTTTTCTCGCTTATTTGTACAGATACATCGAAAACATGCAGGGAATCGTAATCCTGAGAAAATTCTGCGTGCGATGATACCCCACACGGTCGATTCGGACCATTTTGCAAAAATTCGAAAAAAAGGGGGGCAGCATTTTTCTCGCTTATTTGAAGAGATACATCAAAATCATGCACGGAATCGTAATCCTGAGAAAATTCTGCGTCCGATGATACCACACACGGTCGATTCGGACCATTTTGAAACAATTCGAAAAAAAGGGGGGGCAGCATTTTTCTCGCTTATTTGAAGAGATAACATCAAAAACATGCACGGAATCGTAATCCTGAGAAAATTCGGCGTCCGATGATGCCACACACGGTCGATTCGGACCATTTTGAAAAAATTCGAAAAAAAAGGGGGGGTAGCTTTTTTTGTAGCTTATTTGAAGAGATATATCATTTGTGTTCTGCAGCTCGAAATCCACAAGAAAATGTATTTGGTCAAGATTCGAAAATGTCAAAATTTTTGCGAAATTTGAAGAAGGGAGGACCATTAAGAAATTTAGATTTTAAAAAAGTTGTCTAAAAATTATGAAAAAATTCAACGACGTCGATCTCGACACGCTGATTCCTAAAATATGGCATGTTGATGGTCATCACGCAACATTTTCGAAAAAATGGCTGCGAAATACGAATTTTTGAAAATTTTAAAAATTTGGAAATTTTAACGGTCGATTCTGAAAAAACGGGTGCAGGTATCAGAAAACCGAAGCCGGATTTGAGTTCTAGAGGTCGAAATCTACAAGAAAATGTATTTAGTTGAGTTTCGAAAATGTCAGAATTTTTTCGAAATTTTAAGAAAGGGGGACCATTAAAAAATTTCAATTTCAAAAAAGTTGTCTAAAAATTATGAAAAAATTCAGGGACGTAGATCTCGACATGCTGATTAATATAGCATGTTGTTGGTCATGAAACATTTTCGAAAAAAATCGCTGCGAAATGCGAATTTTTAAAATTTTCAAAAATTTCCAAATTTCAACGGTCGATTCTGGAAAAACGGTTGCAGGTATCAAAAAACCGAAGCCGGATTTGATTTCTTCAGCTCGATATCTACAAGAATCTGGATTTAGTGGCGTTTCGAAAATGTCAACATTTTTGCGAAATTTGAAGATTAAAAAATTTCGATTTTAAAAAGGTTGTCTAAAAATTATTAAAAAATTCAGGGACGTGGATCTCGATACCCTGATTCCAAAAATATAGCATGTTGATGGTCACGAAGAAAAATTTTCGAAAAAACCGCTGCAAAATGAGAATTTTTGAAATTTTCAAAAATTTCGAAATTTCAACGGTCGATTCTCGCTTATTTGAAGAGATAAATCAAAAACAAGCCGGGAATCGTAATCCTGAGAAAATTCTGCGTCCGATGATACCCCACACAGTCGATTCGGACCATTTTGAAACAATTCGAAAAAAAGGGGGGGGGGGGGCAGCTTTTTTCTTGCTTATTTGAAGAGATATATCATTTGTGTTCTGCAGCTCGAAATCCACAAGAAAATGTATTTGGTCGAGATTCGAAAATGTCAAAATTTTTGCGAAATTTGAAGAAGGGAGGACCGTTAAGAAATTTCGATTTTAAAAAAGTTGTCTAAAAATTATGAAAAAATTCAACGACATCGATCTAGACACGCTGATTCCGAAAATATAGCATGTTGATGGTCACGAATCAACATTTTCGAAAAAATCTCTGTGAAATGCGAATTTTTGAAAATTTAAAAAATTTCGAAATTTCAACTCTCGAGTCTGGAAAAACGGTTGCAGGTATCAAAAAACCGAAGCCGGATTTGAATTCTAGAGCTCGAAATCTACACGAAAATGTGTTTAGTTGAGTTTCGAAAATGTCAAAATTTTTGCGAAATTTGAAGAATGGGGGACTATTAAAAAATTTCAATTTAAAAAAAGCAAAAATATGGCATGTTGAAACATTGACAAAAATACATCTAGGTCTGAACTCTCGAAATTAATTTTTGTCACTGATTGTCATCAGTGTAAGTGCATTTTTTGAAAATAAAAGTAGTAACATCTTAGATAAAAGTTAAAACGGTGTTTTAAAATTTCTTCTATTGGTCACATTGTGCATTCCCCTAAATGTTAAAAATAGCTTATTAATATAAATATCATTCACAAACCTAGTGTTGTACAATTTATCTTTCTCATTAATATTAATCCACATTCTGATATATACGCATATTCCAGAAGCGGATTTAACCAGTCCTGCATAATTTTGCAAGTCCCTAGTAAACACAAAAGCAAACATCACATGAATTAAGTTACTACAAAATCTCCACCTAATCACATCTGTCAATACCTCGAACATTCCTTCCATGAATGCGCTTTACCACCGTCTATTTTCAGCTATTATCAAACGGAAGATTCTAAACCATCGTGATTTCTTAAAAAAACATTTATTGTAAACATAAATACAACCAAAATAAATATACAAACACAGGAAATTTTCAACTCGTGTTAAAATAGTGACATTGGCCTAACACCAAAACCCCCACCCCCACAAACACGAAGAACAAACACAAATATCTTCCAGTTACGGGCATACAAAACAGCTTAGCCCTCAACTTTAGACTCGCTGTGTACAACAAAATCGAATCGAGGTCGTGCCGAGGGGTATCCTGATGGACGAACGGTCTAGTCCTGACCTCCTGACCTGCGCTGCGGAGAACGTCACACTCGTTTGATAACCTGGAGGCCTGAAACACTAAAAGTTAGAACGAGAAAGAACAACGACGTGCTAGAACCTGAATAAAAGGTGCTAGCGCTAGCAAAACCCAAAGGACTACGTTTAGAGTACTGATCCCTACAATGGGCACGGTTTCCTTATCAACGTCGTCGTAATTGAAGAGCCAGAGGATGCCCGAGGTGGCACAGGCGATGTTGATGAACGTGAACATGCACACAGACGGCGCCACTTCGATGTTTACATATCTTAGCATTTTTTTGAAAGTCTCGATGTGCTAAAAGGCGAGTCAATATTAGAGTGCTTGGGTGAAAGGCGGTTTTACCCTGATCCACTCCAGAGGCTGAACCGGATGCTGAAGCAGTTTTTCTTGCAAGAATTGCAAATAGGTGGTTAGTAGTTGGGTCTGGAGGCAGTAGTTGGATATAATGGTGGCTTGTACGACGTCGTGCCAGAGGGTGCAGGTCACTAGGAGGACTTTCAAGCCGGTTTGTATAGCAACGGGGCTGAAATAGCAATGAAATTTAGACGTCGTTATTTAAGTTGGCGACACTGGATGGAGTTGTGTAGGATTTGACTTTGCCGCTTTAGTTAAACAGAAATTATAACCTAAATGTCAGATTGACGTTGCTGGTCCACCAATAGCAGCACTTGATTGTAGTGGTTGGTGATGTAAGGGTGAAGCGGCAAACCTAACTAGCAAACTGCTCCAGTGTTGCCACATTTAAAAAATTTGAAATACGTACGCGTCGTCCAGCCATTTGAAATTGATGGTACCGCTGCCCATCATGAACATTACGGCAACAAAGGACACCGTCATCCATATCACCGTGAGACCCACAAAGGTCCACAAGGTCCGTACTAACTTCCTTTGGCTGCCTCGCCCGTTCGAAATGTTCGTGGAAGTTAAAAAAACCTTCTCATATTTTTAAAAATCACCATCAACCTTACACAACTCACCCTTTCCATTAAAACTGGCAGCTGGTCGTCCTCAGAGTGTCTGATGACGACAACAGCATGCACATACGCTACCAGATGCAGCGCACTGGGTATAATAAAAGAAAACACAACCGGTGCATGACAAATCTTCTCGTAAATTTCTTTGATTTGGGTTTGGTACAGGTACGGATTATTCGCGATTTTGAAACAGAATCCTCTATCCCTGCGAAAACAAGCCATGTATTGCAGCAAATACCCCACAATTAAAAGAAACACGAGCTGAATCGTGTAAATGTAGTTGACGAAGCGAAAACAAAAACATGGTTCGAGTTGGTTGGCTAGCAGAGGTCTTAGACCCACGACGCTCAGTAACCTCAGATAAGGCGTGAGGATTTTGCTCTTGCAGTGGTTTAGTACCGCTGTCACGCTTAACTGTGGATTTTGCTCGTGGTGGGGATAATCGGCGACGTTGTCATCCTAAAAACGCTAATTAAAAACTGCACGTTGATCTTTTGACCATTTACCGTACTCGTGGACGATAAGAAACACGAAGGACTGCTGATATGCGCCTGCATTTTTTTAATTTGGTTTGAACCCTCCAAATCTGTAATCAAAATCGTAGCAGAAGCCATTTTTGGTAACGATATCACTGCAACTGATAAAAAACGCAAAAACTACGTACCAGCAAAACATTTTTCTTGGGAAAAAGTGTCACTCGACGTGCACTGTTTACATTTAATAATCTCACTAATTAAGTGAGAGGGTTTTGATTAATCAAAGCTTATCCCTTGTTGTATTCGCGATAACCTTTTTCGGTTATTAACACTGATTGATATTACTTCATTTCGATTAAAAAAATATTTATTTTATACATATTTACATCATTTTCTTTTATTTTTAAAAAACGGGGGTTTGTGCTTGGATTTGATTCCACCCAGGGGTCGAATCAGTCGTTTCCGTTCTTCTCTATGTTTCTTGTTTTTGAAGTCTGCTAATTTGTTTCTTTTCTTGTGTGTGGAGAAGGTCATTTCGCGGTTTCCAACTGAACCCAGGAGTCGTACTGACGACGTTTCGGCTTCCACGCGCTCACCGAGTGGAGCTCTGCAACAAATGACGTCACGCTACGCCAACTTTTATTATTACTTACTTGTTCACTTTCCGCTTGAGACTCTGTACCCCTTTGTATTCCTCCCCCTGTCGCAACTCAAACAACTTCGGCTCTTTTTGTTCTTCTTCACGCTCTCTTTGCTTATTCTCCCTTTTAATCGCTTTATGCTGCTTCTTCACTTCTTTAACCCAACTTTGATCATCATCAGAACTTTCTTCCTCGTGCTCAGACTCTTCAGACGACTCCTCTGAACTATTCTTCCCCTCTAATTCCTCTTCCACTGGTTCGAACTCCTGAGCGAGGAGTTTCTTCTTCAACTCTTTCTTTTTGGCTTCATCTAGCCTTGATAATACTGGATTAAGCAACCGGTATTCGTCGCAGTTCTTATCAATTTCGAAAGCGGGGTCAGCAAACAATGATTTAAACCGGTCATCTTCCAGAAGATCGCCGCTCTCTTTCTTCTTCTTTTTATTTTTTTCTTCGGTCATTAGTTTAAGCGCGAGGTCTTTATTCACTTTGGGTAATTTATTGACTTGGACTCGATTCGCTCTGTCTTTTTCTATCGTTTCTCGGATTTTCTTTTTGCGGTATTCGTCGAACTCGAATGGATTGGCGACGGATTTGGCTTTCTTGTACAATCGTACGTCCATGAAGTACCTAAAACATTTTGGTTGTCACTGATCGAATCAAGTTGTGTCGATAGCCAATGGCGTTTGAAATTTTAAATGTCGCGCCAAATTTCGACCAATGATTTCAGAAATTCTCAAAAAGTGACAGTTGTGTGAAATTTTGTTACCCGTGCATGTAAGCTCGCAACAAATTGGTCCCCACGAGGTGCTCCAAGCCCAAATTCTCCAACTCTTGTTTGGTGACGAACTTATAATCATCGTAGACGTTTTCGGAGTTTGATTCCTCGAGTTCTTCGGTTAGTGAGTCCAAGAAACTGGCCCAGCGGGGCGCTGGACCCAAGCTTGGAATATAGTAGGTCTGGATTTTCGTGTTTTCGGTGGCTATGAAAAACAAGCCGGTGTTTGGAACCACACACAAATTGTTGAATTCTGTGGAGGCTTCTATAGAGGTGTACAATTTCCCCTATAAACACTCTAATTCAAAGAATGTTAATAATAGATGATTGATACTGACGTTATTTTTATCCCAGATTTTCACAACTGAACTATCCATGGAGAAAATAAGATCTTGCTGGTGGTGGAACTCAACATCTTTAATTGGTAAACCGTACATGTGGTCTTTGATGTAGAAGGGTTTGTTTGAACGAATATCATACAGTAGGACTTGTCCTGTGGCTGTTCCTACCCCCATTGAGAGTCCGCCGTTAAACTTTAGGGCGGTAATTGAAGGAAACCCCTCCAAACTAAACTTATTTATATTTTTTTTGTAACAAAATAAATAAAACTTACTCTTTATTTTCAGTCACACAACTGAAGGCACAGTCCAGTGTCCCCACTAGCCCCTTGGTCCTAGGATCCCACGCCTCCACTCGCCCCTCCTGAGTCCCACAAATCAGCAAATTATGCACCGGATTAATCGCACACTTGTTGATAGCCGAAGCCGTGCTTGAGTAAGGCGTCATAAATTGCCCCCTTTCCAGATTGAGTCTATAAATATCAGAACCCACCCCCACTACAAACAAATCGCAACTGGGGTAGTGATACTGCATGTCTCGTCCGAATTTGGGTATCCGCAAACGATAGTAGCGCCCATGAGCTGCATGCAACTCTATATATCGGTCACATTGCAGAAACACAAGCTAAAAACTCATTGAATTAATTTAGTCCGGTACGTACAACAATATTTACTTTGCTATAGTCGTCGCTCAGTATTTCAAACGTGACAGCTTCCGAATCAAAGCACCGTTCGAACTTCAGGGAGAGGTTATTGACGTCGAAACACTTCACCCTGGGTTTATAAATCCCGGTGGCAAAAACGTACTGACCGTCTCGTGACACCTTCACCGTCGTGCTGAGCCCCGGCATATCGAAGTCCTGAATCAGCTCGATTCGGCGCCTCAAATCGACGTCTTTTTTGAGGAGAGCTCGCCGCTTTCGTTCCGACAGCCACTAAAAAAGACAGGTTAAAAAGGGTCGAGCAAACGCGCGACTTACTTCTGGGAGCGACTTGCCGGCGCTTAAATTGTAGATTTTGATGTTATTCGGGTCCGACACTTGCATTTTTACTTGTAAACGTAAACATGTGGATTTTTTGAGGTTATGTACTCATTTGTCGTTTGAAATGTCAAACTAAAGCGCATGCGCCGGTCTCCATTTTCGTTATTGGCACTCCTGCCTTGTCATTTCTGTCAGTGTCAAAATCGCGAAAACACAAAAATGCCGAGTCAAGAAGTGACTACAACAAAAGTGGTGGTTCACCCCTTGGTTTTACTAAGTGTGGTGGACCACTTCAACCGAATGGGAAAAATCGGTAACCAGAAGCGCGTCGTGGGGGTCCTGTTGGGGTGCTGGCGCGCCAAAGGCGTCTTGGATGTGTCGAACAGCTTTGCAGGTTAGAATCCCCCTTTGAATACCCTTCCCTCATTGTATTTTTCCAGTTCCGTTCGACGAAGACGACAAAGACAAGTCCGTTTGGTTCCTCGACCACGACTACCTCGAGAATATGTACGGTATGTTCAAGAAAGTCAACGCTCGGGAAAGGGTGGTGGGGTGGTATCACACGGGCCCCAAGCTCCACCAGAACGACATCGCGATTAATGAGTTGATCAGGCGCTACTGTCCGAACTCGGTTTTGGTTATAATCGACGCTAAACCGAAGGATTTGGGGCTGCCGACTGAGGCGTATCAAGCGGTTGAGGAGGTGCATGATGACGGGTCGCCCACGTCGAAGACTTTCGAGCACGTACCGAGTGAGATTGGGGCTGAGGAGGCCGAGGAAGTGGGTGTTGAGCACTTATTGCGCGACATTAAAGACACCACAGTGGGGACGCTTTCACAAAGAATCACCAATCAATTATTGGGGTTGAAAGGGCTGCATTTGCAGCTAAGAGACATTCGGAACTATTTAATCCAAGTTAGTGAAGAGAAGCTGCCTATTAATCACCAAATTATTTATCAATTGCAAGATATTTTTAATTTGTTGCCTGATATAAGTCAGGAGACTTTCAATAAAGCGTTCTATGTTAAAAACAACGATCAGATGTTGGTGGTGTACTTGGCGGCGATGGTTCGCTCGATTATCGCCCTTCACAATCTCATTAATAATAAACTGACGAACAAAGACGCGGAAGAGGGGAAGAAAGAAGAAAATAAGAAAGACAAAGATAGCAAAGATAAAGACAAGGATAAGGAGAAGGAGAAAGACAAGGATGCCAAGAAGGACGAAAAGAAAAAATAATTGTGTTTTTAGTTTATTTACTAACTCTAATTTAATCTAATTGTTTAACTCAGTTTGTAATATTGTATTAATAAATTTTCTTAAAGTATATACATCTAGTTATTTACAGTCAGGTAGTTGCAAAAAATGCCCATTGAGATTAGTGGAATTTGCCAACACCCTGTGAAACCACCACCACTAGTCGTTTCGCTAATCCCTACAAACGGCTCTAAATTAGTGTTATTGTAGTTGGCAAAGTACCAACTGGTATCTTCGGTTGGTATTACGTCAGACGACACGAGTTTTGTCGTTTTGCTCTCTCTATTATTGCGCAAAGGTTCCACAAGTTCCAAATCTGATAACAAAGGTGCGCTTCCTGATACGTGGGGTGACGGTACTTTGGTAATGGTGGGTCTTCCAGGTGGTCTGAATTCGGGTTGCTGCCCCCCTGGTACCAACAAAGCCGACAGAGGCGTCGCCACCACCTTCTTTGTGTCTTCTTTAGGACTCACAGATGATGGAACGTCGGTACTTAGTTCCGCCTCCACAGTAGTACCTCTTTCCGTTGTTGTATCATCAATGTCCTGTGGTACACTTACAGCCACGTTGTCCACACTTTCCTCAAATATGTCGTCAAATTTCACGTCAACTGGAACCGTGGCTTGAGTATCTTCAGGCGTAACAATTTCTTCAATCGTCGCCAACTGTGTGACTTCTTCAATCGTCGTGTTTACAACAACCGGGGGCTGCGTTATCGGTACTACCGTCGCCGGTGGAGTCGGAATCGGATGCCCCATGCTCGTCTCTAACCCATTTTTCTGCAAAATGTACGATTCCGTGGTACTCCGTGGTACTTCAGTCGCTCCCACTTTATCCACGGGGAACGACGCAGGCTCCAACTTTTCCATCGCGAAAGCATCCTGCGCCAGATGCGGATTCGGGATTGGTTTGAACCCCCCAGAGCCAGGCAGCAGCGGTACGAACCCCCCAGTTTGTATCTCCGGCGAGTTCGGCAAACCCATTCCACCTCGCGCCCCATTCCTCGGTTTATTCACTATAGCCATCTTACGATCCGCCACTTCGGTACTCGTGGAGAAACTCTTATCATCCATGCGACCGGTATTCCCACCCAGCAGGTTTTTCAGGTTCAAACTCGGTAAAGGTACCCCGAAGAACGTGAAGCCGCTAGTACTCGGAGAATTCGTTACTTCCTTAGGGATGTCCGGTCGGGATTTGTTGGTGGAGGCTGCGTAAATCGTTGGAGTGTCTCCGGGAGTGAAATGGGGCGACTTGGAGTTGTCGTTTTTCGGCACTTGGGTTTCGTTGTAGGGATAGTCGACGTACTCGTCGTAGAAGTACTCTGATTCTTCTGGAGATGGTGCTAGGTGGTTTTTGTGCTCTTTGGAGAGGTTTTGTTTGAGGTTCATCCAGGGTGAGAAGACTTGGGAGGTGCCGAGGGACCCTGGGGCGGTGAGAAGTTCCGCTTCGCAACCTGGTGCTACCAGTTCAAGGTTGCGTTCTTCTTGGGTACAGTCCTGGCGTGAGATGCGCATTTCGCGAAGGAGAGTACCGTCCACACAGCGCGGACCCACTGAAGAGCTTTCTTGGATCCAGGCTTGTAGCCAGAGTAAGTTGCAGCTGCACGCCAAAGGGTTGCCTGTGAAAGAAAATGGTACCTGAATTTAAGGGCGGATGGGACCTTCTAGAAATTATACGTACTATCACATATTCTGTTCTATTCTGTTCTGTTCCATTCAATTCTATTCTATTCTATTCTATTCTATTCTATTCTATTCTATTCTATTTTTAAATGAAGTAAAATTGAGGTCTTTTCAAAACAAGACAAAAGATATCTGAGATTCCTTCAAACCACTTCAAAAATAGAACAGAAGGAGTCCCGGAGATTCCTTCACACTACTTCAAAAACAAAACACAAAGTATCCCGAGATTCTTTCAAACTACTTCAAAAACCAAACACAAGGAGTCCCTGAGATTCTTCCAAATTACTTCAAAAACGGGACCCACATGAGGTCCTAAAGATTCTTTCAAACTACTTCAAAAACACGACCCGCAGGGGGTCTCCGAGATTCTTTTAAACTACTTCAAAAACAAAACACAAGGGGCCCCCTAGATTCTTTCAAACTACTTCAAAAACAAAACACAAAAGGTCCCCGAGATTCTTTGAAATTACTTCAAAAACAAGACACAGCAGATCCCTAAGATTCTTTCAAATTACTTCAAAAACAAGACCCACACGAGGTCCAAGAGATTCTGTTAAACTACTTTAAAAACAAGACCCAGAGGAGGTCCCCGAGATTCTTTTAAACTACTTCAAAAACAAAATACTAGGGGTCTCTGAGATACCTTCAAACTACTTCAAAAACGAGACCTACAGGAGGTCCCCGAGATTATTTCAAACTACTTCAAAAACAAAACACTAGAGATCCCCGAGATTTTTTCAAACTTTTTCAAAATCAAAATATTAGGGAACCCTGAGATTCTTTCAAATTATTTCAAAAACAAGACCCACATGAGGTCTCCGAGATTCTATCAAACTACTTCAAATACAAAACACTAGAGGTCACCGAGATATTTTCAAACTACTTCAAAATCAAAACACAAGGGGTTCCCGACATTGTTTTAAATTACTTCAATAACAAGACCCACATGAGATCCCTAAGATTCTTTCAAATTACTTCAAAAACAAGACCCACACGAGGTCCAAGAGATTCTGTTAAACTACTTCAAAAACAAGACCCAGAGGAGGTCCCCGAGATTCTTTCAAACTACTTCGAAAACAAAACACTAGGGGTCTCTAAGATACCTTCAAATTACTTCAAAAACGAAACCCCACGAGATCCCCGAGATTCTTTCAAATTACTTCAAAAACACGACCCACAGAAGATCCCCGAGATTCTTTTAAACTACTTCAAAAGCAAAACACAAAGGGTCTACAGATTTTTTCAATCACTTCAAATACAAGACAAAGAATTCCCAAGATTCTTCGACCTCTTACTTCATAAACAAAAAAATCAAAAAAGGTCAACGAGATTCTATTAAACTATTTACTTCAAAAACAAAACACAAAAGGTCCCCAAAATTTCTCCGAGACTCTTTGAAATTACTTCAAAAACAAGACACACAGGAGATCCCTAAGGTTCTTTCAAATTACTTCAAAAACAAGACCCACTCGAGGTCCAAGCGATTCTGTTAAACTACTAAAAAAAAAAAGCCCCAGAGGAGGTCCCCGAGATTCTTTCAAACTACTTCAAAAACAAAATACTAGGGGTCTCTGAGATACCTTCAAACTACTTAAAAAACAAAACCGACATGAGGTCCCCGAGATTATTTCAAACTACTTCAAAAACAAAACACTAGAGATCCCCGAGATTCTTTCAAACTCTTTCAAAATCAAAATATTAGGGAACCCCGAGATTCTTTCAAATTATTTCAAAAACAAGACCCACATGAGGCCCCCGAGATTCTATCAAACTACTTCAAATACAAAACACTAGAGGTCACCGAGATATTTTCAAACTACTTCAAAATCAAAACACAAGGGGTTCCCGACATTGTTTCAAATTACTTCGATAACAAGACCCACATGAGGTCCCTGAGATTCTTTCAAACTACTTCAAAATCAAAACACTAGGAGACCCCGAGATTCTTTCAAATTACTTCAAAAACAAGACCCACAAGAAGTTCCCGACATTCTTTTAAACCACTTCAAAAACAAAAAACACAAGGAGTACCCGAGATTCGTTCAAACTACTTTAAAATCAAAACATTAGCGGATCCCGAGTTTCTTTTAAATTACTTCAAAAACAAGACCCAAATGAGGTCCCCGAGATTCTATCAAACTACTTCAAATACAAACCACTAGAGGTCACCGACATACTTTCAAACTACTTCAAAATCAAGACACTAGGAGACCCCGAGATTCTTTCAAATTACTTCAAAAACAAGACCAACAAGAAGTTTTCGACATTCTTTTAAACTACTTCAAAAACAAAACACAAGGAGTACCCGAGATTCGTTCAAATTACTTCAAAATCAAAACATTAGGGAACCCTGAGATTGTTTCAAATTAATTCAAAAACAAGACCCACATGAGGTTCCTGAGATTCTTTCAAACTACTTCAAAATCGAAACACTTGGAGACCCCGAGATTCTTTCAAATTACTTCAAAAACAAGATCAACAAGAAGTTCTCGACATTCTTTTAAACTACTTCAAAAACAAAACACAAAGAATACCCGAGATTCGTTCAAATTACTTCAAAATCAAAACATTAGGGAACCCCGAGATTCTTTCAAATTATTTCAAAAAGAAGACCCACATGAGGTCCCCGAGATTCTATCAAACTACTTCAAATACAAAACACTAAAAGTCACCGAGATACTTACAAACTACTTCAAAATTAAAACACAAGGGGTTCCCGAGATTCCGAGATTCTTTCAAATTACTTCAATAACAAGACTCACATGAGGTCTCTGAGGTCTTTCAAACTACTTCAAAATCAAAACACAAGGGGTTCCCGAGATTCCGAGAGTCTTTCAATTTACTTCAATAACAAGACTCACATGAGGTCCCTGAGAGTCTTTCAAACTACTTCAAAAACAAAACATTAGAGGACCCAGAGATTCTTTCAAATTATTTCAAAAACAAGACCCGCATGAGTTCCCCGAGATTCTATCAAACTACTTCAAATACAAAACACTAAAGGTCACCGAGATACTTTCAAACTACTTCAAAATCAAAACACAAGGGGTTTCCGAGATTACGAGATTCTTTCAAATTACTTCAATAACAAGACTCACATGAGGTCCCTTAGATTCTTTCAAACTATTTCAAAAACAAAACACTAGAGGACCCCGAGATTCTTTCAAATTATTTCAAAAATAAAACCGACATGAGGTACCAAAGATTCTTTCAAACTACTGCAAAAACAAAACACTAGAGGTCCTCGAGATTCTTTCAAACTCTTTCAAAATCAAATTATTAGGGAACCCCGAGATTCTTTCAAATTATTTCAAAAACAAGATCCACATGAGAACCCCGAGTTTCTTTGAAACTATTTCAAAAACAAGATCCACGTGAGATTCCCGGCATTCTTTTAAACTACTTCGAAAAAAAGATCCACGTGAGATTCTTAAGATTCTTTTAACTACTTCAAAAACAAAACATAGAGGTCTCCGAAACTCTTTCAAATTACTTCAAAAACAAGATCCACATGAGATCCCCGAGTTTCTTTCAAATTACTTCAAAAACGAGATCCAGAGGTGGTCCCTGACATTCTTTTAAACTACTTCAAAAACAAAACACAAGAAGTCTCCCAGGTTCTTTTAAATTACTTCAAAAACACGACTCACAAAAGGCCCCCGAGATTCTTTTGAACAACTTCAGAAACAAAACACAAGGGGTTCTCGATATTTTTTCAAATTACTTCAAAAACGAGACCCACAGGAGGTCCCCGAGATTCTTTCAAATTACTATCAAAAATCAAACACAAGGCGTCCCTGCGATTCTTTCAAATTACTTCAAAAACGAAACCCCAGGAGATCCCCGAGATTTTTTCAAATTACTTCAAAAATAAGAGCCACAGGAGGTCCCCGGTATTCTTTTAAACTACTTCAAAAGCAAAACAAAAAGGCTCTACAGATTTTTCAAATTCAATTACTTCAAAAACAAAAAAGTCAAAAGAGGTCAACGAGATTCTATTAAACTATTTACTTCAAAAACAAAACACAAAAGGTGCCCAAAATTTCTTCATACTACTTTAAAAACAAAACAAAAGGGGTCTCGGAGATTCTTTCAAACTACTTCAAATTCAAAACACAAGAGGTCTTCAACACTTTTTCAACCTAATTCAAAAACAAAACACAAGGGGTCCCCGAGATTCTTGCAAACTACGTAAGAAAACACAAAGGATCCCCGAGATTCTTTCAAATTACTTCAAAAACAAGGCACACAGGGAGTCCCCGAGTTATGTTTTTAATTACTTCAAAAACAAGACATCATGGGTAGGGGACATCACGGAACTTACCATCCAGATCCAGGACAGCAATATTGCTGCGAAGCTTCTGCACCGCTTGCTCCGGTAACGACATCATCTTATTATTCTTCATGTTGAGCACCCTCAACCGCGGCATACCTTCAAAAGGCGACCCATGAACCGCACAAATGCTATTATCGTTAATTCTCAGCTCCACCAACCACTCCATTTTCTCCAAATTTGACCCAGTCACTCTCGAAATCTGGTTATTACTCACGTCCAACATCTCCAGAGACTTAAGACCACGTAACCCTGCGTCGTCCAACCCCGTCAGATGATTATGACTCAAATTCAACATCAAAAGATGAGGAACCATATGAAACGCGTTGTTCGCCATCGTCTTGATCTGGTTTTCCTGAAGCTCGGCCACTTGGAGCGCCGGTAGATTATTAAAAGCATAATTCGGAATTTCGTGCAACTTATTCCTACTGATCTTCAACGATTTTAACACAGGTAGCGACCTAACCGCATTGGCTTCGATTATTTCCAGCTCGTTGCTGTCAAGATTGAGGTTACGAAGGTGCTGCAAATTATCAAACGCCCCCATTTTGAGCTCTTGGATGAAGTTGTTGGCGAGTTTTAGCTCACGGAGGGACGTCAAACTACTCAAGGTTTCTGGATGCAGCTGCTTGAGCCGATTGTTCGTCAAATCCAGGACTTTTAAGTTCTTCATTCCGAAGAGGTTCGGCGGGAGTTGGACCAGGAAGTTGTTCGAGGCGTCGATGACTTGGAGCTCTTTGGTGGTTTCGAGCATTCCGGGCACCAGTTCGGAGAGTTTGTTGTGGCTGATGTCCAGTTTGCGTAACAATGAGGCGTCTTTGAAGATTTCGGGGTAAATGATGTCGAGGCGGTTGTTCCTGAGGTTGAGTTCTTTGAGTTCGGTCATCTGTCGGAGGGAGTGTCGGTGGATTTGGACGATTTTGTTGCCTTCTAGGTCGATGACTTCTAGACGGGAGAGGCCGGAGAGTGAGTTCTCGTCTAGTCTTTGGAGGGCGTTCCGACTTAAGTAGAGACGGCGTAGGTGTGGTAGTGACCGTAACGAGTTCGGAGGTACTCTGTGAATCTCGTTTTGCGAAACGTCCAACATTCGTAGAGACGGTAGGTCCAAATCCGGCGACGGTGGTGTTGGGATTGCAGAAATTTTGTTGTGTGACATGTGCACATATTCCAGACCACGAGGTAAGTTTGGTACGAACTCAATGAGAAAGTTGTAACTCACGTCCAAGTCGTAGAGGTTCAATAAAGGTCGGAAGGTGGCAGGGTGCAACGATGATAACGCATTGTGGGATAAATTAATATGTTCAAGGGCTGGGGTTAACAAAAATGATGACGGATCAACAAACCCGAGTTCGTTCTCACTTAAATCCACCCTTCTGAGTGACGGGAGATTGGCTAGAAGTTGGGGTTCGAGTTTCCGGTAGAAATTCCCTGATAGGTCTAGACCTTTCAAAGCTGGAAGATTCCACAAAGGTCCTGCTATCACGTCAGATAAAGAGTTGTTTTTTAAGCGCAACTCACGTAGGGCTGGCATGGCCATGAAAGCTTCGTTATCAATAAGACTGATTTTGTTGTAGTCTAGGTGAAGACGCTCTAGAGTTGGGTGCCCCCGGAGAGCCCCAAACGGGATAGCTTCAAGATTATTGTAACTCAGGTCTAGGAAGACGAGTCTTGGGAGGGCATCCAGAAGCGACCTGAGTTCAACGACGTGACTTATGTCGTTTTCCACGAGGGATAGTTCTTCCAAGCCACTACCAGAGTGTTGGAGGAAGCTTTCTGGGTGCACCCGTCGCACCATGTTGTTATTTAAATCCAGAGTTCGTAGTAGTGGTACTCTATGGAACGCCCCGTACTGCAACTCACTGATGTGGTTATTCGATAGGTGAAGCTTCTTCAAAGCTGGAAGATCCACGAAAGCCGCTTCTGTCACTTTATCGACATAGTTGTGGTCGAGTCTGAGCACTTCCAGCTGAGGCAAATCCCGAGCCCCACGTCCCACCATTCCCACATCCACGATTTTGTTACCGACGAAAGACAGCTCTTTGAGGTTAGGTAGTCGGGCTATGGCTCTCGGGTGCATCCAGTTGATTCCGCAGTAGGAAATATTGACTAGGGTCAGTCTTGGCAGGTCTTGGAGGAAACTAGCTTCCAGTCTTGTTAATCTCGGACTATTACTAATGTGGATGGTTTCTAAAGCTGGGAGGTCTTTGAAATTGCGCGAGGTGAGTTCGAGGAGGGACAGTGATTCCAGTTGGATGTATCTTAGTTTGGGTAGCCCGGAGAAGAGTGGGTACCGTTTCATCTGGTTAGTCTGGATGGTGACGGCTTCCAGATGATTTAAATGAATAAGGGAGTCGTCAGGTAGGCTTCGCAAGTCCGGCTCGACTAAGAACAGTTCCATTAAAGATTTCTCCAGTCCGACTAACCAGTCGCTGGAAACTCTTTCCAGTCCGTTGTACCGCAACATCAACCGCATCACTCGAAGCGGAAGGAAGGTACGACCTGGCAGAGACGGCAGGTAGTTGTTTTCGAGGATGAGCTCATCGATGGGGTCCGCGACCAACTGCCCGATGGCCCGGAGACCCTCGAGGACGCTAGGCAAGTCGCTGTGCGAGCACCTGTAACAAATCTACGTAAAATCTAGGTGGTACCACTGAAAACGGGTTACCAGATTTGGAAATCCTCTCCCTTGATTAGGCATCTGCAAGGTAAGATGATTTCTTGCGGAGGGCACTTCTTCTCAGCTCGTGCCGCCGCGACCAAGAACACCAACAGCAACCTCCACACAGCTCGCATGGTGATCACCTCATCTCCACACCACCGGGGTACTATTCGCTCATTCATCACATTGTTTGTTGATGTTTTTACGGATTTCCACACCTGAAATTGCGTCATAGTCGTGAGAATGCAGTTTCGCAAGATGGTTCCGTTATCAGGAACCACAGCGATTATGGAATTGTATCGGTTTGCAAAATGATTCGCTCTCGGTTCAGGTGGAGCGTGTCGAGTGTGTGCTTGTTCACCAATTCCGTCTAAACAGAGTGCGTCGTGCCCCATCTAAGGGTTATTAGCTAATAGATCTTTTGTTCCGAATTGAATAAAAAGTACGATTAGTTCCAGCACACATGTCGTCCCAGATAGGTCAATCACGCAACGTCGCTCCATTTCGAAAACGGCTTCTAAGGAGCGAAAGCGATTAATTTGCTAACGCGTGCTTCCTCCGTTTTCGTGGCTCAGCTTACTTCCAAGTGGTTCCGTTCTTTCCGCAAAAACTTGTCCACATATGACGTGACGGTCTCCATTACGAACGGTACTTACATACGGTGTTTACGGAGACTGATTCGAGTTTTGAGATTTTGCATGTCGCAGGAGTTATTTTTCTACGGTTAGATGCAAAACATTCTAGTCAAAATGTTTTGCATCGGCCGGGATCTGAGGAGACCCACATACATAATGCTTCCGGCCCGAAATGAGTCAGCCGTGAAATGTAGGTCCATCTTCATTGTTTGGGTTCGACAAAATGGCTAAAGGCGGTTGTGCAAGGACGTGATGGATCGATTCGGAAAATGAATAAGCGAAAGCTAATTACGTTAAATCTTATAATATCCTTGGAAAAAATTGCTTCTGGATACGCGAACGTTCGCAAAATAATAGGGAAAGTGGCGCCGGAATCACCAAGTGTGAATAATAATTAAACTTTGAAATTTCTTTTATAACGTTTTGCATTGTTTGTTTGAACAATTGAGGGAGTTAGGTGTGACAAAATTCTAAAGGCGGTGGTGAAGGGACGGAGGGAAATTTGATTCGAATTCACGAAAAAGAAAGACGGACAGGATACGAAAATTAACCAAAATTTGTCTGTTCATCTACTCGGGAAAAATTGTGACATCATCTCAAGATTTAACAGTTTATTATAGACAAAATTCACAATGTTTACAAAAGTCAAGGCCAACTTGATTGAACATCCGTTATGTGGGATTTTTTTTTAACTAAAACACCTGATTCAAATCCAGTTTACTTTTTGTTCAAACAACGGCAACGTAGGATTGCATATCAGATATAAGTTCTATGTTTGTTTTGGGTAGTATATCTCATCAATATATTGATAAAATTAGATTATAGGTGGACACGTTCTTAGGACGAGGATGCATTGGGCTACCAGATTCTTTCAAATTACTTCAAAAACTAGCTCGAAAATCATACTATTTACTTCAAGAAAAGAGGTCTCCAAAATTCTTTCAAACTACGTAAAAAACAAAACAAAACAAGTCCCCAAGGTTCTTTCAAACTACTTCAAAAACCAGGTACAAGAGATCCCCAACATTCTTTTAAATTACTCCAAAAATCAAGTAAAAGGGGCTCCCGAGATAATTTCAAACTACTTCAAAAACAAAATAAAAAGAGTTCCCGAGATTCTTTCAAACTACTTTAAATACCAGACACAAGAGATTCCTGACCTTTTTTCAAACTACTTCAAAAATATACCCAAAACGGGTCCTGGAGATTCTTTCAAATTACTTCACAAAGAAGACCCCAGAGATCACCGAGATTCTTTTAAACTACTTAAAAAACTAGACATAAGAAGGTCTCGAGATTCTTTCAAACTACTTCAAAAACCAGACACAAGAGATTCTCGAGATTCTTTCAGACTATTTCAAAAACATAACAAAAGGGGTACCGGAGATTCTTTCAAACTGCTCCAAAAAATAGACACAAGAGGTCCCTGAAATTGTTTCAAACTACTTCAAAAATATAACAAAAGGGGTTCCCGAGATTCTTTGAAATTACTTCAAAAACATAAGAAAAGTGCTCCTGGAGATTCTTTCAAACTACTTCAAAAACTAGACATTAGAGGGCCTCGCGATTCTTTCAAACTATAGTTCAAAAACCAGACACAGGAGATTCCTGACATCTTTACAAACTACTTAAAAAAATATAATAAAAGGTGTCCCGGAGATTCTTTCAAATTACTTCAAAAACCAGACTCAAGAGGTTCCCAAGATTCTTTCAAACTACTTCAAAAATTAGACGTAAAAGGGCCTCGGGATTCTTTCAAACTACTTAAAAAAATAGACACAAGATATCCCCGAAATTGTTTCAAACTACTTCAAAAACATAACAGAAGGGGTCCCGGAGATTCTTTCAAACTACTTCAAAAACCATACAAAATTGATCCCCGATATTCTTTTAAACTACTTCAAAACCAGACGTAAGGGATCCCCGAAATACTTTCAAACTACTTTAAAAACCAGTCACAAGGGATTCTTGAGATTCTTTCAAACTACTTAAAAAATATAACAAAAGGGGTCCTGGAGATTCTTTCAAATTACTTCAAAAACTAGACACAAGAGGTCGCCTAGATTTTTTCAAACTACTTGAAAAACTAGACATAAGGGGGCCTCGAGATTCTCTCAAAATACTTCAAAAATCAGCAAAAAAGATCACAGAGATTTTTTAAAATTAGCCAGACACAAGAGATTTCTGAGAGTCTTTCAAACTACTGCAAAAACCATACAAAATTGATCGCCGATATTCTTTCAAACTACTGCAAAAACCAGATGTAAAAGATCCCCGAGATCCTTTCAAACTACTTCAAAAATCAAACACAAGGGGTCTCTGAGATTCTTTCAAACTACTTCAAAAACCAAACACAGGTGTTCCTCGAGATTCTTTCAAACTACTTTAAAAACCAGATACAATAGGTCCCCGAGATTCTTTCGAACTACCTGAAAAGAGGGCCTCGAGATTCTTTCAAAATACTTCCAGAAACCAGACAAAACAGATCCCCAAGATTCTTTCAAACTACTTTAAAAACCAGACATAGGAAATTCCTGACATTGTTTCAAACTACTTCCAAAATATAATAAAAGAGGTTCAGGAGATTCTTTCAAACTATTTCAAAAACTAGATACGAGAGGCCCCCGAGTTTCTTTAATATTACTTCAAAAATCAGTTACAAAGAGTCCCCGAGATTCCTTCAAACTACTTCAAAAACCAGACACAAGAGATCCTCGAGATTTTTTCAAACTACTTTAAAAACCAGACAATGAATATTTCTGACATTCTTTCAAACTACTTCAAAAATATAATAAAAGTGGACCTTGAAATTACTTTCAAAAACCTGACATGACAGATCCTCTAGGTTCTTTCAAACTACTTGAAAAACTAGACATAAGAGGGCCTCGAGATTCTTTCGAACTACTTTAAATACCAGACACAAGAGATTCCTGACCTTTTTTCAAACTACTTCAAAAATATACCAAAAGGGGTCCTGGAGATTCTTTCAAATTACTTCAAAAACCGGACCCCAGAGATCACCGAGATTCTTTCAAACTGCTTAAATTAGTAGACATAAGGAGGCTTCGAGATATTTTTAACTACTTCAAAAACCAGACACAAGAGATCAGCGAAATTCTTTCAAACTAGTTCTAAAACTATATATAAGAGCCCCCCGAGATTTTTAAAACTACTTCAAAAATCAGACACAAAGAGTCCCCGAGATTCTTTCAAACTACTTCAGAAACTAGATACAGGAGGTCCTCGAGATTTTTTCAAACTACATTAAAAAACCAAACACAGGAGATTCCTGACATTTTTTCAATCTACTTCAAAAATATAATAAAAGGGGTCCCCGAGATTATTTCAAACAATTCAAAAACTAGACACAAGAGGCCTTCGAGATTCTTTAAAACTACTTCAAAAATCAAATACAAAGGATCGCGGAGATACTTTCAAACTACTTCAAAAACCAGTCACAGGAGGTCCCCGAGATGCTTTCAAACTACTTTAAAAACCAGACACAAGAGATTCTTGAGATTCTTTCAAACTGCTTCAAAAATATAAAGAAACTGGTCTCGGAGATTCTTTCAAAATACTTCAAAAATTAGAGAGAAAAGATCCCCGGGATTCTTTCGAACTACTTCAAAAACCAAACACAAGAGGTCCCCGAGATACTTTAAAACTACTTCAAAAATCAGATACAAAGAGTCCCTGAGATTCTTTCAAATTACTTCAGAAACCAGGCACAGGAGGCCCTTGAGATTTTTTCAAACTACATTAAAAACCAGACACAGGAGATTTCTGACATTCTTTCCATCTACTTCAAAAATATAATAAAAGGGGTCCCAGAGATTCTTTCAAACTACTTCAAAACCCAGACATAAGGGATTCCCGAGATCCTTTCAAACTGCTTTAAAAACCAGGTACAAGAGATATTTGAGATTCTTTCAAACTACTTCAAAAATATAACAAAAGGGGCCCCGGAGATTCTTTCAAATTATTTCAAAAACTAGACACAAGAGATCGTCGAGATTTTTTCAAACTACTTCAAAAACTAGACACAAGAGGCCCTCGAGATTCTTTAAAACTACTTCAAAGATCAGATACAAAGTGTCCCCGAGATTGTTTGAATCTACTTAAAAAACCAGACACAAGAGATCCTCGAGAATTTTCAAACTACTTTAAAAACCAGACACAAGAGATTTCTGACATTCTTTCAAACTACTTCAAAAATATAGTGAAAGGGGTCTCGGAGATTCTTTCCAGCTACTTCAAAAACTAGAGATGAGAGGCTCCCGAGTTTATTTAAAATTACTTTAAAAATCAGATACGAAGAGTCTCTGAGATTCATTCAAATTACTTCAAAAACCACACACAGGAGGTCCACGGGATTTTTTCAAACTACTTTAAAAACCGAACACAGGGGATTTCTGAGATTCTTTCAATCTACTTCAAAAATATAATAAAAGGGGTTTCGGAGATTCTTTCAAACTACTTCAAAACCCTGACATAACGGATTCCCGAGATTCTTTCAAACTACTTCAAAAACTGGACATAAGAGGGCCTCGAGATTGTTTCAAAATACTAAAAAATCAGAGTAAAAGGATCCCCGAGATTCTTTCAAACTACTTCAAAAACTAGACACAAGAGATCCCCGAGATGCTTTCAAGCTACTTCAAAAACTAGACACAAGAGGCTCTCGACATTCTTTAAAACTACTTCAAAAATCAGGTACAAAGGGTCCCCGAGATTTTTTCAAACTACTTCAAAAACCAGACAGAAGAGTTCCTCGAGTTTCTTTCAAACTACTTTAAATACCAAATACAGGTGATTCCTGACATTCTTTCAAACTACTTCAAAAATATAATGAAAGGGGTCCCGGAGATTCTTTCAAACTGCTTCAAAAACTAGAGACGAGAGGCCCCCAAGTTTCTTTAAAATTACTTTAAAAATCAGATACGAAGGGTCCCTGAGATTTTTTCAAACTACTTCAAAAACTGGACACAAGGGCTCCTCGGGACTTTTTCAAATTACTTTAAAATCCAGATACAGGAGATTCCTGACATTCTTTCAAACTACTTCAAAAATATAATAAAAGGGGTCCCGGAGATTCTTCCAAATTACTTCAAAAATCAGACACAAGAGATCACCGAGATTGTTTCAAACTACTTCAAAAACATAACAAAAGGGGTTCCGGAGATTCTTAAACTGCTTCAAAAACCAGAGACAAAAAGTCCCTGAGATTTTTTTTAAACTAATCAGACACAAGAGATTTCTGAGATTCTTTCAAATTAGTTAAAAAATATAACAAAAAGAGTTCCCGAGATTCTTTCAAATTACATCAATAACCAGACACACGAGATCCTCGAAACTATTTAAAACTATGTCAAAAACTTAACGCAAGGGATCTCAGAGGTTTTTTAAACTACTTCAAAAACCAGAAACAAGAGATCCCCGAGAGAGTTCAAAACCAAAAAAAGGGTCTTTTCTTTCAAACCACTTACTTCAAAAACCAGGTTGAAGAGATCTCCGAGATTATTTCAAATCATTTCAAAAACCAGACATAAGAGATCCTCGACATTCTTTAAAACTACTTCAACAAGATACATGATTCTCAAGATTTTTTTAAACTACTTCAAATGCAAAACAAAAGTGGTCTCCGAGTTTCTTCCAAACTACTTTAAAAACCAGGCACAAGGGGTCTCCGAAATTCTTTAAAACTATTTCAAAAACAAGACAAATGATTTCCAAGATTTTTTAAAACTACTTTAAAAAGAAAACACAAGGAGTCCCCGAGATTCTTCCAAACTACTTCAAAAACTAGAGACACGATTCTTTCAAATTACTTCAGATATAACGCGATCAACAAATATTGTTTAAGTTGGCGATAAAATTAACCAATTAAAAATTTTCTTGCGCTCCTATTGCCAGACCTGATTCAGTCCTTGACAAAATTACATAGCCACTTTGACGGTCTCAAGAAAGTTTGGTTATGACATTTTATTAACAAATTTTGACGTAATTTAAATGTCACTGTCAACCATGTCAATTTTGCCAACAGAAAGTAACAGGTCTGTCAATTTCGAGCAAAATCATTGATGCCAACTGAAACAGTACATATTAATCCCGCTTTAGATTTATTAAATTGAAAAATCTATGTATTCTGGTATCTAAACTAAAAAACAATTAACTTACATACTTGTCACATTGGGACAGTATAAATTCACACACATATGATACAAAATAAACATTAGAAGGTTTCTTCGGTCTAAAATTGCTTATCTGATTATGTCGTGCTTATGTGCCATGAAAGATATAGAACGATATCAAAGAAATTCATGAAAGCAACTGAAGGGAACTGAAATAAACTGACCTAACATACCTAGAGAGTAAAAAACAAGTCAAAATTTCAAATTGACGGTAATCTGGGAAGACAAAAATTCTATCAAAGACAAATCTTCAAAAATACATGGCTGCTTGTGATCGTATTTTTCTTGTTCTCTCGCTATAAATTTTCTTTTTAATCTGTAATGTCACTAATTATTAACGGGAATTATAATTTTGATTTGTAAGAAATTTATGAAATTTTAATTTCTCGGGAAATAATTATGATTATAATTTATTAATTAAAAAATATAATCAAATACGTGACCATGTCGTACATATACATAATAATACATAATGTAGATAGTGATTAATTACATCCTTGCATACATAACACCTACTTAAATGGTTTGATTTAGACATAACCACTGACGCAACGAATATTTACTAGTTCCTCAAGTAAAATTTTAGAGTGTGTTAGATTTTTTTCTATTTTCTTGTGTTTATACATCTGGAAAAAAACGGGAAATATTTATGCATCAAGACAATATGGACACTAATATCACGTGATTGATCAAAAAGAAATTTAGTGAAAAAATCTTAATAATCTAAAAAACAACTTTCGATTAACTACGTGTAATCAGTTATGGAAATTAGACTTTCGAGCAAAATTTTACTTTCAGATGATAACCAAGATAAGAAAGTGCATGTGCAGTCAACAGACAATGGAAGCACATCTCCGATTTGACCAAATTTGGAAAAAATTAACGAAAAAATCATACCTACTCCCCCATGTTTTTCTCCACAACCAGGTCTTAAGACACTAAATTAAAAAAAAACTACAAGCAAGCGCGCGTACAAAAGTCAAGAACAGTCACCGAAAACAATGCAAATCGAACACCAACTGAGTGTTTCTACACGAACCTGGAATTTTGAGAGCCGGCTTTACACTCCGATAATCACCTATCGCAGAAAAGTAGAAATGTATAGAAACATCTTTCCGCGAGGTACGAAGCAGAGGCGCTTTGCGGTCTTACACCACGCTATTATTGTTATAATCACCGGCGGGTGGTCAATTAGTGAAATTTCGCCCGCGATTCGGGCGCATTTCACTGGCTGTTCGAAGAAAGTGGATTCATTAAAAGTGCGACAGGATTAAGCACGCGAGCGAAATGACTTTGTATAAATTTAATAACAATGAAATTATTGAAGACGTGAGGTAATGGGGACGTTACCTAACGCGTATTCACTTTATGTGCTCAAGCGTGATTATTGTGGTCCGTGAGGATGACAGGTTTAGAAATTTTGCAATACGGTGTGTGAGGCGTGATGTGATTGCCTCTGCTGGCAATAATGGTCGTCATTAAGTTGTTAGATTTTTTGAGGGGAATTTTCTGCTTGTGGAGTCAAGTGTCCATGTGAGTGCGTCGTGCGTATTTTTTACTATTTCGCTACGTTTTTGGACATTGACTCCAATAGTAATAAGGTAGAATAGATATTTCGGTTCTTACTTGAATAAAAATTGTGTTCAATTTATAAAATAAATATTCTTCTTTTTCTTAGTAATTGTTAATAATGAGTTATTAACTTTTTCAAATTTCGGAAAAATTTTGATAATTGAAGTTTTCAAAAATTCGCATTGCGCAGCGATTTTTTGGAAAATGTTGCTTCGTGACCATCAACACGCTGTATTTTTGGAATCAGCGTGTCAAGATCTACGTCCCTGAATTTTTTCATAATTTTTAGACAACTTTTTTAAAATTAAAATTTTTTAATCGAAAAAATTTTGATATTTTCGAAACTCAACTAAACACATTTTCTTGTGGATTTCGAGCTCTAGAACTCAAATCCGGCCTCGGTTTTTTGTTACCTGCAACCGTATTTCCAGAATCGACCGTTGAAATTTCGAAATTTTTGAAATTTTCAAAAATTCGCATTTCGCAGCGAATTTTTCGAAAATGTCGCTTCCTGACCATCAACATGCTATATTTTTGGAATTAGCGTGTCGAGATCTACGTCTCTGAATTTTTTCATAATTTTTAGGCAACTTTTTTAAAATTGAAATTTTTTCAATGGTCCTCCCTTCTTCAAATTTCGCAAAAATTTTGACATTTTCGAAACTCAACTCAATACATTTTCTTGTAGACTTCGAGCTCTAGAACTCTAATCCGGTTTCGGTTTTTTGATAACTGCAACCGTTTTTCCAGAATCGACCGTGGATATATCGAAATTTTAGAAATTTTCAAAAATTTGCAATTCGCAGCGATTTTGTCGAAAATGTCGCTTCCTGACCATCAACATGCTATATTTTTGGAATCAGCGTGTCGAGATCTACGCCCCTGAATTTTTTCATAATTTTTAGACAACTTTTTTAAAATTGAAATTTTTTAATGGTCCCCCCTTCTACAAATTTCGCAACAATTTTAACATTTTCGAAACTCAACTAAATACATTTTCTTGTAGGTTTCGAGCTCTAGAATTCAAATCCGGCTTCGGATTTTTGATACATGCAACCGCTTTTCCAGAATCGACCGTTGAGTTATCGAAATTTTTGAAATTTTCAAAAATTCGCATTTCGCAGCGATTCTTTCGAAAATGTTGATTCGTGACCATCAACATGCTATATTTTTGGAATCAGCGTGTCGAGATTTACGTCCCTGATTTTTTTTATAATTTTTAGACAACTTTTTTAAAATAGAAATTTTTTAATGGTCCCCCTTCTTCAAATTTCGCAAAAATTTTGACATTTTCGAAACTCAACTAAATACATTTTCTTGTAGATTTCGAGCTCTAGAATTCAAATCCGGCTTCGGGTTTTTGATACATGCAACCGTTTTTCCAGAATCGACCGTTAAATTATGGAAATTTTTGAAATTTTCAAAAATTCGCATTTCGCAGCGATTCTTTCGAAAATGTTGATTCGTGACCATCAACATGCTATATTTTTGGAATCAGCGTGTCGAGATTTACGTCCCTGATTTTTTTTATAATTTTTAGACAACTTTTTTAAAATAGAAATTTTTTAATGGTCCCCCTTCTTCAAATTTCGCAACAATTTTAACATTTTCGAAACTCAACTAAATACATTTTCTTGTAGATTTCGAGCTCTAGAATTCAAATCCGGCTTCGGATTTTTGATACATGCAACCGCTTTTCCAGAATCGACCGTTGAGTTATCGAAATTTTTGAAATTTTCAAAAATTCGCATTTCGCAGCGATTCTTTCGAAAATGTTGATTCGTGACCATCAACATGCTATATTTTTGGAATCAGCGTGTCGAGATTTACGTCCCTGATTTTTTTTATAATTTTTAGACAACTTTTTTAAAATAGAAATTTTTTAATGGTCCCCCTTCTTCAAATTTCGCAAAAATGTTGACATTTTCGAAACTCAACTAAATACATTTTCTTGTAGATTTCGAGCTCTAGAATTCAAATCCGGCTTCGGGTTTTTGATACATGCAACCGTTTTTCCAGAATCGACCGTTAAATTATGGAAATTTTTGAAATTTTCAAAAATTCGCATTTCGCAGCGATTATTTCGAAAATGTTGACTCGTGACCATCAACATGCTATATTTTTGGATTCAGCGTGTCGAGATCTACGTCCTTGAATTTTTTCATAATTTTTGGACAACTTTTTTAAAATTGAAATTTTTTAATGGTCCCCCCTTCTTCAAATTTCACAAAAATTTTGATATTTTCGAAACTCAACTAAAACATTTTCTTGTGGATCTCGAGTTCTGGAACTCAAATCCGGCCTCGGTTTTTTGATACCTGCAACCGTTTTTCCAAAATCGGCCTTTGAAAAATCGAAATTTTTGAAATTTTCAAAAATTTGCATTTCGCAATGATTTTTCGAAAATGTTGCTTCGTGACCATCAACATGCTATATTTTTGGATTCAGCGTGTCGAGATCTACGTCCTTGAATTTTTTAATAATTTTTAGACAACTTTTTTAAAATTGAAACTTTTTAATGGTCCCCCCTTCTACAAATTTCGCAACAATTTTAACATTTTCGAAACTCAACTAAATACATTTTCTTGTAGATTTCGAGCTCTAGAATTCAAATCCGGCTTCGGATTTTTGATACATGCAACCGCTTTTCCAGAATCGACCGTTAAATTATGGAAATTTTTGAAATTTTCAAAAATTCGCATTTCGCAGCGATTATTTCGAAAATGTTGATTCGTGACCATCAACATGCTATATTTTTGGATTCAGCGTGTCGAGATCTACGTCCTTGAATTTTTTCATAATTTTTGGACAACTTTTTTAAAATTGAAATTTTTTAATGGTCCCCCCTTCTTCAAATTTCACAAAAATTTTGATATTTTCGAAACTCAACTAAAACATTTTCTTGTGGATCTCGAGTTCTGGAACTCAAATCCGGCCTCGGTTTTTTGATACCTGCAACCGTTTTTCCAAAATCGGCCTTTGAAAAATCGAAATTTTTGAAATTTTCAAAAATTTGCATTTCGCAATGATTTTTCGAAAATGTTGCTTCGTGACCATCAACATGCTATATTTTTGGATTCAGCGTGTCGAGATCTACGTCCTTGAATTTTTTAATAATTTTTAGACAACTTTTTTAAAATTGAAACTTTTTAATGGTCCCCCCTTCTTCAAATTTCTCAAAAATTTTGACATTTTCGAAACTCAACTAAATACATTTTCTGGTGGATTGCGAGCTCTAGAACTCAAATCTGGCCTCGATTTTTTGATACCTGCAACCGCTTTTCCAGAACGACCGTTGAAATATCGAAATTTTTGAAATTTTCAAAAATTTGCATTTCGCAATGATTTTTCGAAAATGTTGCTTCGTGACCATCAACATGCTATATTTTTGGATTCAGCGTGTCGAGATCTACGTCCTTGAATTTTTTCATAATTTTTGGACAACTTTTTTAAAATTGAAATTTTTTAATGGTCCCCCCTTCTTCAAATTTCACAAAAATTTTGATATTTTCGAAACTCAACTAAAAACATTTTCTTGTGGATCTCGAGTTCTGGAACTCAAATCCGGCCTCGGTTTTTTGATACCTGCAACCGTTTTTCCAAAATCGGCCTTTGAAAAATCGAAATTTTTGAAATTTTCAAAAATTCGCATTTCGCAGCGATTTTCTCGAAAATGTTGCTTCGTGACCATGAACATGCTATATTTTTGGAAACAGCGTGTCGAGATCCACGTCCCTGAATTTTTTCATAATTTTTATACAACCTTTTTAAAATTAAAATTTTTTAATTTTGACATTTTCGACACTCAACTAAATACATTTTCTTGTAGAATTAGAACTCTAGAACTCAAATACGGCCTCGCTTTTTTGATACTTGCAACCGTTTTTCCAGTATCGACTGTTGAAAAATCGAAATTTTTTAAAATTTTCAAAAATTCGCATTTCGCAGCGATTTTCTCGAAAATGTTGCTTCGTGACCATCAATATGCTATATTTTTGGAATCAGCGTGTCGAGATCTACGTCCATGAATTTTTTCATAATTTTTAGACAACTTTTTTAAAATAGAAATTTTTTAATGGTCCCCAAAATATTGGCAAATTTTTGAACTTAAGTAAATACTTGTAGATTTCCATGGAAAGGATGAAAAGAACGAAAAAGACGATTAAGGACGAACAAGGACGAAAAGGGCAGAAGGGACCAAAGGGACGAAAAAGGATAATTGGGACGAAAAAAGACGAGAAGGACGAAATAGGACGGAAAGTACGAAAAGGGGCGAATAAAGACGAACAAGGACGATAGAGGACGAAAAGGACGAAAAGCACGAAAAAGGAAGAAAAGGAACGAAAAAGGACGAAAAGGACGTAAAAGGATAATAGGAGCGAAATAGGACGATAAGGACGAAAAAATACGAAAAAAGGAGGACAAAGGGCGAAAGAGGACGAAAAAGGATGAAAAGGACGAAAAAGGACGAAAAGGGCGACAAAGGATGAAAAGGAATGAAAAAGGACGCGGAGGATGAAAAGGACGAAAAAGGAGGACAAAAGACGAAAAAGGACGAATAGGACGAAAGTAACGAAAACGGACGAAAAAGGACGCAAAAGGACGAAAAAGGACGACAAAGAACGAAAAAGGACGACAAAAGAACGAAGAAGGACGAAAAAGGATGGAAAAGACGAGAAGGACGAAAAGGACGAAAAAGGATAGTAAGGACGAAAAAAGATAATAAGGACGAAAATGGATAGTAGGGACGAAAAAGGACGAGAATGACGAAAAAGGACGAAACAGGACGAAAAGGACGAAAGAGGACGACAAAGGACGAAAAAGGATAATAAGGACGAAAAAGGACGAGAAGGACGAGAAAGGACGAAAAAGGATGAAAATCACGAAAAAGGACAATATTTTCAGACAGAATCGACCGTTGAAATATCGAAATTTTTAAAAAATTTCAAAAATTCGCATTTCGCAGCGATTTTCTCGAAAATGTTGCTTTGTGACCATCAACATGCTTTATTTTTGGAATCAGCGTCTCGAGATCTACGTCCATGAATTTTTTCATAATTTTTAGACAACTTTCTTAAAATTGAAATTTTTCATTGGTACTCCTCTTCTTCAAATTTCGCAAAAATTTTGACATTTTCGAAACACAACTAAAGACATTTTTTTGTAGATTTCGAGCTCTAGAAGTCAAATCCGGCTTCGGTTTTTTGAAACCTGCAACTGTTTTTCCAGAATCGACCGTTGAAATATCGAAATTTTTGAAATTTTCAAAAATTCACATTTCGCAGCGATTTTTTCGAGAATGTTGCTTCGAGACCATCAACATGCTATATTTTTGGAATCAACGTGTCGAGATCTACGTCCCTGAATTTTTTCATAATTTTTAAACAACTTTTTTAAAATTGAAACTTTTAATGGTCCCCCCTTCTTCAAATTTCGCAAAAATTTTGACACTTTCGAAACTCAACTAAATACATTTTCTTGTGGATTTCGAGCTCTAGAACTCAAATCCGGCCTCGGTTTTTTGATACCTGCAACCGTTTTTCCAGAATCGTCCGTTTAAATATCGAAAATTTTGAAATTTTCAAAAATTCGCATTTCGCAGCGATTCTTTCGAAAATGTTGATTCGTGACCATCAACACGCTATATTTTTGGAATCAGCGTGTCGAGATCTACGTCTCTGATTTTTTTCATAATTTTTAGACAACTTTTTTAAAATTGAAATTTTTTAATGGTCCCCCCTTCTTCAAATTTCCCATCAATTTTGACATTTTCGAAACTCAACCAAATACATTTTCTTTTAGATTTCGAGCTCTAGAATTCAAATCCGGCTTCGGTTATTTGATACCTGCAACGGTTTTTCCAGAATCGACCGTTGAAATATCGAAATTTTTGAAATTTTCAAAAATTCGCATTTCGCAGCGATTTTTTGGAAAATGTTGCTTCGTGACCATCAACATGCTATATTTTTGGAATCAGCGTGTCAAGATCTACATCCCTTAATTTTTTCATAATTTTTAGACAACTTTTTTAAAATTGAAATTTTTAAATGGTCCCCCCTTCTTCAAATTTCGCAACAATTTTGACATTTTCGAAACTCAACTAAAAACATTTTCTTGTAGATTTCGAGCTGTAGAACTCAAATCCGGCTCCGGTTTTTTGATACCAGGAACATTTTTCCAGAATCGACCGTTGAAATTTCGAAATTTTTGAAATTTTCAAAAATTCGCATTTCGCAGCGATTCTTTCGAAAATGTTGATTCGTGACCATCAACACGCTATATTTTTGGAATCAGCGTGTCGAGATCTACGTCCCTGAATTTTTTCATAATTTTTAGACAACTTTTTTAAAATTGAAATTTTTTAATGGTCCCCCCTTCTTCAAATTTCGAAAAAATTTTGACATTTTCGAAACTCAACTAAATACATTTTCTTGTAGACTTCGAGCTCTAGAATTCAAATCCGGTTTCGGTTTATTGATACCTGCAACCGTTTTTCCAGAATCGACCGTCAATATATCGAAATTTTAGAAATTTTCAAAAATTTGCATTTCGCAGCGATTTTTTCGAAAATGTTGCTTCGTGAGCACCAACATGCTATATTTTTTGGAATCAGCGTGTTGAGATCTACGTCCATGAATTTTTTTATAATTTTTAGACTACTTTTTTAAAAGTGAAATTTTTTCAATGGTCTCCCCTTCATCAAATTTCGCATAAATTTTGACATTTTCGAAACTCAACTAAAAACATTTTCTTGTGGATTTCGAGCTCTAGAACTCAAATCCGGCCTCGGTTTTTTGATACCTGCAACCGCTTTTCCAGAATCGCCCGTCGAAATATCGAAATTTTTGAAATTTTATAAAAGTCGCATTTCGTAGCGATTTTTTCGAAAATTGGAGACTACTTTTTTCGTACTCTAGCGGTCATTTAACCCAACAAACGTCGTGTTGAAAATGAGTGTCGAACTGTGACATATGCACCGATTAGTTTGTCCCGGAGAAAGAAAGCAAAAATTGCATTGTTTGTTTATGGTAACTGATTACAGTCTAAAAAGTGACCCACAAATCCCGCCGAAACCGCAGAAATCTGGAATTTCTTCTTTAATTATACAACACAAATTTACTACTACACAGATTTACAAAACAACAGTTACAATTTTTACTAATACACAAATTTACAAAAACTACCAAATCTCACACTTGTTTACAGGATTCATAAACGACCCCACTGTACAGTTAAAATCCCTCCCGAAATCCTCCGAGTTCATTAAAGGCACCAACACCCGAAAATATTCAGGGGCATGAACAGCCGAATCCTCATACTCCTCCAGATTTTTCTTATTATTACCACACCCATCGGAAGCTGCTAAAATCCAGAACATCTGTCTGGGTGTATACGGAAACGTCAATAATTCCGGTTCAAAGCGGTTTTCTTCGAGCCATTTAACGTAAGTCTCGTAGAGTACTTTAAGGCCGCTGTTATCGGCGATATTTTCATTCAAAGTGTTAGTACCATTCACTTTGAGTCCGACTTCTGGAACAGTCATGTTTTCATACAATTTAATAAGACAGGCAGCTTTTTCTTTGAAAAGTAGTAACGACTGAGGTTTCCATCGCATGTTTAGATGTCCCTTTTCGTCATATTTCCTGCTTTCCTTGTCAAGGGAGTGAGTGATTTCGTGGCCTATGACTTCCCCAAGCGTGACGAAGTTCACAAATTCAGGTCTAGATGCATCAAAGTAGTGTTCTTGCATTAAAGCCGCCGTTATTTCTCAAATCAGAAACAATAATCACAACATGTACCTATAAAATCATTTTAAATATTATTTACTTACCTACAATGTTAGTGGATTGGTCGTACAAACCCTTAGGTTTGTAACTATTGGCCCGAAGAACCCAATTTTCTCTCAACGATTTCTTGTTTTCCTGTTTCAAATTTTCAACATATTTGTGATGTTCAAACAGCGTCAGAGTTAAGTACACTTCTAAGTAATTAGTTTGAGAATCAAGTTCTAGCTAGAAGTCATCGTATTAGAACACACGTATGTCGGAAAAATGTTAACTAACTAACACCACGAAAATAAGTCTCTATGGTTTCTTCATCTAGAATCTCATCTGGAAAACCTATAACGAAACCCATTTTTTCAATTTTTAAAAGCGCGTAGGCTTTGGTTTCTGGATCCATCCAGTTGCTATTTTGCACCACGCTGTAGAAAGTTTTCTTAATATCTAATGCTATTGTGGTCACAGTTTCTTTATCTTTTAAAGAAAAAATGTTTCTTACGTAAACTGTGGAAGCAGCTACATGTAGTCTAAAAGTTAGAACATTGTAAATTCTGATTGCTGTTTCAAAACTTAACTATTTTGATCTACAGACCAGAGCTCGCTCAAGCCATTGTCGACTCTAAGCGCTTAGAAGCGATTTGGTTGATTTGGAATATAATCTATGCGGGAAATAGTTGTTTCAATTCTTCATCATTTCGGTTTTGGACTTTGTCAATTTATCGATTTTTTAAATTTACTTTTATACTTTTTATTTAAAAATTTTTCTTTTTCAACTTTTCGATTTCTCGATTTTTCGATGTTTCAGTTTTTCAAATTTTCGATGTTTTGATTTCGCGGTTCTTCAGTTTTTCGACTTTTCGGTACCTATTTCAGGTTTTAGATTTTTCGATTTTCTAGTTTTTCGATACCTATTTCGATTTTTCAATTTTTAGATTTCCCAAATTTTCCTGATTTCTGGTTGGAATTTTTTAATTTCTCGATGTTTCAGTTTTCTCATTTTCCAATTTTCCAATTTTTAGATTTCTCAATTTTTTGACGTTTTAGTTTTGGGATTTTTGAGTTTTTAGATTCTTCAATTTTTCAACTTCCCAAATTTTTATTTTTTTTTAATTTTTGATATTTCAGTTTATCGAGTTACAATTTCACGCTTTCTCTATTTATCGATTTTTTTAAAGTTTTAAATTTTCAGTTTTTCAATTTTTAACTTTCGGATTTTTTGATTTTGGGGTATTTCTGTTTTTCGATATTTTTCGACTTCCCGACTTTTCGATTTCTCAACATTTCAGTTTTTTAATTTTTGGATGTTTCGATTTTTCAGTTCTTCAGATTTTAGATTTCTCAATTTTTCGTCATTTCAGTTTTGGAATTTTTCGATTAATTCATTTTTAGTTTATTGACTCCTCAATTTTCCAATTTTTTAAATTTTCGATTGTATAAATTTTGAAATTTTCGGTTTTTTGATTTTCCATTTTTTATATTTCTCAATTTTTTGATATTTTAGTTCTTTTAATTATCTATTTTTTTAAACTGAATTTTTCAATTTACTAAGTTTAAATTTTCAATTTTTCAATTTTTCGGTTTTGGGTAATTTCTATTTCTTTTCGACTCGATGTTTGAGTTGTTCAATTTTTGGATGTCGCGTTTTATTGATTTCTCGTTTTCTCGAATTTTCGACTTTTCGGCTTTTCAATTATTAGATTTTTTGATTTTTTAGTTTTTCCATTTCCCAGTTTTTCGTCATTTCAGTTTTGGACTTTTTTAATTTATCGATTTTTTAAATTTAAAACTCTTTAATTTTTTTATACTTTTTATTTTAAAGTTTTTCAAACTTTTCGATTTCTGGAATTTTCGACATCTCGAATTTTCGATGTTTCAGTTTTTTGATTTTTCATTTTCCAATTTTTAGATTTCTCAATTTTTTGACGTTTTAGTTTGGGATTTTTCAGTTTTTCGACTCTAATTTTTCTCGATTTTCCAATTTCTGGAACTTCTGATTTTTCGATTTTTTTGATATTCAATTTCCCGATTTTTCGATTTTTCAGTTCTTCAACATTTTTAGTTCTTCATTTTTCTAATTTTTAAACGTTTTTTGATGTTTCGATTTCCCGAACTTTCGATTTACCAACTTCATAGCTTTTGATTTTTGTTCAGTTTTTCGATTTTTCAATTTTTCGCTTTTTTTAAGCTTTAAATTTTTAATTTTTCAATTTTTAACTTATTATTGAAATATTTGACATATCCAAAAACTGAGGAATTAAAAATAGAAAAATTGAGAAACCAAAAAGTCAAAAAAGTGAAGAATTGAAGAAATGATAAATCGAAAAAATTGGGAGTTTATATAAGTCATATTTGAAAAACTGAAAAATCAAAATATTTAAAAATCGCAAATTTGAAGAGGAAAAAATTTGGAAAAACGTAAAGTTGAAACATCGGAAAATTGAGAAACCGAAGAATTGAAAATCGTAAAATTGAAAATAAATAATCTGAAAAATTCCAAAACTGAAATTTCGAAAAATTGAAAAATGAAAAGAGAGGAACGGAAAAACTGAAGAATCTCAACTCTGAAATATCCAAAAAAAATGACAAATAAAAAAGTCAAAAAAGTCAACTCGAAAAATTAAAAACCTAAAAAATTGAAAAATTGAAAAATTGAGGAATTGAAGAAATGAAAAATCGAAAAACAGAGTTTATAAAAAAAAATTGAAAAATCAAAAATATTAAAAATTGAAAAATTAAGGAATTGAAAAACTGAAAAATCGAAATAGTCGAAAGTCAAGAAATGGAAAATCGAAAAAATTGATTGTTTAAAAGTCAAAAATTGAAAAATCGAAATATTTAAAAATCGCAAAATTGAAGTGGAGAAAAATTGAAAAAACGTAAAGCGAAACATTGGAGAATTGAAAATGGAGAAATTGAAACAATCAGAAATTGTTAAATCGAAAAATTATAATAAATAATCTGAAAATTCCCAAAACTAAAATTTCGACAAATTGAAAAATGTAAGAAAAACAGAAGAATGGAAAACTGAAGAATCTCAAAACTGAAATATCCAAAAATTGAGGAATTAAAAAATTGAAAAATTGAAAAATCAAAAAGTAAAGAAAGTGAAGTCGAAAAATCAAAACCTTAAAAAATTGAAAAATCAAAAACCTAAAAAATTGAAGAATTGAAGACATGGAAAATCGAAAAACTGAGAGTATATAAAAGTCAAATTTATAACATTGAAAAATCAAAATGTTTAAAAATCGTAAAATTGAAGAGGAGAAAAATTGGAAAAACGTAAAACTGAAACATCGGATTGAGAAATCGAAAATTTGAAAATCGTAAAATTGAAAAATTGAATAATCAATAAACTAAATAAATAACTTAAATAAACTGAAAACTGGAAAAACCGAAATTCCAAAATTTTAAAAATAGAAAAATTGAAAAATCAGAAAGTTGAAAAATTGAAACATCGAAAAACCGAAAATCTGAAAAGTAAAAAATCGAAAAACCGAAAAATCAAAAAATCAAAAGATCGAGAAATCGAGAAATCAAAAATCGAAATGTCGCAGAATCGAAATATTGAAAAATCCCAAAATTGAAATATCGAAAAACTGAAAAATGAAAGAAAAACTGAAGAATGGATTAATTGAAAAATCAAAAACCTGAAAAATCGAAAAATTGAAGAATTGAAAAACTGGAAAATCGAAACATTCGAAAGTGAAGAAATGAGAAAATCAAAACATCAATTAAACGAAAAAACGTAAAACGAAACATTGGATAATTGAAAATGGAGAAATTGAAACACTGAGAAATTGCAAATTCGAAAAATTGAATAATAAATAATCTGAAAAATTCCAAAACTGAAATTTTGAAAAATTGAAACACAAAAGAAAAACTGAAAAATTCCAAACTGAAATATCCAAAACTTGAAAAATTGAAAAATTGAGAAATCTGAAAATCAAAAAGTTAAGTCTAAAAATCGAAACCTTAAAAAATAGAAAAACTGAAAAATCAAAAATCCGAAAAATCGAAAAATTGAGGATTTGAAAAACTGAACAATCGAAATAGTCAAAAATCAAGAAATGGGAAAACCGGAAAAATTCAGTTCAAAAAAGTCAAAAATTGAAAAATCGAAATATTTAAAAATCGTAAAATTGAAGAGGAGAAAAATTTAAAAAACGTTAAACTGAAGCATCGGAAAATTGAGAAATGGAAAAATTAAAAAAAGAGAAATTGTAAAATCGAAAAATCTGAAATAACCCAAAACTGGAATTTCGAAAAATTGAAAAATGAAAGAAAAACAGAAGAATGGAAAAACTAAAGAATCTCAACACTGAAATATCCAAAAGTGAGGAATTAAAAAACTGAAAATTGAGAAATCAAAAAGTCAAAAAAGTGAAGTCGAAAAATCTAAACCTTAAAAAATTGAAAAATCAAAAACCCAAAAAATTGAAGAATTGAAGAAAACTGGAAAAACTGAGAGTTTATTAAAGTCAAATTTGAAAAATTGATAAATCAAAATGTTTAAAAATCGTAAAATTGAAGAGGAGAATAATTGGAAAAACGTAAAATTAAAACATCGGAAAATTAAGAAATCGAAAAATTGAAAATCATGAAATTGAAAAATTGAATAATAAATAAACTGAAAAATCCCTAAACTGAAATAACCAAAAATTGAAAAATTGAAAAATTGAGAAATCGAAAAATCAAAAAAGTGAAGTCAAAGAATCGAAACCTTAAAAATAGAAAAATTGAAAAATTAAAAACCTTAAAAATCGAAAAATTTAAGAATTGAAAAATTGAAAAATCGAAATAGTCGAAAGTCAAGAAATGGGAAAATCGGAAAAATTGATTTCATAAAAGTCAAAAATTGAAAAATCGAACTATTTAAAAATCGTAAAATTGAAGAGGAGAAAAATTGAAAAAAACGTAAAGCGAAACATTGGAGAATTGAAAATGGAGAAATTGAAACAATCAGAAATTGTTAAATCGAAAAATTATAATAAATAATCTGAAAATTCCCAAAACTAAAATTTCGACAAATTGAAAAATGTAAGAAAAACAGAAGAATGGAAAACTGAAGAATCTCAAAATTGAAATATCCAAAAACGGAGGATATAAAACTGAAAAATTGATATATCAAAAAGTCAAAAAAGTGAAGTGGAAAAATCAAAACCTTAAAAAATAAAAAAATCGAAAACTTAGAAAATTGAAAAATTGAAGAAATGAACAATCGAAAAACTGAGTTTATAGTCAGGTCTAAAAAACTGAAAAATCAAAATATTTAAAAATCGTAAAATTGGAGAGGAGAAAAGTTGGGAAAACGTAAAATTGAAACATCGGAAAATTGAGAAATTGAAAAATTGAATAATAAATAAATCGATAAATCCCAAAACTAAAATTTCAAAAAATTGAAAAACCAAAGAAAAACTGAAAAATTCCAAAACTCAAACATCCAAAAAGTGAAAATTTGAAAAACTGAAAAATCGAAAAATCAAAAAGTCGAAAAATCGAAACCTTAAAAAATATAAAAAATTAAAAAATCAAAAACCTGAAAAATTAAAAAAATTGAAGAATCGAGAAACTGAAAAATCGAAATATTTAAAAATCGTAAAATTGAAAACGAGAAAAATCGAAAAAACGTAAAAGTGGAAAATTGAAAATGGAGAAACTGAAACATTGAGAAATTGTAAAATCGAAAAATTTAATAATAAATAATCTGAAAATTCCCAAAGCTGAAATTTCGATAAATTGAAAAATGAAAGAGAAACAGAAAATTGGAAAACTGAAATATCCAAAAAACTGAGGAATTAAAAAATTGAAAAATTGAGCAGTCAAAAAATTGAAGAAATGAAGTCAAATTTGAAAAATTGAAAAATCAAAATGTTAAAAAGCGTAAAATTGAAGAGGAGAAAAATTGGAAAAACGTAAAATTGAAACATCGGAAAATTGAGAAATCGGGAATTGAAAATAGTGAAACTGAAAAACTATAAAATCAAAAAATTGAATAATAAATCAACTGAAAAATCCCAAAACTGATATTTTGAAAAATTGAAAACTGAAAGAAAAACTGAAAAATTCCAAAACTTAAATATCCAAAAATTGAAAAATTGAGAAACTGAAAAATCATAAAAGTGACGCCGAAAAGCGAAATCTTAAAAAATAGAAAAATTGAAAAATCAAAAACCTGAAAAATCGAAATATTCGAAAGTCAAGAAAAGGGAAAATCGGAAAAATTGAGTTTATAAAAGTCAAAAACTGAAACATCAGAAAATTGAGTAATCGAATTAGGATGTGTATCATATCACGGAATGTGGCGTATAGATCAAATCGTTTCTGAACACTTAGAGTCGACATTGGCCTGCGCGCACTCTGGTCTACAGATCAAACAAGTTCAAGCGACGTACTTATCCAGAACCTCTATACAGTGCCTCCACCTCACTTCCACGCTTGTTTTGTTCTTACTAACCCTATGAAACTCTAGAGTTTGTTCTCTAAACTCTTTAGGCAACTGAAGGATAGATTTTTGCACAGCGCACCAAAACATGTAGTTAGCCAAAGTCCTCTTTTTGGTACTTCGTAGCAAAAGCGCTACATTTTTCAAAAATTTCAACCAAGGTACATTTATAACGGTCGAGTTTGACATGACTACTGGATCAACAAAGTTCTGTATAAGTTCTAACCAAGGAATAGTTCTGATGGTAACCCCCAACTCTTGAATCGTCATTGGGTTATAATTAGGACTCAGAGTTAGTTCAAAAGGAAGGAGAATCTAGAATCCTAATCGTTAAAAAAATAGTTACACCTTAGTTTCCATTTCACATTGCTTAAATTTCTTTCAAAATCGAGGATTTCGCTAATTTCGGGGTTTGTGGATGTTGTAGGGGTACCGAAAAGTGACACTATTTTCACTATATAGTCCAGGTAAGCTTGACTGTGAGAATGATCCACACCCTTCGCTAAAATCTCATAATTGATCAAATCCGGTTGAGTGATCTACAATTCGCTGTTAGTTTAAATAGTATAACACCATGATTGTAACCCATACCGTGAGCATCCGCTCGGAATGATTACTTCTATCTGAGTAAACTTGCATCGAAAAGAAAATATCAAAAGTCCACCCTATCGTTCTAAAATTTTGCCAGAGTTGTACCCAGTCGAATTTTTCTTCACTCCAAGTTGGTTCAATCAGTGGCCAACCCCCCAATTTTGCAAAAAGTCGCTTAATAAAAAGCAAACTTGTTTCCTCTACGTCGGGATTCATACAAGACTGGTACACGATTTTGAGAAGTTTGAACGGTTTTCCATCGTCTAGATGAGGAGGTTCCTTGACTAGATTTTTCAACTGGAGTCGAGCTTTTTCACTGGAGAAAAATAATAACTAGGGGGAAAATAAAAAAAACTACTCACTGGATTTTGGAAAATCGTTTGGCCACTGGTTGATTATTGTTTTTGGCGTAATTTCCACAAACGAATTTGTAGAAGTCGTCGCAGGGATTGACACTAGTATCAATCGTTTTTAAAATAGCAGAGTTCGTGTAATCAGTTGATGCTTAAACCAAAGTTTTATTGTATTTATTGAAAACGAATCAAGTACTTACAGTACGACTTAAACGAACGAGACAGACCTGCGCAGACCAACCCCAAAACGACCAAACACAAAATCACTTTCAACCATTCTTTCAACGAAAAGAGTTTGCTAAAATTTTTCGTTACAGATTGAAACTAAATAAAGAGCGTACCTTTTGTGTGACACTGCGTGGCGGCGCATTTCGTAATAATAATAATGCAACTACTTGTTACTCTTAATATAATAATTGGGGATAATTGAATACGTCACGTTCACCACACGAAACCAATTATACTGGGCGAAGTACTTAGTTAAAAATAAACAACAAATCTGGTGCACTCTTTATTAACAGAAATGGAGTGATTTTCACCACACTTCACACTTGTCTTCGGGATTCATCACCGATCCTGTCGAACAATTAAAATCTTTGCTGAAATCCTCCAGGTTCATGAACGGTACCATAACCCGGAAATACTCGAGAGCGTGGACGTTGGTACTCACGAACTTTCCTAGAGCTTCCTTGCGGTACTTGGCACACCCATTGGTAGCTACCGAAATCCAGAATATCTGTCTTGGACTGTAGGAGAGTCCAGGCAGAAGAAATTCTTCCCCGTTTCGCTTGACCCACTTCAAGTACCCTCTATAAGCTATCTTGAAACCTCCATTGTCGGCTATATTTTCATTCAAAGTTTTCACACCATCTACCGCCATACCGCTTTCCGGAATAGTCATATTTCCATACTGTCCCACGAAACATTCTGATTTTTCTTTGAAGGATTTCACGGCTTCGGGTGTCCACGAATTCAAGTTGCCGTTTTCGTCGTACTGGTTGCCTTCACCGTCGAAAGCGTGGATGATTTCGTGCCCTATCACCTCCCCGATTCTGCCAAAATTGATGTAGTAGGGTCTGTCTCCATCGAAGAACGGGTATTGGAGCAAAGCAGCCATAATTTCTGAAATTCTTTGTCAAAATTTTTTCCGACGGGTGTTCACTCACCTATTGAGTTGCTCTTTGCTTTGAAGAAGCCGTTTGCTGTGTAGCAGTAAGCCTGTGACATCCAGTCCGATTTGACCACTCTTTGTCTAAATGTTTTGACGGTTTTTTTGTGAAGAAACGAAGATACGTTTAAGTTGATCTTCAGGAAATGGTTGAAAGGGTCTAGTTCCAGCTGCAACACGCGAGTTATGTTGGTCATCAAATATGGGCTATTCGTCGGTTGAGAACTTGGTTGATCCACAGACCGGAGCGCGGTTACGCGAATGTCGACTCTAAGCGATCAGAATTTCTGCTGGAAATAGTTATTATTTAGATGCTTTTTTTTGTTTAACTAAAAATTAATTCTTTAATTGTGTTTGATACTAATAAAATGTTCTAAAAAATATTGAAAAATTGAATTATCGAAGAATCAAAAATTTTAAAAATCGAAAAATTAAAAAAACCAGAAATTGAAAAGTTCCCAAAACTGATAATGCTGGAAAAATTGAGAAATCTGAAACTTAAAAAATCGAAAAGTCGAAAAATCTTAAAAATCGTAAAAGCAAGATGGCAGAATTAAAATGTCGAAAAAGTGAAATTGAACAATCGAAAAAAAAAAATTGGAAAATTGAAGAACTGAAAGATAAAACTTTGGGAAGTCGAGAATTGGGAAGATCAAAAAATAGACTTATTGAGAAACTGGAAATCTGAAAATTCAGAAATGTCAAAATTTTAAAAGTTTAAAAAATATTGAGAATTGAAAATCGAAAATTTAAAACATTGAAAAATCAAAATATCGTAAAATTGAAAAATTGAGAAATCCAAACATCAAAAAAACCAAAAAAATAAAAATTCGAAAATCTAAAATTTAAAAATTGAAAAACTGAAAAATTTTCAAAATCGCAAAATTGAAAAATAGAAGAATTGAAGAACTGAAAAACGAGAAATCGAAAAATCTAAAGTGTAAAACATTGAAAAATTCAAATATAAAAATTAGAAGAATTGAAAACTCGAGAAATCGAAAAACCTACAATTTTAAAATTGAAAAATCTAAAGTTTAAAACCGAAAAATTGAAAATTCAAAAATTAATAAGTGGAGAAATCAAAAATTCCAGAACTCGAAAAATCGAAGAATTGAAAAACTGAAAAATCACAAAATTGAAGGAAATATCCAAAAATTGAAAAATTGAGAAATCGAAAAGTCAAAAAAGCAAAGTTGGAAAATCGCAACTTAAAAAATCGAAAAATTGAATAATCAAAAACTCGAAAAATCGAGAAATCGAAACTCGAAAAATAACTCGAAAGGTCGAAGAATTGAAGAACTGAAAAATCGCAAAATTGAAGGAAATATCCAAAAATTGCAAAATGAGCAATGAAAAAATAAAAAAACTGCAAAAGTAAAAAATCGAAAAAAAATTTCAAAAACTGAGACCTCTAGAAATCGAAAAATCAAAAGAATTCGAAAAAGTCCAAAAGTCGAGAAGTTGGGAAATCGAAAAATTGAGAAACCGAAATATTCCGAAATCGAAAAATCGAAAAGTTAAAAATGGAAAAATTGATAAATCGAGAGATTGAACAACCAAAACATCGAAACATCCGAATCTCGATCTGAAAAAATTGAAAAATAAAAACTTTAAAACTTCTGAAAATTGAAAAATTAAAATATAGGAGAACTGAAAACTCGAGAAATTGAAAAATCTAGAATCTCAAACACTGAAAAATTAAAATATCGCAAAATTGAAAAATTGAGAAATCGAAATATAAAACAGATGAAAAATTGAAAAATTTAAAGTTTAAAAACAAAAAACTAAAAATTCAGAAAATAAAAATCGAAAAATCGAAAGATGGAGAATTCGAAACATTAAAAAATCTACAAATCGAGAAATCAAAACTCCAGAATTTAAAATATCGAAAAATTGGAAAATCGAAAATTGAACAATCCAAAAGTAAAAAGTCGAAAAACCGAGAAATCCAAAAATCGAAAAATTAAAAGAAGAACAGTTAAAAATAGAAAAATTGCTAAATCGAGAAACTGAACAATTAAAACATCGAAACTGACTTCGATAAATCCAGAAATCAAAAAATCGAAAATTTAAAACTTAGGAAAATTGAAAAATCGAAAAATTAAGAATCTCAAAAATTGAAAAATTAAAATATCGCAAAATTGAAAAATTGAGAAATCGAAATATAAAACAGATGAAAAATTGAAAAATTTAAAGTTTAAAAAACAAAAAACTGAAAATTCAAAAAATAAAAATCGAAAAATCGAAAGATGCAGAAGTCGAAACATCAAAAATCTACAAATCGAGCAATCAAAACTCCAGAATTTAAAAAATCGAAAAATTGGAAAATCGAAAATTGAACAATCCAAAAGTAAAAAGTCGAAAAACCGAGAAATCCAAAAATCGAAAAATTAAAAGAAAAACAGTTAAAAATAGAAAAATTGCTAAATCGAGAAACTGAACAATCAAAACATCGAAACTGACTTCGATAAATCCAGAAATCAAAAAATCGAAAATTTAAAAATTAGGAAAATTGAAAAATCGAAAAACCTAGAATTTAAAAAAATGAAAAATTAAAACATCGAAAAGTTGAAAAATTGAGAAATCGAAGTGCTCCTATAAAACAGTCGAAAAATTAAGAAATGTAAAGTTTAACGAAAAATTCAAAATCCAAAAAGTAAAAAATCGAAAAATCGAAAAATACCAAAACTGAAAGAAATATCAAAAAATTTGAGAAATTAAGAAATTGGAAAATTGAAAAATCGAAAAACTAAAAAAGCAAAGTCAAAAAATCGTAAGCTTAAAAAATCGAAAAGTTGAAAAATCAAAAACCTGAAAATTTCGAAACGTCAAAATTTGAAAAACTGAAAAAGCGAAATATTTAAAAACCTTAAAATTGAAACATCGGAAAATTGAGAAATCGAAAAATAAAAAAATTGAGAAATCGAAAATTTGAAGAATGGAATAATTGAAAAAGCCCAAAATTGAAATATTGAAAAATTGAGACATCTAAAGTTGAAAAATCGAGAAATCGAAAAGCCGAAAAATGTCAATATTATTATGCTACTTATTAACATTTAAATAACATATATTCGATAACATTGTTAGATGACATCATCAATTCCTGGGAGGCAGGAACGGATAAATTTTATATATACTTATAGATAAATAGATAAATCGCTTAGAGTCGACATTGGCCTGAGTGCGCTCTGGTCTGTAGATCAAACAAGTTCTCCGGCGATTCATCCTCACCCCTTTGTAGAACTCTTCAACCACACTATCATTCAGAAGTTCGTCCGGAAACCCAATCCGTTGACCGATTTTACCCGCTTTCAAAATGACGCGCTCTTTGGTCTCTAAATCCAACCAAGACTTGTTTTGCGCAACCTCAACAAACGCTTCCTGGATATACGTGGCCATTTCTTTCACCAAATTCTTGTTTCCAGTGTTGACGAAATTCTTCACGTATACATACGATGCAGCTACATTCAGTCTAAAATTAATGCTTGGAAATTGTCGACAATATCCACGAGTACTTATCAATCTCCTTGATACACTGATCCCATCTAGCGGCACGTGCCGTCCCTTTCACAACCCTAAGATAGTCAAAATTGCGCTCTCTGAATTTCTGCGGAAGATGATTGATGCACTTCTTGACGATATACCAGAACATGTAATTGGCTAGAATTCTACAAGAATAGAGACGTGAACCCTAGTGACGAAAACAAACCTCTTGTTGGTGTTGAGCAGCAAATCTTCCAAGTTTTTCAAAAATTTGAGCAAGGTAACGTTGACAACATCTCTGGATTTGAGCATCTGCTCAGGCGCTAGATAGTTGTTGATCAGTTGCAACCAAGGTATGCTATGGACACTCTCTTGCAGTTCTTTAATCGTCATTGGGTTGTACTCGGAAGCCGACGCTTTGTCAGAAGCGACTATCTACAATTTCGAATTAGCAAAAATTGAGACTATTTGTGACTCACTTTGCTCAGGCTGATCTCGAATTCGAGGACTTCGTTCATTTCGACACTCGCTGAGAGTTTGGGGGCGCCGAAAAGCGACAACACTCGCACCATGTGGTCGTAGTAAGCTTGAGTGTCGGTGTGATTGACACCTTTTGACAAACTGCGATAGTTGGAAATGTGGGGATAAGTAATCTATAAGAACAATTAAGTACATAGATTATGATCAAAAACACTGAAACTCAAAAAATACTGTAAGAATCCTCCTTGACGAGTTTTTCGCATCTACGTCAATCTGCATAGCTACAAAAAAATTCAAGTACCACCCGCTTCGTCTAAGCCGAAACAAGACTTGTTTCCAGTCGAATTTTCTCTCGTTCCAGTTTGGATCAATCACAGGCCAGCCCCCCATTTCTTTGAAAACGCGTCTAATGAAAATGAGGGACTCAGTTTCCATTTGGGTGGTGTTCATGCAGGATTGGTAGACGGTTTTGAGGAGTTTGAGAGGTTTTGAATCGTCTTGGTGTGACGGTTTTTCAAGCAGACTTTTCAATTGGAGTTTAGCTCTATCACTGTTGGAACGACATCGATAAGTTATTAGTGTTCGAATAACGACTTACTTGACGATGGAGAAGGTCTTGATTGTCGTCTTGTGGTCCGGAATGACACTATTTTTGATAAAGTTACCACAGACGAATTTGTAGAAGTCGTGGCAAGGATCGACAGTTGTATCAATCATTTTTGATATATCAGCGGCTGAGTGGACACATTTTTCCGTTAAACAGACGTTCGGGGGTGCAGTTGTATCTAGTGTAACGATCGTGGTGGTATTTTCTTCTATTTTGGTAACAACTTTCTCACCAGTTGACGATTTCGTTGCAGAATGACACAGTAAGCAGACGATGATAACAAAAAGAATCAAAATCGCTACTAATAACAACCACGACCCTCTTGTACAATACTTGCTGAAACTATCACTAAGTAATTCATTAAGTAATTGTCAAAAATTTACTTCGTCCAAGACATTGTCTTCACGGTGATTTTTCTTCTGCATATCTAGAGGCTCTAGCACGTTTTTGACACAATATGTAGATTTTTGTTAACGAGATATTTCTCCATCCGCTGAAAATGGTAATTTTGTCATTTGTGGTGAGCCCACGCTTATTAAGGGGGGAATAAATCGTTGAATTTGCACAGTAAGTAGAATACTAAGTACAGTTCGCGGGTATGATTCACGTTGATAAATTGGATTAACGAGAAAATGCATAACTTTTTCGCAATAAATTACCGAGTTTAGTGGCGACTTGGCGAGATTAGCGTGAGATAAGAGCTTTTTGTGGTTTTAGAGGGCATTTAAAAATTTGCCGGGACGGGAAATTTAATTGGCGCAATTAAGAGTGTTAAGTGTGAGTGTGGACATTTGACTTTATAATTTCTCCGGGGACGGGTGGATTAATTTGTTTATTAATCTTAAGTTGGACCTTTTTATGTGAGTTATATTCAAGAAAAAAAAAGTGCGAATAGTTCAGTGAAATTTGTGATGAAGACTAAATTTTATTAAATAAACCTTTGTTTTTCATTTATTTCCCATTCTGTTATAGTTTCGACAAAAGTTTCAGCTGCTGTAGTGAAATAAACAATAAGAATTCTTGTTTCTATTGGTGTAGTATATTGTAAATGCGGCAACCAACAATACACCTCCCTTCTACACTAAAAATCTATTAATTCTGTAATGTAATAAATTAGAAATTGTTAATTCTGTAAAGATGTTGGCAATCCTGAAAAAGTTTCGGTTATTTTGATTATAGATATTTCGGCTTTACTAGAAACAAAATGGCGTAAAAGGAGCTGAATGTGCATATATTTATCAAGATAAAACAAATCAAAACTTGTCACTTTTTATTTTGGTGATTTTGAGAAAATGGATCGAATTTTCGTAGAAATGAATTCGTTAAAAAGTTCTGGAGGTCAAAATCAGCATTAAAGATTTTTCTGGTAATTGTCGACGGTATCCGGAGAAAAGTAAAAAATTTCGTTAAAAAATCGAGGTTTTGGTAATGTTAAAAATCCGCAGAAAATTCTGAAAGATAAATATTGACAAGCTAAATTGAAAAATATAGCGTGCTGATCGTTCCGGAGCAACATTGAGGAGCATCATTCCAAATTCGGGAATAATCGTTACATTTTTATCAAGGACATATTTAGGGCGATTCTGGAAAAATTGGCCAACCAAAAATTACGAAAAAAATCGTGTTTACGGAGGAACGATAGGTCTATCAGTGAAACTAATCCAAATTCGATGCCACCATTGGTTTCCGAAATATTCGGATTTAAAGTCAAGCATTTAAAATAACTCAAAATTTGTTTCTTCCTATTTTGGAGATTTAAAAAAAAATGGCTGTTTTTTTCCTATAAATGAATTCGTTAAAAACTTCTAGAGGTCGAAATCAGCTTCAGACATTTTTTGGTAACTTTCGGAGATATTTGGAGAAAAGTAAAAAAATTCATATATTTAGTATTGAAGAATTGAACTTTTGGCAAAGTTGCTTAAAAATCAACAAAAAATTCTGGGAGATAGATCTCGATCAGCTAAATCCAAAAATATAGTGTGTTAATGGTCCTGGATCAAGACTGAGACTATCATCGAAAATTTCGGAATAATTGTGTCATTTTTATTAAGGACTTATTTAAAGCAACCCCGGAAAAACTGGGTGGCCTAAAATTATGAAAAAAATCGTGGTTGGGGAGGAATGATAGCTCTATCAGTGTAAAAACTCCAAACTCTATGCTACCATTGGTTTTCGAAATATTTGTTTTTAAAGTGAAATTTTAATATTTAAAATATCTCAAAATTTGTTACTTCCTATTTTGGAGATTTCGAAAAAATGGCTGCTTTTTTCGTATAAATGAATTCGTTGAAAACTTCTAGAGGTCGAAATCAGATTCAGGATTTTTTTGGTAATTTTCGGAGATATTTGGAGAAAAGTAAAAAAATTCATACATTTATTAGTACTGAAGAATTGAGCTTTTGGCAAAGTTGCTTAAAAATAAAAAAAAAATTCTAGGAGATAGATCTCGATCAGCTAAATCCAAGAATATAGTGTGTTAATGGTCCTGGATCAAGACTGAGGCTATCATCGAAAATTTCTGAATAATTGTGTCATTTTAATTAAAGACTTATTTAAAGCAATCCCGGAAAAACCGGATGGCCTAAAATTATGAAAAAAATCGTGGTTGGGGAGGAATGATGGCTCTATCAGTGTAAAAAATCCAAATTCTATGCTACCATTGGTTTTCGAAATATTTGTTTTTAAAGTGAAATTTTAATATTTAAAATATCTCAAAATTTGTTACTTCCAATTTGGAGATTTCGAAAAAATGGCTGCTTTTTTCGTACAAATGAATTCGTTAAAAACTTTTGGATGTCCAAATCAACATTAGACATTTTTTTGGTGATTTTCGACCTTCTCTGGAGAAAAGTCAAAATTTTCTATTGAAAAATTAAGTTTTTGGCAAAGTTATTTAAAAATCAACAAAAAAAGTTAGCAGCTAGATCTCAATCAGCTGAGTCCAAAAATATGGCGTATTAATGGTCCTGGATCAAGACTGTGGACTGTAATCGAAAATTCCGGAATAATTGTGTCATTTTTGTTAAGTACTTATTTTGGGCGATTCCGGAAAAACCAGGTGGCCTAAAAATTATAAAAAAAATCATGTCTGCACAGAAATAAGAGCTCCTTTATTGAAAATAATCCAAACTCCATCCGACTATTGGTTTTCGAAATATTCGGATTTAAATTCGATTTTTTAAAATATCTCAAAATTTGTTATTTTCTACTTTAGCGATTTTGAAAAAATGGGTGGAATTTCGTAGAAATGAATTCATAAATAACTTATGGAGGTCAAAATAAGCATTAGAAATTTGTGTGTTAATTGTGGACGTTATCCTGGGAAAAGTCAAAAATTTCAAATGTTAGGTAAGTATATATTAACAAATTGATCTTTTGGCAAAATTGCTCAAAAATCTACAAAAATTTCTAAGCGATAGATCTCTACAAACTGAATCGTAAAATATTGCGTAATGGTGGTCCCGGATCAAAATTGAGGATTGTCGTCGAAAACTCAGGAACAATCGTGTTGTTTTAATTAAGGATTTATTTAGGGCAATTCCGGAAAAACCCAGTACCCAAAAATTACGAAAAAAATCGTATTTATGGAGGAACGATGGCTCTACCAGTGAAAATAATCCAAATTCGATGTCGTTATTGGTTTTCGAAATTTTCGTGTTTAAATTCAAATATTTAAAACATCTAAAAATTTTTTACTTATTCCTGTTTTGGAGATTTTGAGAAAAATGGCTGTTTTTTTCGAATAAATGTGATTTCTTTAAAAACTTCTGGAGGTCAAAGTAAGCATTAAACATTTTTTTGGTGATTTTCGACTGTATCTGAAGAAAAGTCAAAATTTCATATGGTATTATTAAAAAATCGAGCTTTTGGCTAAGTTGCTAAAAATCAACAAAAAAAAATTAGGAGATAGATCGCGACCAGCTAAATCAAAAATATAGCGTATTAATGGTCCTGGATCAAGACTGTGGACTGTAATCGAAAATTCCGGAATAATTGTGTCATTTTTGTTACGTACTTATTTAGGGCGATTCCGGAAAAACCAGGTGGCCTAAAAATTATGAAATAAATCGTGTCTACACATAAACAATAGCTCCATTATTGAAACTAATCCAAACTCCATCCGACCATTGGTTTTCGAAATATTCAAACTTAAATTCGATTTTTTAAAGTATCTCAAAATTTGTAATTTTTTATTTTAGCGATTTTAAAAAAATGGGTGGAATTTTCTTAGAAATTAATTCATAAATAACTTATGGAGGTCGAAATAAGCATTAGAAATTTGTTTGCTAATTATGGACGGTATCTTGGGAAAAGTAAAAAATTTCAACAAATTGATCTTTTGACAAAGTTGCTTAAAAGTCCACAAAAAGTTCTAGGAGACAGATTTCGACAAACTGAATCGTAAAATATAGCATATTGGTGGTCCTGGACCAAGACTGAGGACTATCGCCGAAAATTCAGGAACAATTGTGTCAATTTTATTATAGACATATTTAGGTCCATTCTGGAAAAACCTGGTGATCAAAAATTTTGGAAAAAATCGTGCTTACGTAGGAATGATAGGTCTCTCAGTGAAAACAATCCAAACTCGATACGAGTATTGGTTTTCCAAATAATCGGATTTAAAGTCAAATTTTTAAAATATCTCAAAGTTTGTCGGCGATTTTAAAAAACTGGCTGGAATTTTCATAGAAATAAAATCGTTAAAAATTTCTGGCGGTGGAAATCACCATTAGAATTTTTTTTGGTAATTTTCGTCGTTATCCAGGGAAAAGTAAAAAATTTCATGTATTGAAAAACTGAAAAATTGAGTTTTGGTAAAGTTGCCTAAAAATCCACAAAAACTTTTGGGATAGAGATTTCTACTAGCTGAATCGAAAAATATAGTAAGTGTCTTGATAGTCCCGAACCAAGTTTGAGGACTATCATCGAACATTCCCCAATAATCCTGCCACTTTTATTAAAGACTAATTTAGAGCGATTCTGGAAAAACCTGGTGGTCAAAAATTATGAAAAAAATCGTGTTTATGTAAAAACGATAGGTCTATCAGTAAAAATAATACAAACTCGATGAGATAATTGGTTTTCGAAATATTCGGATTTAAAGTCTAATTTTTTAATTTTTTAAAATCTGTTTTTTTTTCGTAATTTTTGATGAAAATGGTACATTTTTGCAAGGATATATGGGTTTTTGTAATTATGGGGCGGAGCCTAATTGCAAAATCGATATTTCTTTTTACAAATTTACCATTTTAAACATGTTTCAAATTTCATGTTGTGAAAAGTCTACACATATTACAAATAAAAGACAAAATGTCACCCCACCCACCCGCCCCTATCTAAATTGTGATGAATTTTTTAAGCATTTTGAACCAAGAGTTTAACTGCAAGATACTTATTTCTTTAATACGAATTAAAAACATCTTTATGAATACCGTGTTGTTTGAAAAATTACTATGTTGATTAAGAAAAATGGATAATATAAAGCCCCACCCACCCACCCCATCTCAATTGTGATGATTTTTTTATTCTTAGAAACCTGAAACATTTTTCAATTGGGCTCCTTCCCGTAATTTTTAGAATTTTGCATGTTTAGATAGTTCAATGTTTCGACATCTTGCTTTTTTAATTTTTCGATTTCTTGATTTTTAGACTTTCCTGTTTTTGGATTTTTAAATTTTTGGAATTTTTGACTTCTGGCTTTTTCGATTTTTGAATTTGTTAATTTTTCACCTTTCTGATTTTTCAGTTTGTCAATGTTCCCATTTTTTGATTTTCATATTTTTCGCCTTTTCAATTTCTCAATTATTGGAGTTTTCGATTTTTCAATTTCTCAATTTTTTGAGTTTGCGATTTCTCGATTTGTCAAACTTTCAATTTCTGTTTTTTTGATTTTCACTTTTTGTATTTTTCAATTTTGTGGCTTTTCCGATTTTTTCATAGTCTAATTTTTCAACGTTTCCATTTTTCAATTTTCGTCGTTATCCAGGGAAAAGTAAAAAATTTCATGTATTGAAAAACTGAAAAATTGAGTTTTGGTAAAGTTGCCTAAAAATCCACAAAAACTTTTGGGATAGAGATTTCTACTAGCTGAATCGAAAAATATAGTAAGTGTCTTGATAGTCCCGAACCAAGTTTGAGGACTATCATCGAACATTCCCCAATAATCCTGCCACTTTTATTAAAGACTAATTTAGGGCGATTCTGGAAAAACCTGGTAGTCAAAAATAATGAAAACAACGTGTTTACGTAGGAACGATAAGTCTATCAGTGAAAATAGTCCAAACTCGATCCGATCATTGGTTTTGGAAATATTCGGAATTAAAGTCAATTTTTTTTTAATTTCTCAAAATTTGTCGTCTCTAATTTGGCGATTTTGAAAAAATGGCTGCAATTTTCGTAGAAATTAAATCGTTAAAAATTTCTCGAGGTCGAATACAGCATAGATTTTTTTTTACTTTTTTGGTAATTTTCGACGGTATTCAGGGAAAAATCGAAAATTTCAATAATTGAATGAAAAAATACAAAAATTGAAAACTATAATAAAAAATCCCGGAATAATCGTCTCATTTTTATTAAGGACTTATTTACGACAATTCCGGAAAAACTAGGTGGCCAAAAATTATAAAAAAAATCGTGTTTGCATACAGTCGATATTGGGAAAAAAAAATTCAAACTTGATTCCAGCATTAGTTTGAGAAATATTTGGGTTTAAAGTCAATTTTTTTAAATATCTTAAAATTTGTTACTTTCTATTTTAGCGATTTTGGGAAAATGGCTGGAATTTTCGCAGAAATCAATCCGTCAAAAACTTGCGGAGGTCGAAATCAGCATTTGAAATATTTTTAGTAATTTTAGAGGATATCTGGAGAAAGGTAAAAATTTTCAGGTTTGAAGAATTGAGGTTTTGGTGAAGTTGCCTAAAAAACAACAAAAAATTCTAGGAGATAGATTTTCACCAGCTGAACTGAAAAATATAGCGGGTTGATGGTACCGAACCAAAATTGAAATTGAATAATCGAAAATTACCTAATAATCGTGGTATTTTTATTAGGGACCTATTTAGTGCGATTCTGGAAAAACTGGATGACCAAAAATTATGAAAAAAATTGCGTTTGTGTGGGAACGATAATTCTATCAGTGGTAATAATTCAAACTAGATACGATGACCGGTTTTCGAAATATTCGGATTTAAATTCGTTTTTTTTTTGATATATGAGTGCAATTTCTTAGAATAAATTTGTTAAAAACTTCTGAAGGTCAAAATCAGTATTAGGAATTTTTTGGTAATTTTCGATGGTATTCAAGGAAAAGTCAAAAATTACATATAGTTCTGATAAATTGCGCTTTCGGCAAAGTTGCCCAAAATCTCCAAAAAAATCTGGGAGATAGATCTCGACGAGCTGAATCGAAAAATGATTTGGCCGAGTGTAATTTTGTGAATAAAAACTCGTTATTTTCTCCATTATTTGAAGAGATATAGCAAAAATAACCACAAATTCGATATCCTGAGAATATATTTGCTAAGTATAACTCACTTCCTATAAATCCAGTAAAATTTAAATTCAGAATTAAATTGGCGGGAAAATATAAAAAAAAAATAATTAAAGAATTTTGGAACCGCTTGTACCGAGTATAATAGTGTAAATTAAAACTCTTTTTGTCGTTATTATTTGAAGAAATATAGCATAAAATAGAATCTTTTCAGAATAAAAAAATTTAATTACTTCCCGAGCGTAAGCAAAGGAAGTATTGTAATCGAGTCCGTCGGCCAACTCTCTACTTTTACGTTTTCTCGATCTTTCATGACCCCTAGAAGACGAAGAAATAGGTCTCCCATTTCCGTCTGTCTGCCGTCCCGGATTTTTATTAGACAGATAATCTCCGAAAGTACTGGACCGATTGTTGTGAAATTTTGTAGTTATATTAGGAATATCATGTCCTACACATGTAGTTTACGACTCCGAATTGAGCTTTTACCCGAAACGTATAGATTTTTGGAAAAAAATCAAAATTATAAAACAACATTTTGCAATTTAATTTTGAATCTGCTAACCCGAATGTTTTGAAATATTGCAGATGTTTTAAGGCTCTAAAGAGTATCATAAATCTTTAGTCAAAATATATTTGGTTATCCCCTCCAAAAACTTGATGACGTCAGCTCAAAAGTTTGCCGAATAAATCCTATTTAAAATGTACAAAATATGATGCGTCTATACTTGTGATATATCACTCCATTCATATTTTTTGGATTTGCGTATACAGGGTGACACAAAAAAATTAATGAATGCGGAAAATTTATTTTACTGATTTACTCAGGGACTACAAAACCGAATGCTTTGAAATCTTGAAGATGTTTTAAAATTATATAAGCATGGTAAATTTTTGATCAAAATGTATTTGGTCGTCCCCCCAAAAACATGTATGACGTCACCCCAAAATTTTGCTGAATAAATCCTATCTAAAATGTAGAAAATATGATGAGTCTCTTCTTGTGATTTATCATTCCATTCATATTTTTGGGTTTGCATATACAGGCTGACTCAAAAAAATTAATGAATGCGTGAATTTATTTTATCGATTTATTCAGGAATTACAAAACCGAATGCTTTGAAATCTTGGAAATATTTTAAAGTTATCATAAGCATGGTAAACTTTTGTTCAAAATGTATTTGTTCATCCCCCTAAAAAAATTGATGACGTCACCCCAAAATTTTGCTGAATAAATCCTACCTAAAATGCAAAAAATATGATGAGTTTGTACTTGTAATTTATCATTCCATTCATATTTTTTTTAGATTTGCTTAAGAGGCGGCTCAAAAAAATTAATGAAGTCAATTTATTTTATTGATTAAATTAAAGGCAACACTTATTATTAGTATTACATTGGACCAACCCAATTTGGTAGACACAAAATTTTGTAAAGTAAAAACTCGGTTGAAACATAAGGGTAGCAGGCTTATTTATATTTACTTTAACATTACAGACGTGCATTTGTTTTGTGCGCTGACTAGGTTCCGCGAATGTAGTATAGACATGTTTATAATCAACCAATTGTGAATTCCACCGTCAAAAGTTTTTGTTTTATATAATAAGCGGAAGTCGAAGCAATAAAAATCTCTAGACGACCATCGGTTTTGTTTACAGTTTCTCTGTTTGACTCTCACGTATGCTATGTTACGCTTGTCGTCTTAAATAAAGAATGCTTATACATAAACCATTTTCAGTTGCCTCTCCTAGTACATGCCGGCGCCGTATACGTGAGTAAATTGTTTCGTTATTTTATTGATTATTACAAATCAATATTCAAAACGACCCAATTCATTTTCCCGAAAATTTGGGAATACAATAATCTTATTCTTAGTATTACACTACATCTATCCCTACTGATATACGTGTCCTTGCAAAAATGTTGATGACGTCATCGCAATTTTTTTTTAAATTCCCACTATAAAAATGTAATGAGAAAAAAAAAACACAATAGGCATGCAGAGTCGTCAAGTTTCCGACTCTTTAGACCAATTTTTTTTTTAGTGTTAAAGAAGGGAGAAAAAATGGTCGAAAAATATGGTGTTTTTAGGAGTCATAAGTGACGTATAAATTAAGTCGTTTGTGTTTTATAATGATTTATTAATTTTAAACGTGCCAATATCAACGATAGAGAATAATTTAATATTTTTGTGTAAATTTAGATTTAGGCAACACACATTACACTAGTTTTAGAGAGTTAAGACAGTTGGTGCTGCCGGTAAAACTAGGGATGATATTACAAGGGACTCAAGAGGGAATGGGTTCACAAAAAGAAAAATTCCATATCTACATGTGCAGTTTTATTTATATCAAACAATAAACAAAATATGTGCAGTACAAATCATTAACACTTCCGTATTGCTGGTTGCCTACTCACTTATAAACTAACAACTCTTGATTATTTTTTACTTTCAGCATTTCCCTTCTCCAGATTCACGCTCTCCTCAAAGTACTGATTGGGGTGATTAATCCCATTCGCTGCTGCCTTCCCATGACTATATTCAAAATATTTACCACAAGCGACTTGACAATGCCCCCCACTCGCCAACTCCTTAATCTCATTGGCATCTGAAACAACGTCACTCATTCCCGCCGAAATTTAAACATTTAAACACTTACTCTCGTTGCTAATTCCACCTTCCACCAACTTCTGCTTAATAAAATTAGGATCCCAGTTCCTAAACGGACACCCGTGATGCTCCCCAGGCCCCACATTAGTCAAAATAATCTTCATACAACTATAGGGAGTATAATTCAACATACGCCCCACCTTCCCATACTGATGTTTAATATTATACAAATAACTTTTCTCAAATTTTCCCGAATCCATCTTCTTCGTGAACTCGTCCCGCCAAAACCTGACAGCATCCTCATACAACAAACCAATCCCTTTCAAAAAGAGACCATAAGTAAGTCGGGCTTGGTGCTTATGGTGGTGCTCCGCCCTCAGAACATCATGCATGTGCCTCATACACAACGGGAAGTGTTTTTTGGAATAAGCGTCCAAATTGGCGGGGTCCACACTGTCTGTGTTTTCGCGAACCACGTAGTTGTTGCCTGTGTGGACGCGATGGAGGTTGGTGAGAAGGGGGTTGATGCGGTCGTCGTCAAATAGAGGGAGGCGGCGATTATAAAACTGTCTTTGTTAAAATAACAACGAATACATTCTTAAAATACTTACTGTTAAAGCAGCGCTTAAATCGGCCCGAAATTTCGACAAAATGGGGACCACTAATTCGTACGAAGGCACATAGGCGTATCCCCCTTTTAACAAAACCCTCCTATTTTTGACTAAGGGGCAGACTTCCGTGAACGGTACTTTATAAAACGCAGTCGTATCAAACACGAATATCCCGCTCGTTGATTGCGTGAGCTCCTCCCGGAGCTCCATTTTCTCCTCATCCGAAATCGGCGTATACGACAATTTATACAACTCCAGGAAACTCCTAATGCTTTCAGCACTTTTCTCGCTGAACTTCAGTCGAAACCATTCGAGTTCTCTGCTTAAAAACCACCGCCTGAGTTCTTCAGAGCGACAGTAAGCCACTCGGAGGATGAAGTGGGATATGTGGTCAATGCGACGTGCTTGATGGTCGGCTTCGGTTTGACCATTGTACGGCTGCATTAACCGAATGAAGCTTTTCAACGTGGCTTTACTTAAGTCTCCTTTAATGCACTCTTTCCAGTCGTCGGTGTACAATTTGTGGCCTTTCAATGACGCTTGTTCTATGATTCGGAATAGCTGGACACGTTGGAGGGCTATGTCTTCGAATTCGCTTAAGGAGATGGATTGGGAAGGGGGGTCTACGTACATGTTGAGGTCGTGGCGGTAGAGCTCGCTTAAGGAGTCGTTGATTATGGGTTGGTTGAGGCGGCGGCGGTTTGCTGTGAAGTCCATGTCTTGGAAAAGAAATGGGTTTGGGTTTTGTTGTTAGTTGGTTAACCTCAGTTTTGGAAGTTTTCGCGCCAAAAGAAGTGTCAGGTTTGACGTTTCGGCGCCATCTACGGGGAGTTTTATGTAACCAATATTATACAGGTGTTTAGTTGCTTGCATAACTTTTATTCTTCTTTTACACAATTTAAACAATAAATTGTTTAGTGTTATTTACAAATACAAATAAAAAACTGAATGCGCTAATTACCAGAAGAAATTTTTGATTTTGATCTCGGTTTCATTTATTCGAAAATTTATTTCTTTGAAACTAGATATTTCGAAAATTTTGGCTCAAAACGCCATACACATGTTATAGTTAGTTTTCGATTCAGCTCAACGTAGTTTGTATTATAAATTTTTTTGAGAATTTTTAAGTATTTAAGTTTACCAAAAGTAATTTTTCAACATCACCATTTTTGAAAATTTTTATCTTTTTTCATTCCAGAATCATCAAAATGAAAGATTACAATTTTTGAGATGTTTTAAAAATTTGACTTTGAAACCGGATATTTCAAAAATCTTTGTCCGGGACTGAAAATACGTTCTGTTTTTTGATTCAGCTAGTCGAGATCTATATTTCACTTTTTTTTTTGTGAATTTTCGGGTAAGTTTGCCAAAAGTTCAATTTTTCAGTATGAGATTTTTGACCTTTTTGAGCACCTTCGAAAATTACCCAAAGAGTTTAGCTTGTTGATTTGAACTTGTAGAAGTGTTTTTCGACTTCATTTTTTGGAAAACTCGTACCAATTTTTCCAGAATTGTTATAATGGAAGATTACAACGTTTGAGATGATTTAAAAATTTGACTTTGAAATCGAATATTTCAAAAATCTTTATCTGTGACTAAAAATACGTTAAGTTTTTCGATTCAGCTCGTTAAAATTTATGTTTCATTTTTTTTTTTGGGAATTTTCATGAAGTTTGCCAAAATTTCAATTTTTCAGTATCAGTATGAAATTTTTTACTTTTTTTTGAGCACCTTTGAAAATTGCCCAAAGTGTTTATTTTGTTGATTGGAATTTCTAGAAGTGTTTTTGGCTTCACTTTTGCGAAAATTTATGCCACTTTTCCAGAATCACTAAAATGAAAAATTACAGTTTTTGAGATCTTTTAAAAATTTGACTATGAAACCAAATATTTAAACAATATTTATCCGAGACTAAAAATACATTGTTTGTCCATTCAGCTCGTCGAGTATTATATCTCAGAATTTTTTGTGAATTTTCAGGTAAGTTTGCCAAAAGTTTAATTTTTCGGTAGCGCCATCAGTATGAAATTTTTGACTTTTTTTTGAACACCTTCGAAAAATACCCAAAGTGTTTACTTTGATGATTTGAACTTGTAGAAGTGTTTTTCGGCTTCATATTTCGAAAATGTTTGCCATTTTTCCAGATAAATTATAAATTTTGAGATTTTTTTCAAAATTTGACTTTGAAACTGGATCTTTCAAAAATCTTTATTCAGCACTAAAAATACGTTGTTTTTCGATTCAGCTCGTCAATTTTTATTATATCTCAGAATTTTTTTGTGAATTTTCAGGCAAGTTTATCAAGAGTTCAATTTTTCAGTTGCACCTTCAGTATGAAATTTTTGACTTTTCTTTGAGCATCTTCGAAAATTACCCAGTGTTTATTTTGTTGATTTGAGCTTGTAGAACTATTTTTCGTCTTCATTTTTTCGAAAATTCCTGCCATTTTTCCAGAATCGTTAAAATGAAACATTATAATTTTTAAGATCTCTTAAAAGTTTGGCTATGAGACGGAATATTTAAAAAATATTTATCCGGGACTAAAAACACGTTATATTTTTCGATTCAGCTCGTCGAGATTTATATCTCAGAATTTTTGTGAATTTTCAGGTAAGTTTGCCAAAAGTTCAATTTTCAGTATAAAATTTTTGACTTTTCTTTGAGCACCTTCGAAAATTACCCAAAGTATTTATTTTGTTGCTTTGAACTTCTAGACGTGTTTTTCGGCTTCATATTTCGAAAATTTCTGAAATTTTCCAGATAGATGATAAATTTTGAGATTTTTTTAAAAATTTTACTTTGAAACTGGATATTTCAAAAATCTTTATCCGGCACTAAAAATACGTTGTTTTTCGCTTCAGCTTGACGAGTTTTATATCTCAGAATTTTTTCGTGAATTTTCAGGCAAGTTTATCAGAAGTTCAATTTTTCAGTATGAAATTTTTGACTTTACTTTGAGCATCTTCGAAAATTACCCAGTGTTTATTTTGTTGATTTGAGCTTGTAGAACTATTTTTCGTCCTCATTTTTTCGAAAATTCCTGCCATTTTTCCAGAATCGTTAAAATGAAAGATTATAATTTTTGAGATCTTATAAAAATTTGGCTATGAAACCGAATATTTAAAAAATTTTTATTCGGGACTAAAACTACGTTATGTTTTTCGATTCAGCTCGTCGAGTTTTATATCTCAGAATTTTTTTTGTGAATTTTCGGGTAAGTTTATCAAAAGTTCAATTTTTCAGTAGCACCTTCAGTATGAAATTTTTGACTTTACTTTGAGCATCTTCGAAAATTACCCGGTGTTTATTTTGTTGATTTGAGTTTGTAGAACTATTTTTCGTCCATTTTTTCGAAAATTCCTGCCATGTTTCCAAAATCGTCAAAATGAAAAAGTACAATTTTTGAAGTGTTTTGAAAATTTGACTTTGAAACCGAATATTTCAAAAATCTTTATCGGGACTAAAAACACGTTAAGTTTTTCGATTCAACTCGTCGAGGTTTATATCTCAAAATTTTTTGTGAATTTTCAGGTAAGTTTGCCAAAAGTTCCATTTTTCAGTAGTATCTCAGTATTAAATTTTTGACTTTTCTTTGAGCACCTTCGAAAATTACCCAAAGTATTTATTTTGTTGATTTGAGTTTGTAGAACTATTTTTCGTCTTCATTTTTTCGAAAATTCCTGCCATTTTTCCAAAATCGTTTAAATGAAAGAGCACAATTTTTGAAATGTTTTAAAAATATGACTTTGAAACCCAATATTTCAAAAATCTTTATCCGGGACTAAAAATACGTTAAGTTTTTCGAATCAACTCGTCGAGTTTTATATCTCAGAATTTTTGTGAATTTTCAGGTAAGTTTGCCAAAAGTTTAATTTTTTGTAGCATCTCAGTATTAAATTTTTGACTTTTCTTTGAGCTCCTTCGAAAATTATCCAAAGTATTTATTTTGTTGATTTGAGTTTGTAGAACTATTTATTAGAAAATTTCTGCCAGTTTTACAAAATCGTTAACATGAAAGAGCACAATTTTTGAAATGTTTTAAAAATTTGACTTTGAAACCGAATATTTCAAAAATCTTCATCCGGGACTAAAAATACGTTAGGTTTTTCGATTCAACTCGTCGAGTTTTATATCTCAGAATTTTTTGTCAGTTTTCAGGTAAGGTTGCCAAAAGTTCAATTTTTCAGTAGCATCTCAGTACTGAATTTTTGGCTTTTCTTTGAGCACCTTCGAAAATTACCCAAAGTATTTATTTTGTTGATTTGAGTTTATAGAACTATTTTTCGTCATTTTTTCGAAAATTCTCGCCATTTTTTCAAAATCGTTAAAATGAAAGAGCACAATTTTTGAAATGTTTTAAAAATTTGACTTTGAAACCGAATATTTCAAAAATCTTTATCCGGGACTAAAAATACGTTAAGTTTTTCGATTCAACTCGTCGAATTTTATACATATCTCAGAATTTTTTATGAATTTTCAGGTAAGTTTGCCAAAAGTTAAATTTTTCAGTAGCATCTCAGTGTTAAATTTTTGACTTTCCATTGAGCACTTTCGAAAATTACCCAAAACATTTATTTTGTTGATATGAGTTTGTAGAACTATTTTTCTTCTTCATGTTTTTTAAATTCCTGCCATTTTTTCAAAATCGTTAAAATGAAAGAGTACAATTATTGAAATGTTTTAAAAATTTGATTTTGAAACCGAATATTTAAAGAATCTTTATGCGGGACTAAAAATTCTTTAAATTTTTCGACTCAACTGGTCGAGTTTTATATCTCAGAATTTTTTTGTGAATTTTCAGGTAAGTTTATCTAAAGTTCAATTTTTCAGTAGCATCTTCAGTATGAAATTTTTGACTTTACTTTGAGCATCTTCGAAAATTACCCGGTGTTTATTTTGTTAATTTGAGCTTGTAGAACTATTTTTCGTCTTCATTTTTTCGAAAATTCCTGCCATTTTTCCAGAATCGTTAAAATGAAACATTATATTTTTTAAGATCTTTTAAAAATATGGCTATGAGATGGAATATTTAAAAAATATTTATCTGGGACTAAAAACACGTTATATTTTTCGATTCAGCTCGTCGAGATTTATATCTCAGAATTTTTTGTGAATTTTCAGGTAAGTTTGCCAAAAGTTCAATTCTTGGTATAAAATTTTTGACTTTTCTTTGAGCACCTTCGAAAATTACCCAAAGTATTTATTTTGTTGATTTGAGTTTTTAGAACTATTTTTCGTCTTCATTGTTTCGAAAATTCCTGCCATTTTTCCCAAAATTGTCAAAATAAACGAGCACAATTTTTTAAAATGTTTTAAAAATTTGACGTTGAAAACCGATATTTAAAAAATCTTTATCCGGGACTAAAAATACGTTAAGTTTTTCGATTCAACTTGTCAAGTTTTATATCTCAGAATTTTTGTGAACTTTCAGGTAAGTTTGCCAAAAGTTCAATTTTTAGTAGTATCTCAATATCAAATTTTGACTTTCTTTGAGCATCTTCGAAAATTACCCAAAGTGTTTATTTTGTTGATTTGAACTTGTAGAGGTGTTTTCGGCTTCATTTTTTCGAAAATTCGTGCCATTGTTCCAGAATTGTTAAAATGAAAGATTACAATTTTTGAGATGTTTTAAAAATTTCACTTTGAAACCGAATATTTAAAAAATCCTTATCCGGGACTATAAATACGTTATGTTTTTCGTTTCAGCAAATCGAGATTTGTATATCAGAATTTTTTTGTGAATTTTCAGCTAATTTTGCCAAAAATTCCATTCTTCAGTAGCACCAACACTATGAAATTTTTGACTTTTCATTGAGCACCTTCGAAAATTACTCAAAGTGTTTATTTTGTTGATTTGAACTTGTAGAAGTGTTTTTGGCTTCATTTTTACGAAAATTCGTGCCATTGTTCCAGAATTGTTAAAATGAAAGATTAGAATTTTTGAAATGTTTTATAAATATCACTTTGAAACCGAATATTTAAAAAATCTTTTTCGTTTCAGCAAGTCGAGATTTATATCTCATAATTTTTTGTGAATTTTCTGGTAAGTTTGCCAAAAGTTCAATTTTTAAGTAGCATCTCAGTATTAAGTTTTTGACTTTTTTTTGAGCACCTTGGAAAATTACCCAAAGTATTTATTTTGTTGATTTGAGTTTGTAGAACTATTTTTCGTCTTCATTTTTTCGAAAATTCCTACCATTTTTCCGGAATCATTAAAATGGAAGATTACAATTTTTGAGATCTTTTAAAAATTTGGCTGTGAAAGCGAATATTTCAATAATATTTATCCAGGGCTAAAAATACGTTATATTTTTCGATTCAACTCGTCTAGTTTTACATCTGAGAATTTTTTGTGAATTTTCAGGTAAGTTTGCCAAAACTTTAATTTTTCAGTAGCACCATCAGTATGAAATTTTTGACTTTCCTTTGAACAGTTTCGAAAATTACCCAAAGTGTTTACGTTGTTGATTTGAACGTCAAGAGGTGTTTTTCGAGTTCATTTTTTCGAAAATTTCTGTCATTTTTCCAAAATCGTTAAAATGAAGGAGCATAATTTTTGAAATGTTTTAAAAATTTGACTTTGAAACCCGATATTTCAAAAATCTTTAACCAGGACTAAAAATACGTTAAGTTTTTCGATTCAACTCGTCGAGTTTTATATCTCAGAATTTTTTGTGAATTTTCAGTAAGTTTTCCAAAAGTTTAATTTTTCAGTAGTACCATCAGTACGAAATTTTTGACTTTTCTTTGAGCACCTTCGAAAATTAGCCAAAGTGTTTATTTTGTTGATTTGAACTTCTAGAAGTGTTTTTCGGCTTCATATTTCGAAAATGTCTGCTTTTTTTCCAGATAGATTATAAATTTTGAGATTTTTTAAAAGATTTGACTTTGAAACTGGATATTTCAAAAATCTTTATCTGGTACTAAACATACATTGTTTTTCGATTCAACTCGTCGAGATTTATATCTCAGAATTTTTTTGTGAATTTTCAGATAAGTTTATCAAACGTTCAATTTTTCAGTAGCACCTTCAGTATGAAATTTTTGACTTTACTTTGAGCATCTTCGAAAATTACCCAGCGTTTATTTTGTTGATTTGGGCTTGTAGAACTATTTTTCGTCTCCATTTTTTCGAAAATTCCTGCCATTTTTCTAGAATCGTTAAAATGAAAGATTATAATTTTTGAGATCTTTTAAAAATTTGGCTATGAAACCGAATATTTAAAAAATATTTATTCGGAACTAAAAATACGTTATGTCTTTCGATTCAACTCGTCGGGTTTTATATCTCAGAATTTTTTGTGAATTTTCAGGTAAGTTTTCCAAAAGTATAATTTTTCAGTAGGACCATTAGTACGAAATTTTTGGCTTTTCTTTGAGCACCTTCGAAAATTACCCAAAGTGTTTATTTTGTTGATTTAAACTTGTAGAAGTGTTTTTCGATTTCATTTTTTCGATAATTCCTACCGTTTTTCCAGAATCGTTAAAATGAAAGATTTCAGTTTTAGCGATATTTCAAAAATTTGACTATAAAACGAGATATTTCAAAAATGTTTATCGGGGACTATAAATATGTTGTTTTTCAATTCAGCTCGTCGAGATTTATATATTAGAAATTTTGTAAATTTTCAGGCAACTTTACCGAAGTTTTTCATAATCTATGAAAATTTTGACCTTTTTCCAAGCATCATTGAAAAATACCAGAAGAGATTTTTTTGTTAATGTCGACGAAGTTTCTTCAGCTTCTTTCTCTAGAATCCTCAAAATGGAAGAGGACAATTTTTGAGATATTTTAAAAATTTGACTTTGAAACTGAATTTTTCGAAAATCTTGGTCTAATACTATCAATCATCAACACGCTATATTTTTCGATTCAGCTCGTCGGGATTTATATTCCTGAATTTTTTGGCAAGTTTGCGAAAAGTTTGATTTTTCAGTAACCATCCCTTAGAAAAATTTTGACTTTTTTCGCGCACCTTTGAAAATTTCCAGAAGAGATTCTTTTATTGATTTCGATTTCTAGAAGTGTTTTTTGGTTTCGAAAAATTACTACCATGTGTCCAAAATTGCCAAAATGAAAATAATAATCTTTGGGGTATTTTAAAAACACGAATTTGAAACCGAATATTTCGAAAATATGTTTTGATCTTTTTTGAGCATTTTCTACATTAACACCAGATTCAATGATTTCAACCTCAAAGTTTTTTCCACTTAATTATTTTGAAAATTCTATCACTCTAATCTTAGCAAATACTAGCCCCGCCCACCCACCCTTTATTTTCTTACGCCTACTCTCATTCTAGCGATTTTTTACTGTTCAGTATAGGATCCACCAAATAAAATTGATCATTGTATTTTTTGGTTTTATTTTTTCCAGAATCGCCAAAATGGAAGTCGGCAAAATTTTTGAATTCCAAACCGGAAATTTCGAAAATCGTGGTTCATTTTTCAATACGAAAATTTTGACCACGGACCTTTGAAAATTACCACAAGAGTTTCCTCTGCTAATTAGTCCTCCACAGGTATTTTTCGGTTTCATTTCCACGAAAATTCGCACCAATTTTCCAAAATCGCCAAAACAAAATAAAATTTTTAGATTTCAGAAATTGACTTTGAACCAGTTGAATTATTTTTGAGTTGCCCTAAACAAATCTTTAACAAAAACCCTAAAGTACGAAACCATTTATTTAAACATCTTCTTGTAAATAATAAACCCAAGAAATATGTGGCGATTGACAGCTAATGGTCAATTTTCCCGTCGCAGGATACGTCACTTCATCGTTACTCTGTTTCCACATACTAACCACCACCTTCAGCACCTTCTTGGATTCAACCAATTGAGTTGTCTGCTTGACGGAAAAGTCACTTGGTTCAGTGTGAAAATAGAACTGTTTGTCTTCAGAAAACGGGTTCTTGAAGTTGATGGTGACAGGAGACGAAGAGTTTAGGAAGAAAGGTCCTTGAGGTTTGGGCGGAGAGCTTTCACCAATAAGAGGATATCTAAAAAGAAATCACAGACCACTTGGAAGACTACATAGAATAGACCTTACATAAAATCTCCCAAAGCTGTTGACTTCAAAACCATCTGACTCTGAATCCTTCCAATCTGACTGGGCTCGTAAGTGATGCTCAGGGTGTGGTCATTCACAACCGAGTTTAAAAAGAACATCGGGCTTTCAAACTGAAAAATAAACCTGTTGAAGTATCCCAAACTCATCAGTACGTACTTTATATTGACACGATTTTGTATCAACCACTTCTACATTTTGGGTCAACGAATGTCCCAAAGTACTCCTGAACATGATCGCAGGCTCGGGTACCGCCGCTTGAGCACTTAGTACCAAACTGTACGAAAAAGTACCCATCTCTTTGCAAGTAGCGCTAAAAGTTTTGGTTTGTTCTTCTTGGAACAGAGGTCTATAAGTAACGTCCATATAGTACTAGAACGAAGTAATTAAAATCGACTTTATAAGATTCACGTTTTGGTACCACCGTGTGTGGGTCAAGAGTGACAGTCTTCTCATACTCTAGACCCTCTTGAGGACAAGTCATTTCGTAAGTCACCGGTACTGACAGAGGATTTTCCAGTTTGATCAACTTCGTAATCGAGTTTCTAGCACACGTCTTGAACTCAATCACATCTAGCTGATTATTGGGTAGTACTGTTAAAGAAACTTCGTAGCATTGATACTCCTTGGATACTTTATTCGTGAAGTTGACCTTAAGTGCGTAATTAGTGCCAATTGTGTTTGACTAGTGTTAGTACCTTCAGTTCCAAGTGTCCCTCGTTGATGGGGGTGATCATCCAATCATAAAACCTAGAACCATTCGGTGGTACCTCAATCAAAGCGTTCCCTCCAACCGAAAACAGCTTCTTCGCACTCACTGGTCCATTGATGGTCGTAGAAACGTGAAATTGTTGCTTCGCCAGCAACCAGTTCTTCACAGGGATTCTCTCCACATGTTGCACTTTACACAAAACTTCCCTACTAATTTTACCAGGAGTGGGACCTTCCACAACCCCTTTCAAAGTGTAAGATATTATAAAACCTTGAGGGGTAGGAACGCAAAGTGTTGCCTGAAAAAACAAGTCATTTTTGAAACCATGACCCAAAATTCGTACATCTTTTGCGTTCATGGTGAACGGAGTAAAAACAATTTCAATCTGGTCTTCACTTCGTGGAGGAATTCGGGTGATTTCCATCGTCTTGAAGCTAGGGTCACCAGAAATGTGGGGCGCCAGCTCCCAAAATTGATTGCTCCTGGAAACAGTACCTTTATTATCACAATTACAAGTTTTTGGTACCTTACGGGTTAGAAATGGCTATTGTTTTAGTGACCGATTCCCGAACTGGGCAGATGAAGGAAATTACGCCCTTTGGAGGAGGAACGTTAATGCAAGAGCCCGAAACTGACAGTTCCAGTTGTTTGTTGATGTTGGCAATGTGGCAAATCAGCTACAAAGATTCCAGATACAATTTGTTTGCAAAAATATGAATAGTACTTTGGATTTAATCCAACATTTGACTGCTTTCGGGCGAAAGTAGACGTTAAAAATCAAATCGGTTCCAGGAAGGATGTACCCCTTGTTGGGCGAAATGGAAAAGTCGGTGTCTTTTTTGTCTAGAAGCCACTTAAACCTGGAAGAGATTTTGAGTGTGACGTTGATACGAAAGTTTAAAGTACTTCAGTGCCAAGTCGCCGGTGTTGCGTAGTACCACGTTCATCACCCCCTCGAAATTGACCACAACGTTGCCAAAAGTTAGCTGGTTGCGGTCCAGGGAGATGTTCGGAGCAATCGATTTACCCTTCACCATACAAATACAGTCGACGTAGTTCTGGATTTGGTAGTAGATCTGTAACGGAGGGTCATTTTTTCTGACAGTTCTTGCAAATGTAGTACCTTTTCAATGAAAGAGTCCACCTTTTCTGTCGGACTGAAAGTGATCGTGAACTCTGTGGTTCTTTGAGGCCCTACCCGCAGGAACTTTTCAGGGGTGATGGTCATGAAATCAATACCGCGTTTCGAGACTGGGGGTGGTTCCGCAGGTACCCTGAATCAAGTGATTGGACTGGAGGCTTCGTGAAAATAGAAACTTACGGTTCTGTTATCGTCTCTTCTGATTTTTTGCTCTTCTTGGATTTTTTGGACTTTTTGCTCTTCTTGGTCTTCTTGGATTTGTTGCTCTTCTTGCTTTTCACGCTCTTCTTGCTACCCTTTTTCTTGGCGCCTTTGTTCTTTTTGCTCTTCGACGACTTAGAGCTTTTGCTAGACTTGTCCTTCTTTCCCTTCTTCTTCTCTTTGGGACTACAAACAACTAAGTACCTTGTTATTGTTCACTAGTACGTACCTCGGTGGTTCCTCTTCTTGTGGTATCTCGATTGTACCCTCTGGTGTTTCCTTCATAGGTTTCTTCGGAAGCCTATCCCAGAAGTTGAAAATAATGTTCAGATAGCATTCACACTCGTTCGTCACACGAATGGTTTTGGTTTGGGTTTTGCCCACCAGAATCGAACCCAGGTCGACGAATTTGTCAACCTGGTCTACGAGTGTCAGTTTTAGAGGTACTGCTTTTCCTAGAATTGTGACATGGGTTTTTTTGCTCTCTATGTACAGAGGGAGCTCTAGACGGTGTTCCCCTAGAATCATCGGATGGAAGTAGATAGTGATGTTCTTCTGGGCTTGAGGTGCGACTTCGTCACACTTAAAGTCCGTCGAAATGTGGGCTTCATGTTTGCCTTTTTCCAACCTACAAAATAAACTGTCATTGCGAAAAGTACCACCGAAATTTAGTACGTCATTGGAAAAATGTTATAGTTGTTGAAGTTGAGTACAGTTTTGTAGTACTTGGTGGCTGCGGTCTGTACCAGACAGGGACCAAAGTCGTACTCTGAGAAGGATAGTTTGTAGGGGGGTTTTCCCGCGCTTCCGGTGAGTTGTAGGGCGTAACTGGGACCATACGCAATCTACAGTTGTATTAGGCTTAGGATTTTCACTATTGAAATAGTAGTAGTACCTTGAGGTAAATTCTGTGCGGCTGCATCTGACACCTTATCAACGGCGTGATAACAATTCTAGTCTTCATAATTTCCTTAGGTTGCAAGATTTCGTCGTTAGAATCAAACAAAATGTCAAACAGCCCGGCGATTTTAGCTATCCTCATGTCCCAGTACCACTGGAAGCCCGTTTTCCCAATGTTGGTAATAACAATGGGTATTTCGTATTTCTGGTGCGGCACCATCTGCAAAATCACTTTAAACCTTGCCCATCTCTCCGAACTGTTCGACTTACCGCACCCATATTGATAGTGTTGACTCTGTGTGGCAACAGTGGAATTTCCTTGCCGCTGTAATCGACGTACGCAGTTATGGCTTCAACCTGAAAACAGCTGCACGAAATGTTGAGTTCCAAAGGGACTTTGATCTTTTCCACGAAGCATTTGAGGTCGATGGTCGCCGAAGATTGTTTCTTGGGGCTGTAAAACACTCTAAACAAACGCGTGGTTGAATATAACTAAAAAAACGACTTACCGAATTGGAAGAACCTCGTTGGGTTCCAAAAACCCTTGGGACGGTTGGATGCTTAAACCGTCCGACATCATGGGTAGTTTTCCGAACTTGAAGTGGTACTTTTCGGATTCTTCGTTCTTGAGCATGACGTTCTGGGTGACGTCGATTCCGACCACCGTAGGTGGTAGGGCGACGTGGCTTTTCTCGAAGTAGATTCTTGGCTCGCGGGCGGTACCCACCAAGAGGAAGACGGCTTCAATGTCACGCAGCGGTATATGGAAAAAGTAAAACTCTTCGAAGATGCCACAGGCTTGAGGGATAAAACTGAAGACCATTTCCGCCGTTTTGCCTTTAGCTAGAGTCCCGTTGGGGGTGTGGCAGTGGAAGCAGGAGAGCTCAGGACTGAACTTCACGGCTGGTTGCCACGTGTAGATAAATTCCTCTTTGGTTGGGTTTTTCAAGTAAAATTTCCTGCAATCAAGATGTATCAAGGGTTTAGGGTAGGACAGTCGTACCTCGTGCAGATGATCCCTAGACCTATCGACTCAAACTCCACCACTCTCGTGTTTTCGTTTAGCAGCTCGTTGCAAGTTTTCCTGCCTCGTCGCCGCGTCTCCACGTAGTCGCTGGGCTCCAAGTCGAAGCAGTACAAAGGGAGAATACTGCGAGCTTTAACCGTTATCTCGATTTCCTTCGCTGCTGGATCTTTGTTCTCGACGAAACCTTTCAGTTTGACCACGTAGTCGAAGACGTCCAGTGGTGCAAACGTCACAGTGAGAGTCTTCTTGGAGTTGGGTTCAATGGTGGTTTTGTCTGGGGTTACCACAAACGGCAACGAGTGAGCGTCGGTCCAGGAATCCCCGCTTCGGTTGGTCTCTAGAGTTTCGCAGCTGAAGAGAGTCGAGGCGGAAGCGCGTCGGGGTAGAGGATCCTCGTAGGCGAAGCTTTCTACAAGTTCGAACATGTTTTACAAGTTCGAAGATTGACAAGATTTACCTCGTCCACACAAAGGAGTCGGTTCGCGTTTGAAACTCCCTATAGATTGGAACTTGTCGACCACTTCGTCAAGACTGTTACACGAGTTGATGCGTCTCGGAAGTTCGTGCAATGTTATCGACCAGCAGGTCCTCAAGACCATGTTTCCGGTGTTTTCCACTTCAAACGTGACTGAGTTTTTCTGGAAAATGAGGTTGTAGGTGAGGATTGTCAGACGTGGAGGGTTACATTCATGATGAAAGTGTCCGAAATCTGGAGTTCTTCAGTCCCGACGAAGAAACTCGCGTAACCTGCCACTACGCAAAGGAAAACTACTATGTTTTGCCAGGAGCTGGGGACCATGGTGATTTTGGGTTCTGGGTTTTGTTCGATTTTCTTCATGCTGAGGCAGATGTCTTCGACCAAGTTTACCGATGTCGTGCTTGGTGTTTTACTCTCGCTTTCGCTTTGGATTTCGACGCTGGTGTCGGGTTGGTCGGGTGGGCTGGACCAAATGACCACGTGCTGTCGGTCGTCCCAAGATAAAAGGTTCGGTTGTGGTTCTTCGTACTCGATTTGATACAATTTACAGTCGATCCGGGCCTATAAAATTATTTAGATGGTTTGTCGTGCCTCTAGATGAAAGTACCTCGCTCAGAACCACCGGATTTCTTGATAGAAACACAGCCAGAATTTGTTTGTTGGTTTGTGGGCGAATGTGTCCGACAGACGGGCTAAAAATCACTTCGTTGTAATTCGGAAACTCGAACTTGTAAGTGTGCACGTCCGAATTGTTCCTAATTAAGAAACATTTCTTCACCAGTGTGTTCAAATTGACGTAACCGTAGTCCAAAGAATAAGCCAGAATTGGACTTGAGTCAATGGATTCAATGGACGAACTTCTCGAGTAACCTGGGAGGCCTTCAAAAATCACGTCCATGTAGTAACCTTCTGCAAACACGTGGATCTACAAAAAGACTACAGTTTGAGGCTTCCAAACCCCGACTCTTACCCTTTTCAGTTCGAAAGGGTTATTCACGGTGTGAATCTTCACTTCGGTCTTCCACGTCCCGATTTTGTGAGGTTGGAACTGGAGCGTGAACTTAGCAACAGCTTTGCACTCCAAGTTGACCAGAATTGTGTGCTTCATGGGGACTAAAACACAATTAACTTAGCCTCTCGAAGATCCTAGTGCTTACCATCAGGGTCCCATAGGTTTAAGTTGCAGATCGTTTCCTCCGCCGGAATCAAAGTCAACTGGTCATGCTCATCAAAGCACACCTCCACGATAACCTTACAAGGAATAGCCCCGACGTTCTTGAACACCACGTTCTGAGTCGAACAATTCCCTAGCAAAGTCGGTGGAAAATCTAGCATGACGAACGAAGCTTCGTCCGTTTCCGGCTCCACAAGACCAATCTCGGGAACGCAAGCCTCTCCTATAACTTCCACCACCAGCGTGTCCACGGTCTTGAACCCCCTACACTCGAACGTCAAAACAGCAATATGTTCCTACAAACAACCGTCATCATTGGAATCCACCCCCTACAACCTCACATCCAGCGAATTCGGGGTGTAGACGATCATCACGTTCTCCGTCTGGTACGGATCAATCGAAAACGCGTCTGGTGTCACGGTGAAGACGTGGTTCGCATTGGAGAATCTCGCTGTCACGTGGGCCGTCACGTGTCCGATGTTCTGGATCCTGATGCGCGTCGTCTCGGTAGTGTTGACGCAGATTTTGTTGAATTTTAGTTTCATCTCGGATCGTGAGAAGACGATCTTCGTTTCGATCTAGGGGAAGAGATGACGTTTATGGAAGGGGGTGGCAGTGGTCTTACGTTGGTGGCGAGGAAGTCGTCCATTTTCTCCACCACGTATTGCTCTTTGAAGATGTTGTGGATCTCGTCGAAGTTGACTTTGGGCTCGCAGGCTATGACGTGGACTTTCATGACTTTGCCGTTCTGGTCGGCGAAGGAGGGTTCGCTCACGTGGACGATGATGGTCTCTTCGAACTTGCCGGCTTCTTTGGGTTTTGATCTGATGTCGACGATGATTTCTTCGTTCGGGTCGACGACGCCCGTCGACGAGGTGAGGGAGAAGATGCCGAATTGGAGGGTGGTGGGTTTGGGTTTTTTCCTGCAAAGGGGGTGGGTAGCGGGTGGGGGTTTTGAGAGAATAGTTACTTTAGTTTGTCGGTGCTTTTACTGGACTTGGATTTTTTGCTACTTTTCGACTTCTTTGACTGTTTGGACTGCTTTGACTGTTTCGACGTTTTAGATTTCTTTGAACCTTTGCTAGATTTGCTTTCAGATTTCGATTTGGAACGTTTTTTTCCTGAAATGTCAAGCGTAACAATGGTGTGTACTTACCTCAAGCGCACCTTTCTCTTTCTTAGTTTTCTTTTTTTTCACTTCTGCTTGTTTTACATATTGTTGGACGGTGTAATTAAAGTCGAATTTTCCTTTGTTGAAAATCTGGCAAGTATGCAATTTCTCCTGCCCGACCGCTTGATATCCAAAGTAAATTTCGGGATAGGGACATATTTCGAATTTCGACAAAAACACTCGTGCTGAAACAAAGATATCCAGCGCTTTGATTACTACTTCGTGGAAAGGGTCGATCAGAAGACATTTGAACACCGGGAATTTTTCTAGAGTCATCACTCTATCGGGCGAGAATGTTATAGTGCTAGAGAATTTTATGTTCGGTAGAATTTTGCCCTCGGTTGGTTGGATTGTAAAGTATTTCCTTATGGCTTGATTTTCCAAGTTTTCATCGACAATATCGGCAAACCTGGACAAAACGATTTTATGATTTTGTTTTCATGATAGTACACTTACTGGCAATGAATTTCGTAGCGACCTTTGCTGGTTACGTCGAATTGAATGCTGTGCGACTTCCAGCCCTTGATATCTCCATAGTTCAACTCATTGTTATAAAAGAATTCAAGAGCTGTTGTTTCGGCAGAGACTTTGATCTCCGTGGTGTAAACCAGTCTGGAGCAACTGTCGTAGATCTAGAAAGGAAGTAGAATAACCGTTGTCTTTTAAATTAACAAGATCTTACATTGACCTTAAAAGTAGAACTCCGAACTTCCATTTCCCTCGCCGTAAAGTCAACAGTAGAAGTTTGCAACGAAAATGGTGATATCTTTCCACCAAAGCTACTTATTCTGAAGTTCTCCAGCACCTGTTCGCATCCTACAAAGTACCATGTAACTTCGACTGGTGTGTTGTTCGTTATCACGATATCTTTCTTTAACGAAATTTCCATGGTGACCCTTTCAAACAGGACGTGTTTTGGATTAACGTCCACTCCGATTTCACACCCGTAGCACGATACAATGATCCTCTCAATCCTTGGATTGTCCTTGATTGAAAGAATCAATTTATCGTCATAGAGTTGTTCTTTACAAGGTGATGCCACCACTGTTACTCCTTGTCTAGCTTTAGGTTCGATAATGTGTGAGTCTGGTTGGAAATGAAATGCCGGACAATCTCTCTGTATGGAAAAATTCACATCGCAAGTAATACGACTTATGTTGTTGAGATAGAAGCAAGCCCGCGATTCAAAAGAACTGCAAAAGATGAAGTTAGAACAATCGAAGAAGGAAAAAAACTAAACCTGTTTGTTGCTTCATTTGGGAGCAAAATTCCGCCGAATTCGAATCTGTTCCTGTGTTGTACGAAAACGTCACGGGTGTATTTAGTTTTTTCGGTCCTGTATTCCAAGACTCTATCGAAGAGCGAATATGAATCCATGTCAATTCTAGGCATGTCGCAGCAGGCAACGCAAGTAATTGTGAATTTCAAGGGAGATCCAAAAACTCCAATGTCGAATTGGTGCTTGTAGTTTCCTACGGCTTTTGGCAAGAATCTAATTTTGTATTTGATCGTCTCCCCAGGATGTAGAATTCCTCGATATGTGAACCCTTCTTGACCTGGTTCACCCAGATTTTTAATTACTTGAGAAGCGTTTTTGCCTTTGGTGGACTTTCTCTTTTTCGTTAAACTTACTTTAGACTCGGCTTTAGTGTTTATGTCGCTTGGGCTTAATTTCACTTTGCTCTAGAACAACGTTATGAGAATTTTTAAATAGACGGAATAGACTTACCTGATTATCTTCATCTTCTACATAATCTGTTATGACAAAAACTTCGGTTCTCTTGACCGCTCTGGGTTTTGGTTTCGGTAGAACGGACTGTAATAAAAGTGGCTCTATGTAATCGCTTCTCGCTTGTTGTTCGTCAGAAATTTCCATGTCTACAGTCGCTTTGATAAGAACTGGCAGGAAGCTCTCGACTACGTGGTCAAGGTTGTTATTGGTTATAATCCAGCAGGGGATTCCAATGTCGGAAGATATCGTTGTAGCAGGTGCTGCTGCTAACGAAGTTTCTGTGGAGGTAGGTACAGTGACGGTAGTTTTTGGAGATTTTGGAGTTCTTTTTGTCTTTTTGTCTTGCTTCTTTTTCGTTTTTTTCACGGGCAGGACCATCGGTTCACTTACAGAATTGCTTGTTTTGTCCCAAAATTCCAGAGTGTGCAAGATTTCTTGAAAAGTCTCTTCAAAACTATCAAGGGATTCTTTGATTTCTGCTTGTTTTTTTGTGAGTTTCTCTACAAAGAAAGAGTTAAGTAAAATAAACATAATAATTTACGACGATCACTTTTCTTTGTCTCTTTTTTTCGCTTCGCCGATTTCTTGGAAGACGTTTTAGATTTTTTAGAACTCTTTGATTTTTTGGATTTCTTGGAACTGTTTGATTTTTTAGATTTCTCTGAACTTTTTGTTTTTTTCGAATCTTTCGTTTTATCAGACTTTTTGGAACTTTTTTCAGAAACCTTTTTATCTTCTTCAGTATTTTCGCCACTCTCTGTTAAATTTGTCTCCGACTTTTTGCCTTTTTTTGATCCTTTGGAGCTCTTACTCGATCCCTTTTTCTTACCTTTTTTCTTAGCCGCATTTGAATGTTTGCCCAAACTTCGGTCAGACTTTTTCGATTTAGACGATATTTTGACTTCGGGTATAAAACCTAATTATAAATGAACTTTGAAAACGATTTTACTTACCTTCGCTTTCTTTTCCTTTAGATCGTCGTAGCGCCCGTTCTCGTTCTAGTTTTCGTTGCTTTACTAATTCCTTTCTTCTGGTTATATCGTGTTTTCGTTTTTTGATATAGTTTACATAAATATTAGGGTATTCCTTTTCCAGCTGTGCAAATTCCTCTGCATCCATTTCGTCTACATTTCCTTCAAGTTCTTCCAAGCGATTAATTTCTTGCTGTACTTGTTCTTGTTCTTTAATTGTTTCAGATTCCATGTATTTCTCAAAAGTTGTCGAGAAGATGACGAAATGAATCTCTTGCACATCTTTCGCAAGTTGTAAGAGGCATTTCAGAGCAACCATAGTTTTACGTAGAAAATTACTAGTCAGACTCTCAATAATTAACCCTTGTTTGAAAATTTGCAAACTTTCTTCCAGTAAATCCAACAACAGCTCTTCCGGGATATTTATTAAAGTATCGCTGATAAACTCCTTCTTCTTTTTACCTTTTTTCGAAGACCCTTTTGATTTCTTGGACGATGAACTTTTGTTACTGGATTTACTGCTTTTCTTGGACTTTTTACTGCTCGATTTAGATTTTTTACTACTTTTGCTTGACTCCTTAGACTTTTCACTGCTTTTGGAGTTTTTCGCTGATCCCTTTTTCTTATTTTTCTCTGGTTTGGCTATTTTCTGTTTTGTTTGCTTCTTCTTGGGTATTCCTGAGAGCAGAATTAGCACTTTTTTCGTAAGAACGTCGAACGTATCTGAGAAAAATAATTACTGTGTTAAAAATTTAATTGTGGTAAGTTTTACCTTCAGAGACATAACTTTCCAGTGTAGGATCTTCCTCTGCACCATCAAAAGCTTGATTTATGATATTATTCACTTCCTGTGCAGCGGGGGAAACATTGTGTACTAGACAGTCAACAATAAGCCAGTCGATGTTGCGAACTGGTAAATTAAGAGCTTTTCCAGTTTCGTTAGCAGCTTTTATGTATTGGGAGAGCGGTGTGCCGTGAAACACTATCAATATTCCTTTGGCAGGAGGATCTATCCATAGTTCTTCACTGTCTGGGGTTATTTTCGTTGATGGTAACGTAGCAGTAATATGGTCTTTGGTCATTCTTTTTTGTTTCCGAGTGAAGTAATCTACAATCATTTTTAATTATTTTGTTCCATGCTTATATTGTCGCGTACTAGTAATGATGTTGTCCTTTTCTTGATCAGTTTTTCTGTTTAAGCTTTTGGTCGCAGAATGTGGAGACCTAAAGTTTATTTTTTACTTTGCTGAAATACCTGTACAATAACTTTACCATGACGTCATGCTTAATTCCCTGCTTCTATTCGATAGAGGAGAGGCGATTGGTCTCGATTTTCTGTCTCCACTGTTCGATCTACGCCTTTGTAAAGTCGTGTCTTCGATTTCTTGGAGTATATTGTCATAGTAGGTCTGAAACATGGGTGGCAGATCTTCACCTGGAGCTCTATACGGAAAGTAGACTTTGTTGAGCATGTGACCGATGATGTAAGTCCGGACTAGAGATTCTTCCTGTAGAATTTTTCTACAAAAAGAAAGATTAACCACTTTTGAGTATTTTAGCTCACGGATCGAAATCTGAGAAGTAATATTCTACTGGAAACTTTGACGCATTTCGTATGGTAACGTATCTTTCATTATCCTGCGAATATGGAATACTAGGGTCAAAGGTGATTCTTTCTTCGATTATTTCCAAAAAGGGCTCCATGCCTAATCCCTTTAACTGAACAACCGTTTGTCTGTTATTTCCGTCGACAGTGATGATAAGGTCGGCGGTTAAGAAATCGTCGTAATGAGGTTCGAAGTAGATACGCAGATAGAACTTCTCGCCAGGTACGAGAGAACCTTCTGGGTTTAGAAGAAAGAAGGAAGATCTTAGTTTTGACTTCGCTCTCGAGGTGTCGTCTATTACCGCCCTCCAGTTGCTTCGCAAGTAGCCGCTAAAACGGAACCCTGTATGACAGATTTATGCCAGCTTCGACTCACTTGTTGATAATATTAATGGATTTCCTAAGACAGTCTCCGCATCTGATGGCTCCAAAATCAACCTCTTCAACCGAAACCACCACGGTGGGCGTTGCTACCAACACTTCCAACTGTACTGGAACTTTGGCACTATTTCTAAGTTCTAAGTAAATAAATTCGGTGACTTGGGTGTTTAGGTCGGGGAATTTTTCAGTCGTTGGATGAAACGACAAGAGGAGCTCGCTCACTTGGTTCAGATCCATCATGAATCTGACAAAAGGCGAGTCAAATCCGTGTTTACTAAAAGTAGGACTCGGGTGTGTCCTAACCACGGTCTTTCCAGGTCCGTAATTAAGATAACTCAGCTTGTATAGATTTTTGCTATTTATCTGTATGCACCCCAAATCGAAAACATAGGGATCTGTAACAAAGTTTGGTACCGGCCAAAATTTTTCCCCACCGGCTAGTTTGCTAATAAGTTTCGTCGTGTCTTTCTCCAGCTGATACTTGGCTATGATTCTCTCGATCGACAGATCTATGTCCATCGTACAGGGGAATGGATCGCTCATAGAAACCACAACCCAGTCGTCCTCCTCCAAAATACGTCTATCCGTCTCAGGAAAGTAGTCTTTAGTACAACTGCAAGTATCCACATAATCCAACTCCGCTATAGCGGAGTACGAAATGAAGGGCCCAGCTTTGGTGGTTAATCCCGGTCGCGGCAAAGCGAAGTAAATCTGAGCATAAACCCCGAACCCATTCACTGCAATCGTCACCGGATCCAAATAGTTAACTTTTATGTTAAAACTCGTGACGAAACGTCCAAGCGACCCGGGAAATACATGCAGCGTGAGAGGAAAAGTTTCTCCAGGTGCCACAATCCCACTGGACGGTTCGATAGTTAACCAACCATGCGGAAGCAACGCTTCCGACACCACAAACTTGAACAGACCTTCGCCGTCATTGACCAAGTTCAGCTCGTTTTCGCTCACTTCGTAGACGTAGACTTGGCCAAAATCGATCATGGTCTCTTTGAGGTAGTAGGAAACCTTTCGACACTTTCCCGTGAGGGTGACGGGTTCGTTGGCACCGCCCACCACGTGGCAATAAATGGTTGCCGACACCTCCGTATTAGGTTTCGGGGTGAATCGAAAGTACGTTGTTATTGTTTCCTCGGGCTCGAGGCATCCTTCGTGAGGCACCAAGTTGAAGATGTCCCAGAATTTGAGCGTGGAAGTGGTCGTGGGGAGAAATCGGAGGAAGGATTGCTCTTCTTTGTTTTCTTCAATTCTCTCGAGGAGGGAGTTGAGCATTTCTCGAACTCTATCGTCGATGTGACAGCTGTCTTCGCTCCAGACGGTTTCTTCTGGTGCATCGCTTTTCAGCGTGTTTTCGGATTTTTCTTCGCCTTCGAGGAGGCAGACCAGGGAGGCGTCAGGCGATGATGGTATCTAAGAAGAGTGATTAGGCAGTAAAAAAATAAAACGAAGCATACCACTGAGGTTTCGTAAAAGCGTTCGTCGATGTCTTCAACCCACACCCACTTGTAGATGACAGGGACGCTGCTGATGTTTTTAACCACGACAGTGCGATAGCTGGAAGACCCCAAGGGAACGCACTCGAAGTCGACCACTTGGGGAGTGATCGACAAAGTCGGGTAGTTTATTACACCATAAACAGGAATAGTGTCCTATTATTATCATCATTACTACTAACAAGAGCTGATTCTGTCACAACTCACTACTTTCGAATGGTCCTTATAATTCACGTAGAACGTCTGGTTGTACCTCACGCACCTCTTCTGGTGAGGAGGTGGATGGAACTCCACGATGACAGTCCGATTAGAAAGATTATTCAATTTAAGGTACAACATCGCCACCGCTTTACCATCCACGACTATGTAAAACGGGGGCGCTATGACGAGGTCGAGATCTAAAGCTAACCCCGATTCGTTCCTTATTTTGAGCTTATCTGAAACGAAGACTCGGTGAATTTGGCCGCTCCACTGGGTAATAGAAACCTCGCAACGAAGTCGAAACCCCATCCGACGAAACGTCCAAATTAAAATTGAGCTCGGTCTTGTCTAGTTCGACGTGAGGGTCCAGGAATTTGGCGAACACCTCGAAGGAAAAAATTACGTGTCTTTTGTGGGAGCGTTCGATGACGGCGTGACAGAAAAAGTGCTCGGAAACGTATCCTTGCTCTTTCCTAGACCCGAAAATTTTGATTTCTTCTGATTCCTTCGACATCAGGTGGAAATAGTTCGGGGTGATCTTGAAAATGGAGCTGAAACTGTTTCTGAATAAGAAAAAAATCGACGGATTTAGTGAGCGTCCTACCCTGCTGACGAATTGCCCGCTTTTTTCGCTACTTTGTAGTCGTCGCTTCGAGAAAACCAGAGTTTGTGCCATCTGGCACCTTCGTTTTTGATAAATACGGGATAAGAGAATTTCTTGTAGGTTAGGAGTGTTCCTAGGTCTAATTTTGGTTCGAGTCTGGGACGACAGCTGATACTGGTGCCTTCTCCAGACGCTGTTAAAAGAATCGCCATCTCTTGTCCGCTCACCACGTGTGCCCACAGCACTTGCTTCGTGTTACCAGGGTCTGTTAAATAAACTGAAACCTCCATGGTTTGTTTGCTACTCGGAGGTATAACCTTGACTGGTTCTTTCACGCTGAAGGCAGAACGTCCCTCCTGGAAGAAACCCTTAAAGAAGAAAAAACTAACCCGAGTCTTACGAAGACGAAATTGATGGTCGCAGGAATAGGGGTGTCGTTCAGAATCTCCATTTCTCTAGTGACGGTGCAGAGAAGGGTTACCAGTCCGAAGTTGAGCTTCGGAGGGGTGAAGCACACAGCAGGTCCTTGTCCGTTGCAAATCACCTGACACAGCACCTCCGGACCTTTCCCAAATATACTAAAACTATAACAGTACTTCGGTAAGAACAAGTACCACCTCAATCAATCGATTCTTACTATAAAGGCATTTCCTGCGACCCCACATGAGGGGTTTGTATTTTCAAAGGAATCGTCACCTCGTCAAAAGGTTCCATGGAGTTTCTCGTTATTGTCACTTCAACCATCAAACCGTCGTCCTTCTGGATGCACACTGTATCTCCGTTCGACCACAGCACTTCCACACCTTCACTCTGCTTCGGCATGAAGCAGAAGCGACACGATAGTTCGCTCTGGTTCGACAGCACGATTTTCCTGTCGTAGATGTAGTTGATGAAACAGAATTTAATGTCGACTTTGGGTGGGGTACAAATGACTTTTGCCACTCTGCAGTCGTGCCTGAGTGGTATCGAGGAGCAGTAGTTCTTAGAACCCCACATGTGTACCACGAACTTCGTATTAAGTTGCCTGGAGATGTTCGGCAGAAGTTGCAACTGAAACTTTGAATGAGTGCGAGTTTGTGGGTTTTGGGTTAGTACCAAGCCGACGATCTTCGAGTTTTCGTCCACTATGCCTTCGACTGGGTTGAAGACGAATTCTTTGGGGTACTGCGGGAAGCGGGCTTGTAAATCGGCTTCGCAGTCGATGGGGGTTTGGTAGCCGTCCCCGCTTATCTCGATGTGGTACTGGATGGGTACGGGGGAGTTGTTACACAGCGCGATTTCTTTATATTGGCGGTAACCCAAAGCGACTATTCCGAAGTCGATTTCTTCGACTTCGAGGTTCAAAAGGGGGGCGATTACGTTACCTCTGGAGTTGGAGTGAGAAGAGGTTGTCTACAAAATCGGGTACCTACGTCATGATGAAGTGGATGACCTCTTTGGATTCGTTGATGACGAATTCCACTTTCTCGACGAACCGTCCTTCTTCGCCCGGAGTGAACGACAGAAGGAAAGCGTTGTAGTGGTCCGCATTGACGTACAAAGTTTCAGGCTCGCACTGAATTCTACCCCCGAATTGCAGCTCCCTTTCCATAAAAGTCAGAGATCCCGGGATATGACCTGAAAGCTGTCGTCGTACCTTGTCCAAGTTACTAACAAAGTTACCTGTGTTGGACACAATGATCTCGTAGTCATGAATCGACCGAAGGAAGATGTTGTTAGCGTCAAGGTGTCCAATGTTTAGTTTAAACTCAGGTCCTAATCCAGTACCTTGTAGTTTCAAAGGTATGCGTTCTTGTTTCCCCGCGATTTCCAAGTAGGCAACAGTGTTGTACTCTTCACTAAACTGTGGTGTAAAAATTATCGTGAATAGCAAACATCCGTTCATCCCCATTTCGCCACTCTGAAACCGCGTCTGAGTTATTAGTTAATTAAAATGAACCCCGAACCAGAGGGATGATGGAGAAGGCGGGACTCTGAAAGAGGAATTCTTCAGTTTCTTCCACTTCTTCGACTTCGTCGGTGAAGATCCTCTGGTACACCATCGAGTGTCCCTCATAGTTGATGATGTTCGCTCTTCTCAGTGGGACGCTTTTCAGGGTTTCACCGCTTCGTACCTCCTCGAACATTTCCTCAAAGTGTAACTTCCGCATCTGCTCGAAGTACCTGTCTTGGTAGAACTTCCACTTGAAGTAGCCGTGACCAACAGCGTGGTAGTCAATGCTGATGGAAACCTGGCGCTGTAAACCTATAAACGTGTCTTGGAAGCTTATGGATGACTCTTCCACGACAATCGTAGACGGTAAGGCGTTGCATTCAACAAACATCTTCAAGGTGACGTTGTCGTCAAACTGTATGATGAAAGCAGTCTTCACGGTGCCTTCATTCGTGGTCTTGATTCTCAGTTTGAGGAAGATTTTTTCGTTGAACCCGAGTACCGCCTTAGTTGGACAGATGGAGCAGTAGGGATCTGTTGCTACGATGCTGAACGACCCGACTGCAGTACCATGGTTACAAACGACGATGTTTTTTTCAGAAGTCATGTTAATAGGAACATCTGGGAGCCGGACGAAGTCCGGGAAGTCAATCAAAGGTCTGGGTTTAAAAGCTTTTGCAAAATTAACACTACCGTTGGGTTATTTTAGTCGAATTACCATGGATGGGTACCGTGAATTGTTCGTCTTCAGTGATGAAAGTAATCTGGTGTAGGTAGTCTATGTTGGAGTCCCCGCAGAAAGAAATCACCACCTGATACGTCATCCCTGGGGCTACTTTGTTCCAGACGACTTTGCCCGGGTGCAACAATCGAAAATGGACAGTTTGTTCGAAAATTGTTTTGACACATCTAGAAGACTATAACTACGTTATTTTTTTGTAAATAAACAACTGGAAACGTGCTTGTTCTTTGTTTTGGAGCGACAGAGTAGCGCTGTACCACTTCCCCGGCTGGAAGTTCTGGAAGATTATTATATCTGGAGTAGCCAGGAAGGGACTGGGTTCTGGCAAGATCCTGTTCTTGCGGTTCTTGCACAAACTCTCCAATCGGTCTTCAGGAGACATCTTCATCTCGTTGAAGAACTCAGAAGGGATAAACTAAAATGGAACTTTGTAGTACTACTTCACGGGACTGGGACACCCTACTGGTTCGTCTTCTTTTGGCGAATTTAACACAGCGTGTAGAACTCGCACTACAAGCTGGTTATCATGAGGCTCGCAAATAAGGCGAGCCTCCATTTCTTAAATATTTATGTATAAAATTCAATAAAATAAACCACTTTTTCTTGCTGTGTATAAGTTGTTGTCAAAAAAAAAAAACAAAAGGGTAGTTTGGTCAAATGGTATATTGATAAAAAAATTAAGGACAATTATTTTTTCTTGTTTTTTTCTTTATTGTTGGCTAGGACTTCTCCAGGTGCAGGGTAAGGTCGCTGTTGGTATAGTACTCCGGAAGCTGTGCTATCAGCTCGAGTTTTATTATTTTCCAAGCCGTCGCTCCACGTGCCTTGGGGAACATCAGAGTAGGCTGCTGGATCCATGGGATCAATGATGTCGTCTTTCCGCCTTTTCCTTCCATGGCGATCATCCCTTCTGTGCCTTCGGTCATCTTTATCTCTGTCTCTTCTGTCATGTTTATGATAGCTTCTATCATCGTCAGAATCGTCGTCTCTGTCTCGATCGTCCCGTTCGTTCCTCTCGCTCACTTTCAACTCATGTTCAGCCGCTAGAATCCGTTTTTCTCTCAGTTTTGCCGCACTGACTGTCTTAATCGACTTAGGGTGCCTTGGCGGCAGCCACGAAACCAAATCATTTTCCATATTCCAGTAGTAGTACCTACCCCTACACAGATTTATTAATTGTAACGTCAAACGTGACAACACAAGTCTTACAATCCTTTATCGAACACTTCTGTCCAGTTATTCGGTAATGGATACTTGAAGAGTAATTTTTGCATATTTCGCATGTAACGAGGGTCAGGGGTCAAAACTCCTTTCCAGTGGGTTTCACACCAGTACGTACACTCATGGAAAATGTTACTTTTGTTGGGGCAGGTGGACCAGCCCTTATAATTGCTTTTTTTGGTCTGGTCCTGGGACTTTTTAGCTGAAATGGTTAAATTAACCCGGGATGGTACAAACGTGGCGTACTTACCGACCAGAAGGCCCCTTTTTGCTAATTTTGCGGCTAGTGCGTTCGGTAGAGGCATTATTGCTATTTAAATTGAAAATAAACAGTCGACGTAAACATAACCTCAATTGTGTATTGATTGACACATGGGGGTTAGGGTTTGTGCCACAGTTGTGCTGTTTATAGAAAAGTGCAGGCGATGTAGCCAATAGGAAACAGGCTTGGTAGTCACGTGGTTAGTGTTTATTAATGATTGGTGTTTAGATGCGTGGATTTGAATCAAGGGGGTAATGCGAATTCTGTTTACATTTGCGGGGAGAGGTTTTTAAGTCGAAAATCTTACGTAGACTAATGTAAGGTAGACATTTTATTGGCGTGTTAAATATGTTAAATGAAACGGTTGTTCTAAATTTGATTTTTTATTATATTTGCCTCAAATGAAATAAATTATAAACACTACTTCTGTACATACTGTTTTAATAAAATAAAATAACAGAGCTTAAAAAACGACTAAAATACTTAGTTGCTACATAAAATACTTTAAATAATCCAGAGGTTGGGTCTATGTACAGCAAGACGTTACAATAATAATAACTTAGTCTAACGAATGGTGATGAACATTGTGATCTAAAAAACCCTACAATTTCCTTGCATTACTCTACAGCAAAATATCCATGAGATCTGACACGCCGTAAACAGATCGATCGAGAGTATTATTGAAGGAAATCACAATTTACTAAATAAACTGTAGTAAAATAAAATTTATGTAAAAAATATAGATCTTCAGTGATATAGCCTAACACACACGTGCACTATAAACTTCACCGTCCACAAGTTGGTAAATTAACTCTGAAGAACGCGTTAAGCTCGATCAGACTGGCCAGGATAAGAAAAACCGCGTACATGAGTAAGCAAATCCGGCCCACCCTCTTGTCGAGGCGGAATTTGTTCACTGCGAAGACGACGTAGAGCAGAAGAAGGGAGGAGAGGAGGGAAATCGCACTGTACTCGATACCGGCGGAGTTGATACCAACCTACAACAAAAATTAGTTTGGGTTGGACGCGAGTCGGGTACTCACCCAGTGCTTCCCGGCGATCGTGGGCATGAACGTGGCTTTGATGAACCAGGGTAGACCCAGACAGAGGAGGATGTCGAAGGTGTTGGACCCGATGGAGTTGCTGATTCCCATGGAACCGTGACCTGGAATTAACACACCGCGTTATTTGGACGTTGGTTTGTGGGGGAGGTGGTACCTTGTTTGGCTACGATGACACTCGAAACGGCCTCTGGTATGCTGGTACCGGCGGCTAGGAACGTGATCCCCATGACGGAGTCCGGGATTTTTAGAGTGTCGCCTGGAAGGTCGTGGTTAGAGTGAGTTGACTAGTGTCGGGGGCTTACCGATGATGGTGATCATCCAGGCGACGACGTACGACAAGGAGCCGATCCAGACGATGCACATGGTGAAGGTTAGAGGAAACCACTTCTTGAATCTTGGTTTTTCGCAATCCGGGATGGTGAAGAGGAAGATTAGGTGGATCGGCCACGTTATAATCCACGTCACTTGGGTGAATTTGCTCCTCCCGGCTGGCCACTTCCACAGACTGTGCCGTTCCTCTTCCACCATTCCGTTCGTCTCCGGTTTGTTCTTGTCCTCTTCGTTCTCCGTACCGTCTGCCGGTACCTTGATGGACCCGTTCAAGTGCGCCGGTACTATGATATGGATCGGCTGCTCCAGAGGTGGACCCGTGGTGTCCACGTTATGATTGTCCACCAACTCCTTGATTTGTGCAATCTCCTTTTCTTTGTGTGGTTGTAGCGGTAAGTGGGCCTCAGCCGCCTCTGGGAACAAACGTTTCGAACCAACCTCTTGCATTTTCATTCATCTAAGTACAACCACGGTGCCGCTACTCACCTACAGATTGTGTTCTAGATCTAGGAGAATCTCGTGACCTTTGTGCATTCCTCAGCCCCCCTAGAATCAGGCGTGCAGTGACTACTCTTACCGTGAGCCAACTCACCTCGTGCGCATTTCTGGATGGACTTGTCGAAGTACATGATGAGGATGTAGACGGTGTAGAGGAGGACCAGGGTGAGGGCCTCGTACCACTCGACTCGCTCGTCGTGGATGATGCAGATGAGGATGGACACGGTGATGCCGTAGGCGAGACAGTCTCGGGTAAGGGGCCACCAGTCGAGGGGGACAACCTTCACCCCGCACTGCGGGCAGAGAGTTAGAGGGGGTGGGTGGGTGGTTGGGGGACTTACCATGCCGGCACCGATGCCGCAGCAGGCGGCCACGGCCAGGATGTTGAAAACTGCCGACCCCACGATCGTGCCGACGCCAATGTCGCCTTCTGTGATGAACGTGCCGATCACGTTCACGAAGAGCTCGGGGGCGGAAGTCGCAGCCGCCATGAACGTCGCTCCGGCGACGTCCGCCGACATGTTCAGCGCTGGAAATCCAAATCACTATACTTACGCGTTTACCGAACAGATGGAGTCTTACCGTGGCATATTTTTTCTACTGCCGGTACAAAAAATTTATCACAGACTACGGCCAAGGCGACGAAGAGGTAGAGAGATACGAGGACATGCACCACCACTGCACCGTCTTGTCGTTCCTCTTCGGTGAAGAAATCCCTGGGGAAATCATCAATGGCAGGTGGAGTACAATTAAGTCCTGAGGCAAAAGACTGAATTAAAATTACACCATCATGGTAATTTGGAGCTGGTCGTAGATACAGCATGATTACAAATTTCTAGCTCTAATTTCGGGCTTATTAGTTGCTACTTTTTCCCCAATTCCGTTTATTCTAAGTTAGCGGAATGTCGTTGCGGCGTAATGAAAGTTTGTCTTTATCATTTTTTGGGGATTTGTACACGTGGGACAGACTTTAATGAAACAACGGAAAATGGTTCCCGGGGGAGCTTTCCGCACGAGGTAAAATGAGGAGGCAAATAAGGACGCTTTGGGACTGGTAGGACTTGTTAATATGGTCTGTTTTGAATAGTAGGGGAGGGTTTAAATTTTTTAATTTCGGTGGTAGTTCTTAACTCACTGTGACATGTCAAGCGTCATAAAGCTGAAAAAAATCTGTTATTATTAAATTTATGTCTGTCTGTAAGTTATGTAGTTTTAAAATAAACTCATAGTGACACACATCCCGTGTAAAAATCACAATTGTCTCCGCAATTAACCTAAACGCTGTTTACATAATTTGTTTGTTGTTCAGAGAGGTGTAAACCCGTGACACACTCCTCCCTAATTGTCCTTAATGACCCATCTCAATGTCGATTTTTCCTCTCTAAATTGATCACGCTATCCCAATTGTCGGAATTCCTCCGGAGCCGATTCCGAAAGACAGCCGTAATTAAGTCGGCTCTAGGTACCATCAACCTTAGTAATAATCTGATAATTCAATTCAACTCGTGACTCTTTAAGTGCAAGTTCAACTCTATTGAGAGGTCATAGCATCAATGTAATCAGTATAGAAAATATCGTCTGCTTTGCAATGCTAAAAGCTAAAAGTAATCGAATCAAACCGGGCACCGTACGGCCTCTCTGCGGCCATGATTTAGAGAGTTTGCCGAAAAATAAACACACTTGCTGGCTATTATTCAATTTACAAACAAGTTACGATTTTTCTGCTGGAGAGTGACGTAAATTACGGCCAACAATGCCGGACGCTCCTATTTGTTTACTACGGTTCCTGCAATCCGGACAATAGGGAAACGTCACGCTGTTATTCCGGGCAGGGTGCTCGAATTTACAATTCGCTTAAATAAGCGCAGGTGGAAGATGTGGACATTTTCGAAAACTGGTCATTAAAATCGTGATATAAACGCCAATTATCGCTTTGTGTTGGCGATTTGCTGCTGCCGTGTTTTCCGCTTTGACCTTGTTTTGTAAACGCGCTCATGCTTGCGAAATGCGTGCTTTAAAAACAAAATTTAAGGCCGGGTCTGCGTTTGACTCTTATGGGGGTTTTGGTACACTTTCGGAATGTAATGACCATTATTAACAGAGTTATTGGTATGCAATTTTAAATATAACTTGTTGACGACTTTCGCTGCATGTTTGTGGCAACCGCGCTCCTAAATTTGTATAAGTAATTGAAGTACTGGTTTTTAAAGACACACAATTATTATTATTATTGTTGATTATTGTTAAATGTTTTCTAGTATGTTTAATAACTTTTTAATTTTAATAAAGAGCAAAAATATGTACGCTGAGTTACGTTTATTACGGACCTGGAAAGACCGTGGTTAGGACACACCCGAATCCTACTTTTAGTAAACATGTTCCCTTGGGGTCTTCCAGCTATCGCACTGTCGTGGTTAAAAACATCAGCAGCATCCCTATCATCTACAAGTGGGTGTGGGTTGAAGACATCGACGAACGGTTTTACGGAACTTCAATGGTACGCTTCGTTTTATTTTTTTTACTGCCTAATCACTCTTCTTAGATACCATCATCGCCGGACGCCTCCCTGGTCTGTCTCCTCGAAGGCGAAGAAAAATTCGAAAACACGCTGAAAGACGATGCACCAGATGAAACCGTCTGGAGCGAAGACAGCTGTCATATCGACGATAGAGTTCGAGAAATGCTCAACTCCCTCCTCGAGAGAATTGAAGAAAACAAAGAAGAGCAATCCTTCCTCCGATTTCTCCCCACGACCACTTCCACGCTCAAATTCTGGGACATCTTCAACGTGGTGCCTCACGAAGGATGTCTCGAGCCCGAAGAGACCATAACAACGTACTTTCGATTCACCCCGAAACCTAATACGGAGGTGTCGGCAACCATCCACTGCCACGTGGTGGGCGGTGCCAACGAACCCGTCACCCTCACGGGAAAGTATCGAAAGGTTTCCTACCACCTCAAAGAGACCATGATCGATTTTGGCCAAGTCTACGTCTACGAAGTGAGCGAAAACGAGCTGAACTTGGTCAATGACGGCGAAGATCTGTTCAAGTTTGTGGTGTCGGAAAGCGTTGCTTTCGCATGGATGGCTAACTATCGAACCGTCCAGTGGGATTGTGGCACCTGGAGAAACTTTTCCTCTCATGCTGCGTGTATTTCCCGGGTTGCTTGGACGTTTCGTCACGAGTTTTAACATAAAGGTTGACTATTTGGATCCGGTGACGATTGCAGTGAATGGGTTCGGGGTTTATGCTCAGATTTACTTCGCTTTGCCGCGACCGGGGTTAACCCCCAAAGCTGGGCCTTTCATTTCGTACTCCGCTATAGCGGAGTTGGATTATGTGGATACTTGCACTTGTACTAAAGACTACTTTCGTGAGACGGATAGACGTATTTTGGAGGAGGACGACTGGGTTGTGGTTTCTATGAGTGATCCATTCCCCTGTACGATGGACATAGATCTGTCGATCGAGAGAATCATAGCCAAGTATCAGCTGGAGAAAGACACGACGAAACTTATTAGCAAACTAGCCGGTGGGGAAAAATTTTGGCCGATACCAAATTTTGTCACAGATCGCTATGTTTTCGATTTGGGGTGCATACAGATAAATAGCAAAAATCTATACAAGTTGAGTTATCTTAATTACGGACCTGGAAAGACCGTGGTTAGGACACACCCGAGTCCTACTTTTAGTAAACACGGATTTGACTCGCCTTTTGTCAGATTCATGATGGATCTTAACCAAGTGAGCGAGCTCCTCTTGTCGTTTCATCCAACGACTGAAAAATTCCCCGACCTAAACACCCAAGTCACCGAATTTATTTACTTAAAACTTAGAAATAGTGCCAAAGTTCCAGTACAGTTGGAAGTGTTGGTAGCAACGCCCACCGTGGTGGTTTCGGTTGAAGAGGTTGATTTTGGAGCCATCAGATGCAGAGACTGTCTTAGGAAATCCATTAATATTATCAACAAGTGAGTCGAAGCTCGCATAAATCTGTCATACAGGGTTCCGTTTTAGCGGCTACTTGCGAAGCAACTGGAGGGCGGTAATAGACGACACCTCGAGAGCGAAGTCAAAACTAAGATCTTTCTTCTTTCTTCTAAACCCAGAAGGTTCTCTCGTACCTGGCGAGAAGTTCTATCTGCGTATCTACTTCGAACCTCATTACGACGACTTCTTAACCGCCGACCTTATCATCACTGTCGACGGAAATAACAGACAAACGGTTGTTCAGTTAAAAGGATTGGGCATGGAGCCCTTTTTGGAAATAATCGAAGAAAGAATCATCTTTGACCCTAGTATTCCATACTCGCAGGATAATGAAAGATACGTGACCATACGAAATGCGTCAAAGTTTCCAGTAGAATATTACTTCTCAGATTTCGATCCGTGAGCTAAAATACTCAAAAGTGGTTAATCTTTCTTTTTGTAGAAAAATTCTACAGGAAGAATCTCTAGTCCGGACTTACATCATCGGTCACATGCTCAACAAAGTCTACTTTCCGTATAGAGCTCCAGGTGAAGATCTGCCACCCATGTTTCAGACCTACTATGACAATATACTCCAAGAAATCGAAGACACGACTTTACAAAGGCGTAGATCGAACAGTGGAGACAGAAAATCGAGACCAATCGCCTCTCCTCTATCGAATAGAAGCAGGGAATTAAGCATGACGTCATGGTAAAGTTATTGTACAGGTATTTCAGCAAAGTAAAAAATAAACTTTAGGTCTCCACATTCTGCGACCAAAAGCTTAAACAGAAAAACTGATCAAGAAAAGGACAACATCATTACTAGTACGGGACAATATAAGCACGGAACAAAATAATTAAAAATGATTGTAGATTACTTCACTCGGAAACAAAAAAGAATGACCAAAGACCATATTACTGCTACGTTACCATCAACGAAAATAACCCCAGACAGTGAAGAACTATGGATAGATCCTCCTGCCAAAGGAATATTCATAGTGTTTCACGGCACACCGCTCTCCCAATACATAAAAGCTGCTAACGAAACTGGAAAAGCTCTTAATTTACCAGTTCGCAACATCGATTGGCTTATTGTTGACTGTCTAGTACACAATGTTTCCCCCGCTGCACAGGAAGAGTATAATATCATAAATCAAGCTTTTGATGGTGCAGAGGAAGATCCTACACTGGAAAGTTATGTCTCTGAAGGTAAAACTTACCACAATTAAATTTTTAACACAGTAATTACTTTTCTCAGATACGTTCGACGTTCTTACGAAAAAGGTGCTAATTCTGCTCTCAGGAATACCCAAGAAGAAGCAAACAAAACAGAAAATAGCCAAACCTGAGAAAAAGAAGAAAAAGCGATCAGTGAAAAGCTCCAAAAGCAGTGAGAAGTCTAAGGAGTCAAGCAAAAATAGTAAAAAATCTAAATCGAGCAGTAAAAAGTCGAAGAAAAGCAGTAAATCCAGTAACAAAAGTTCGTCGTCCAAGAAATCAAAAGGGTCTTCGAAAAAAGGTAAAAAGAAGAAGGAGTTTATCAGCGATACTTTAATAAATATCCCGGAAGAGCTGTTGTTGGATTTACTGGAAGAAAGTTTGCAAATTTTCAAACAAGGGTTAATTATTGAGAGTCTGACTAGTAATTTTCTACGTAAAACTATGGTTGCTCTAAAATGCCTTTTACAACTTGCGAAAGATGTGCAAGAGATTCATTTCGTCATCTTCTCGACAACTTTTGAGAAATACATGGAATCTGAAACAATTAAAGAACAAGAACTAATACAGCAAGAAATTAATCGCTTGGAAGAACTTGAAGGAAATAGAGACTAAATGGATGCAGAGGAATTTGCACAGCTGAAAGAGGAATATCCTCGTATTTATGTAAAGTATATCAAAAAACGAAAAGACGATATAACCAGAAGAAAGGAGTTAGTAAAGCAACGAAAACTAGAACGAAAACAGCCGCTACGACGAGCTAAAGGAAAAGAAAGCGAAGGTAAGTAAATCGTTTTCAAAGTTCATTTATAATTAGGTTTTATATCCGAAGTCAAAATATCGTCTAAATCGAAAAAGTCTGACCGAAGTTTGGGCAAACATTCAGATGCGGCTAAGAAAAAACATAAGAAAAAGGGATCGACTAAGAGCTCTAAAGGATCAAAAAAAGACAAAAAGTCGGAGACAAATTTAACAGAGAGTGACGAAAATACGGATGAAGATAAAAAAGTTTTTGAAAACAAGTCCAAAAAGTCAAAGAAATCTGATAAAACGAAAGATTCTAAAACTTACATAAAAAAAATCAAAACGTTCCAAGAAATCTGAAAAATTGAACAATTCCAAGAAATCTAAAAAATCAAAGAGTTCCAAGAAATCTAAAACATCTAAAATATCTTTCAAGAGATTGGCGAAGCGAAAAAAAGAGACAAAGAAAAGTGACAATGTTAAATTATTATCTTTATTTTGCTTAACTCCTTCTTTTTAGAGAATCTCCGTCCCTATTTTCTCAGAGGATATGTCATTTGTCAAAATGATAATATTTGCTAAGATAAGACTGATTTTGCCAAATGCCATACCTTCTAAGAAAACACAGGGCGGGTGGGCGGGGGTAGTCCTTGCTAAGAAGGTAAGATTAATTTTGGCAAATGACATACTCTCTAAGAAAATAGAGATGGACAGACAGGCGGAAATGGGAGACCTATTCCTCCGTACTGTAGGGGTCATGAAGGGTCGAGAAATCGTAAAAGTAGAGAGTCGGCCGACGGACTCAATTACAATACTTCCTTCGCTTACGCTCGGGAAGTAAAAACCTAAAAGAGAAAAGAGAAAAGGAAAAAATTGGTCGGAAGTTGTTTCGACAGAACTTCCACGCACCGAAAGTAGAATGAAAGATATCCGGCATTTTCGAGTTGTGATGACCTCATCAACATTTTTGCAAGGATACGTATATGAACTTAGATTGGTGTAACGTAGTACTTTCAAAAATAAGACTGATTGTGGCAAATTACATACCCCATAAGAAAATACCGGGCGGGTGGATATAGCCAGTATTTTTATTAAAATAAATAATTGATTTTAGTAAATGACTAAACAATATTAAGAGTAATCATTGAAAGGAAGAGGGGGTGGGCGGGCGGGGCTATTGCTTGCTTATAAAAGATTCTGTATGAAAAAGTTAAATTTAGCCCCACCCACCCACCCGTTCTCCCATTTTTTCTTCAGAAATAAGAAATAAATGTTACAGTAAATAAGTAGTATAAAAGAAAATACGATTACCGCCTTTTTTAACCGCCTACGTTTTATTAGATCCCATTCACACTATACAAAAGAACATATAATTCACCCCGCCCACCCACCCTGCCTCCATTTCAGTGATTTATTTTGTCTTGTTGGAATGAAAGGTGGATCTCAATTGAAGAGAGATAAAATCGTTAGAATGAGAATGGCACGTGTGGGCGGGGCTAGTACTTGGTAAGATAAGATTAGATTGTAAATTTAATATTGTTCCTGTGGTTGTATCCACTATGGACTATATATTAGTCTGCTGGATAAATAAATTAAACATTAAACATTAAACATTAGTTTTGGTAAATGACATGTCTTCTAAGAAACAAAAAGGGTGGGTGGGCGGGGCTAAAACTTGCTAAGATAAGGCTGAACAATTTTAAGAGTAGTCACTGGAATGAACGGGGGGTGGGTGGGCGGGGATATTGCTTACTTATAAAAGATTCGGTATGAAAAAGTTAAACTGTTTTAGTAAATAAATAAATAGTATATCAAACAAATTACGGTTGACGCTTTTTTTTAACAGCCTACATTATATTAGTTCCCATTCTCACTTTACGAAGAATCATATAAGTTACCCCGCCCACCCACCCTGTCTCCATTTCAGTGATTCATTTTATCTGGTCCGAGTGAAAGGTGGATCTCAATTGAAGAGAGATAGAATCGTTAGAATGAGAACAGCGTGCGTGGGCGGGGCTAGTATCTGCTAAGGTAAGATTGATTTTGGTAAATGACATACTCTCTAAGAAAATAAAGGGTGGGTGGGAGAGGCTAGTACTTGCTAAGATAAGATTGATTGTGGCAAACTACATATTTTCTAAGAAAATAGAGGGCGGGTGGGCGGGGCTAGTACCTGTTAAGATAAGATTGAATTTGGTAAATTACATATCTTTTTACAAAAAGAAAGGGTGCGCGGGCGAGGCTAAAACTTACTAAGGTAGGACTGAATAATATTAAGAGTGGTCACTGGAACCAAGAAGAGATGGGTGGGCGGGAATACTATTTCCTCTTCGTCTTCCAAGAAATCGGCGAAGCGAAAAAAGGAGAAAAAGAAAAGTGATCATCGTAAATTATTATCTTTATTTTACTTAACTCCTTCTTTGTAGAGAAACTCACAAAAAAACAAGCAGAAATCAAAGAATCCCTTGACAGTTTTGAAGAGACTTTTCAAGAAATCTTGCACACTCTGGAATTTTGGGACAAAACAAGCAATTCTGTAAGTGAACCGATGACCCTGTCCGTGAAAAAAAACGAAAAAGAAATACGAGAAAAAGAAAAAAAGAATTCCAAAATCTCAAAAAACTACCGCCACTGTACCTACCTCTACAGAAACTTCGTTAGCAACAGCGCCTGCTACAACGATATCCTCCGACATTGGAATCCCCTGCTGGATTATAACCAATAACAACCTTGACCACGTAGTCGAAGGCTTCCTGCCAGTTCTAATCAAAGCGACTGTAGACATGGAAATTTCTGACGAACAACGAGCCAGAAGCGATTACATAGAGCCACTTTTATTACAGTCCGTTCTACCGAAACCAAAACCCAGATCGGTCAAGAGAACCGAAGTTTTTGTCATAACAGATTATGTAGAAGATGAGGATAATCAGGTAAGTATATTCCGTCTATTTAAAAATTCTCATAACGTTGTTCTAGAGCAAAGTGAAATTAAGCCCAAGCGACATAAACACTAAAGCCGACTCTAAAGTAAGTTTAACGAAAAGAAGAAAGCCCACCAAAGGCAAAAACCCTTCTCAAGTAATTAAAAATCCGGGTAAACCAGGTCAAGAAGGGTTCACATATCGAGGAATTCTACAACCTGGGGAGACGATCAAGTACAAAATTAGGTCCTTGCCAAAAGCCGTAGGAAACTACAAGCACAAATTCGACATTGGAGTTTTTTGGATCTTCCTTGAAATTCACAATTACTTGCGTTGCCTGCTGCGACATGCCTAGAATTGACATGGATTCATATTGGCTCTTGGATGGAGTTTTAGAATACATGACCGAAAAAACTAAATACACCGGTGGCGTTTTCGTACAACACAGGAACAGATTCGAATTCAGCGGAATTTTGCTCCCAAATGAAGCAACAAACAGGTTTAGTTTTTTTCCTTCTTCGATTGTTCTAACTTCATCTTTTGCAGTTCTTTTGAATCGCGGGCTTGCTTCTATCTCAACAACATAAGCCGTATTACTTGCGATGTTAATTTTTCCATACAGAGAGATTGTCCGGCATTTCATTTCCAACCAGACTCGCACATTATCGAACCTAAAGCTAGGCAAGGAGTAACAGTGGTGGCATCACCTTGTAAAGAACAACTCTATGACGATAAATTGATTCTTTCAATCAAAGACAATCCAAGGATTGAGAGGATCATTGTATCGTGCTACGGGTGTGAAATCGGAGTGGACGTTAATCCAAAACACGTCCTGTTTGAAAGGGTCACCATGGAAATTTCGTTAAAGAAAGATATCGTGATAACGAACAACACACCAGTCGAAGTTACATGGTACTTTGTAGGGTGCGAACAGGTGCTGGAGAACTTCAGAATAAGTAGCTTTGGTGGAAAGATATCACCATTTTCGTTGCAAACTTCTACTGTAGACTTTACGGCGAGGGAAATGGAAGTTCGGAGTTCTACTTTTAAAGTCAATGTAAGATCTCGTTAATTTAAAAGACAACAGTTATTCTACTTCCGTTCTAGATCTACGACGGTTGCTCCAGACTGGTTTACACCACGGAGATCAAAATCTCTGCCGAAACAACAGCTCTTGAATTCTTTTATAACAATGAGTTGAACTATGGAGATATCAAGGGCTGGAAGTCGCACACCATTCAATTCGACGTAACCAGCAAAGGTCGCTACGAAATTCATTGCCAGTAAGTGTACTATCGTGAAAACAAAATCATAAAATCGTTTTGTCCAGGTTTGCCGATATTGTCGATGAAAACTTGGAAAATCAAGCTATAAGGAAATACTTTACAATCCAACCAACCGAGGGCAAAATTCTACCGAACATAAAATTCTCTAGCACTATAACATTCTCGCCCGATAGAGTGATGATTCTAGAAAAATTACCGGTGTTCAAATGTCTTCTGATCGACCCTTTCCACGAAGTAGTAATCAAAGCGCTGGATATCTTTGTTTCAGCACGAGTGTTTTTGTCGAAATTCGAAATATGTCCGTACCCCGAAATTTACTTTGGATATCAAGCAGTCGGGCAGGAGAAATTGCATACTTGCCAGATTTTCAACAAAGGAAAATTCGACTTTAATTACACCGTCCAACAATATGTAAAACAAGCAGAAGTGAAAAAAAAGAAAAGCAAGAAAGAGAAAGGTGCGCTTGAGGTAAGTACACACCATTGTTACGCTTGACATTTCAGGAAAAAAACGTTCCAAGTCGAAATCTAAAAGCAAATGAAGCAAGGGTTCAAAGAAATCTAAAAAGTCGAAAATATCCGGTTTATTTGCAGATCCGTTAGTATTCCAGGTGCGTCGGAGGCGCAACGAATCACTTTCTTCTGTAATCAATTTTGTATAGCTGATAATTATACCTAATCCGGTTTCGGGGGATTTGGACGCCGTTGACGTAAATTACTCCGTTTCAAGCGGGCGGAAGAAGTAAATATTAATTCGGTATGAGGATCAACTGTTCTACGTGATCCTGACAATTTCTGTTTAATCTAGCAATTTATTACGATTTATTGGGGTGATAGCAATCAAGCGAATAGTTGCCGGAACTTAGTTTACCGAATTACCGTATATATCAGGGAGGATGGTGCCGAGTTTATTAATTCTTACATCGAGATATTTTGAGATTAATTGGTAAAGTTGTGCCGGGACGAATACAAATAAAGAAAGATCTAAGGCATCGTGCTGTAAAGGAAGCCTTTTAGTTAATTAAAGGGTTTTTTGATTATTGGAAGAGAAAAACCCACGCAGTTGCTTCAAATGGACTTCGTATATCGAAATGTGGATTTCTTAAAAAATATGAGAGCACATTTTTTACGTCTGTTCTTATTTAGTTCAATATTTTCAGCGCTGGAGGAAGCAGAAATGTGGAAATTCGTTTTACGTGGACGTTGCGACTGGACGGCGGGAGATTGATTTTCTGTTTGTAAACAATGTTTGCTGGGTTTTGAGGGCGCCCTTGAAATTTTGTAATAAAAAAATATGTTCATTCAAAAGTCGAAGATTTATTTGACGCGGTTTTTTTTAGGTAGGGTGGTGAGGATGAAGATGTTATCTTTGATGTATACGTTGCAATAGTAGACATAACGTCACGGTGTTGCCAGAATTTCACCGAAATTCGGGAGCTATTTTTGAAGTAATCGATAAACTAAGTCGGTTCTCACGCGAATATTTTTTCAAAACGTAGTGCGTAAGCAGTTCGGAATAATAAGAGAATATTAATGAAGAACAAGCAATGGAACATCACACGCCATAGTTTTGAAAATAGACTGGTTGGTAAATTTTTTACTTTCATTTCTTGAGCGTGAGCTGAGTTAATCGAACTTTTATGTTTTTTCGACGTTTTATAAACGCTAGAGTGCGAAGAAATAGGTCTTCCGTTTTTACTCTTGATATTTTTTTTGATTTTTCAATTTTTCGTTTGCTTGTTTTTTCAAGTCCTTTATCTTTATTTTTCATTTCCCCGATTTTTTAATTTTCATCCGATTTCTTTGATACTTCGAAATATTCGTTTTTTCAGTTTTGCACTTTTTCTGTTTTTAAGTTTCTCAATTTTTAATTTTTCAAGTTCTTGATTTCCAATTTTTTGATTTTTCAAAGTTTTCATTTTATACTTGTTCCTTTTTGAATTTTTTATTTTTCAAATTTACAATTCCGCAATTTTTCCACTGAAAAATCGAAAAATTAAAAATCGAAAAACTAAAAAGTCGGAGAAAAGTAAAAATCGAGAAACTGGTAAAACGCAAAATGGCGAAATCGAAAAAGTGAAAAATCGAAAAATTGTAAAATCGAAATACATAATATGGAATCGTCAAAATTGTGAAGTCTGAAATTAACACTGAAAAATTGAAAAATTAAATATGGGGAAATTGAAAAATTAAAAACCTAAATGAAAGAAAAATGAAAAATCAAATAAATGAAAAAGCCTTAAAATCCAATAATTGAAAAAATGTAAAAATTCTAAAACCGCAAGAATGAAAAACGGAATAATTTTAAAAATTATATTAATTTTTTTAACAAATTTAAAATGAAAACTAGAAATTTGCAAATCAAAAATTGAAGAAATGAAAAATTACAAAAATGAAAAATCAAAAATTCAAAAAACGATAAATGAAAAATTGAGAACTCGTGAAATTGAAATCAAAAAATTGGAAAATCTAAAAATTTAAAGTGCAGAAGTCTCTTTGTTTTCATTTTCTCGATTATATGTCACAATTTTTGGTTTTTCCTTGTCAATTATTTTTTCAATTTTTTTTTGATTATTTCTCGTTTATTAAATTTTCAAATTTTTAATCTTCGATTTTTCAATTCCTCGATTTTCCAATTTAAAAATATTTAAATTTTGCGATTTTTTAATCTGACATTTAGCCGATTTGCCAATTTCTTTGATTTTCAATATTTCGGTTTTAGAATGCTTCATTTTTTCAATTTTGGACTTTTTGGATTTTTCAGTTTCTCAATTTTTAATCTTAGTATTTATCGATTTTTCCTTTTTTCCATTTTTCAAGTTCTTGATTTCCAATTTTAAAATTTTTCAAGTTTTCATTTTATACTTTTTCGTTTTTTCATTTTGATTTTTCAAATTTACAATTATGCAATTTTTCCATTGAAAAATGGAAAAACTAAAATGTCGGAGAAAAGTGAAACATCGAAAAACTGAAAAAACGAAAAACTGAAAAAACGAAAAATATTAAAATTGAAGAAGTGGAAAATCGAAAAATTGTAAATCAACATTTTGAAGAAACGAAAAATTGATACACTGAAAAATTAAAAATCGAAAAATTATGAAATCGTCAAAATTCTAAAGTCGAAAACTGTAAGACTGAAAGATCGAAAAATTGAAAAATTACTTAAATATGCATAAAATGAAAAATTAAAAACTTAAATTTAAAAGAAAAATGAAAAGAGGAATAAATGAAAAGGTCTTAAAATCCAATGAAAAAATTCTCAAACCGCAAAATGGAAAACGGAATAATTTTAAAAATTATATTAATTATAACAAATTTAAAATGACCAGAAATTGAAAAATCGCTAAATTGAAAAATTAAAAATTCAGAAAACGCAAAATTAAAAATTGAGAACTCGTGAAATTGCAACACAAAAATATTGGAAAATCTAAAAATTGAAACAGCCAAAAATTTTTTCATTTTCCTTTTTTTCATTTTACATCATAATTTTTGGTTTTTCTATGTCCTTCATTTTTTCAATGTTTCTTTCGTTCTTTTAATTTTTTTATATATTTTTTATTTAAATTTTCAATCTTCGATTTTTCAATTCCTCGGTTTTCCAATTTCTTTGATTTTCAATATTTTGATTTTTGACTATGTACTTTGTTTTCTCAATTTTGTACTTTTTCGGTTTTTCAATTTTTCGTTTTCTCCATTTTTCAAGTTTTTGATTTCCATTTTTTAGATTATTCAAAGTTTTCATTTTATACTTTTTTGTTTTTTCGTTTGTTATTTTTCAAATTTACAAATGTGAAATTTTTTCACTGAAAAATAAAAAAATTAAAAATCGAAGAACTGAAATGTCAGAGAAAAGTGAAAAATCGAAAAACTGAGAAAACGAAAAATGACAAAATCGAAGAAGTGGAAAATTGAAAAATTGCAAATCGAAGCTTGAAGAAACGAGATTGAAACAATGAAAAACTAAAAATTGAAAAAAAAATTAATCAAAAATTGGAAAGAAAAGGAATCGAATCGGAATTTGAAAAACTCAAAGATTGTAAAATCGAAATATTATGGAATCGTCAAAATTGTAAAGTCGAAAATTGTAATATTGCAAGATCGGAAAATTAAAAAATTAAATATGGAGAAATTGAAAAATCAAAAACCTAATTAAAAAAAAATAAAAATTAAACAAATGAAAAACGAAATAATTTAAAAAGTTATATTAATTACTACAAATTTAAAATGAAAACCACAAATTGGCAAATCAAAAATTGAAGAAACGAAAAATTAAAATATCACGAAACTGAAGAAACTAAAATTCAGAAAACGAATAATTAAAAATTTTTGTTTTTGGTTTCCAATTTTTAGATTTTTGAAAGTTTTCATTTTATACCTTTTCGATTTTTCATTTTTTATTTTTCATATTTACAGTTGTGAAATTTTTTCATTGAAAAATCGAAAAATTAAAAATTGAAAAACTAAAATGTCGGAAAAAGTGAAAATCGAAATATTGAAAAAACGAAAAATATAAAAATTGAAGAAGTGGAAAATCGACAACAACTAAAAATCGAAAACAATCAAAGAATCGAAAAATTGGAAAACCCAAAATTGTGAAATCGAAACTGATGGAATTGTCAAAATTGTAAAGTCGAAAATTATAACATTCAAATATCGAAAAATTGAAAACCTAAATTTAAGAATAAAAAAAATGAAAATGTACTGAAAAAGTTATGGAAGAATTCGAACACTGTAAAATTGAAAAAGAGAATAATTTCAGAAATTAAAATAATTATTACAAATTAAAGGAACGAAAAATTGAAAAATCGAGAAACAGAAAAATCTAAAACTGAAAAAATGAAAAATTGAAAACTGAAAACTCGTGAAATTGCAGATAAAAAAAATGGAAAGTCGAAAAACTGAAAAATTTTAAAGTGAAAATTAAAAGAAGTATGTCGTAAAATTGGAGGAACAAAAAAATGAAAAACTAAAGAAATAAAAAATTGAAAAAATTATATTTGAAAAAACGAAAAATTATTATCATTGAAAAATCGAAAAATTGTTAAAATAAAGCAAATAAAAAACATCAATTTTTCGTTTCTACAATTTTTCAAGTTCTGGATTTCAAGTTTTTGGATTTTTCTTTTTATACTTTTTAGTTTTTTCTTTTTAGACTTTTCAGTTTTTTTAATTTGGCATTTACTTTTTTTTTTATTTGGAATGTTGAAAAAACGAAAAATTGCGAAGCAAAGAACTCGAGAAACGAAAAATTGACAGTAAAAATCGAGAAACTTATCGAAAAAGTGGAAAATCCAAAAAATAAAAATCGAATAATTATAAACTATAAAGTCGAAAAATTTTACACTCAAAGATCGCAAAATCCGAACATTAAATATGGAGAAATTGAAAAATTAAAAATCGAATAAATGAACATTTTTTAAAATTCAATAATTGCAAATGGAAAAATGCTAAAATCGTAAAATTTTTTTGATTTTTTTAAAATCATAACTATTATTACATATTTAAAATAAAAACTAAAAAAATTGCAAACGAAAAATTGAAG